ACAGGCATTAGAAGCATAGGTACATCATTTGTCTGAAAGCGCTGTATCGCCATAGCCTCGACGCGCAACCAGAAAGGGGGGGGCAAAAGGGTTTTCACAAGGTAGGAACGCAGGAGCGTGGGAGAGCAGAAACTCCAGGCTAGGCTAGGCCTGGCCAGGATCCGATCACCGTATACATTGCACATTGCCCCTCGGAATGGACCGTCAGTGTCCCGCCCTTTTCGCTCCGCTAGGTACACTTGGTAGCTTGTTCCTAATCAACATCAGTCCACCGTAATAGGAAAAGGTAAAGAATCTCGTGCATCTGCAAGTCATACCATAGTCCTGTGGCAGGGCGCTCTAGAGTCCGGCCGATCCAGTCCACCCGTCGAAACAGTGGGTTACGTTGGATACAGAAAGGCAAACAGGCAAACACGGTGCAGGCGACTGTAGGCAGCCGACAGACGCCGGACGCATGCCATCGGCGCGGCTTGCATGCGCGGCGGGAACGCGTTGTGGCTGCAAATGTAAAACAGAGACAACGCCGGCCATCATATCATGCCATCTCGACGGGCACGGGCGCATAGCCGTTCTGCCGCGGCGTGCGTCTCGCCCCGCTGCCAGCGCTGCGGCGCACCCAGTCTGAAAGTGCTGCAAAACTAAGGCTCGGCCGTGCGCCTGCGGCATGAGCATGCGCACCCGAGCCGCTGCCGGTGCCGCACAGGCTGCTCGGCCGCGTCCACCAGCGCAGGGTCAAGCTGGAGGCGACGACGCTGACAGAGCTGAACGCCATTGCCGCACCGGCCATCATCGGTTGCAGGTGCCAGCCCCAGGGGAGGAAGACGCCCATGGCGAGCGGGATGCCGACCAGGTTGTATACCGTCGCCCAGACAAAGTTGAGCTTGATCTGGCGCATGATGCGCTTGCTCAACGCGATCGCCGCCGCCACGTCCAGCAGGTCACTGCGCATCAGCACAATGTCCGCCGCCTCCATCGCAATGTCCGCGCCCGAGCATAGCGCGATGCCCACATCCGCCGCCGCCAGAGCCGGCGAGTCGTTGATCCCGTCGCCGACGACGGCCAGACGCGGCCTATTGTGACTAGCGGTCACAGCTTTGCTGCTGGCCCTCGTGCCACCCTCCAGGTCCAGCGGGCGACCATGCGCACCCTGTAGTCGCGCCTGCAACTGCAGCACGATACTGCGCTTGCCACTCGGGCTCATGCCCGCATACACATCCTCCGCGTCCATGCCAAGCTCGGCGGCGATCGCATTCGCCGTCGTGCGCGCGTCGCCCGTCAGCATGCCGCAGCGGATCCCCAGCGCGCGTAGCGCCTCGATGCACTGCTTTGCCTCTGGCTTCAGCTCGTCTGCCAGCGCCAGCGCGCATGCCACTTGCGCGTCGACGCTGACAAAGATCACCGTGCGGCCTTGCGCCTCTTGCGCCGCTTTAAAGTTCACGAGGGACGCATTCAGCCCGCTCGCTTGCTTCTCCTCGCTATCGTCGACACTGACGTTAGCTGCTTCCGAAACGTAGTCTGCACGGCCGACTTTGATCGCATACGAGCGCGAGCCTGCCTTCACAACGCTGACAAGGCCGGCGCCGGGGGCAACTTGGAAGCTCTCTACGCTGACATCTTCGGGTAGCCTGTTGAGACCGAGCTTGGAGAGTGCAAACGCGGCAATCGCGTGGCCGAGCGGGTGCTCGGAGCGTGTCTCGGCGGCCGCGACCATGCGAAGGGTTTGCGCACGCAACGCACCGGCCGCGCCGGTGCGCGTCTCAAGCTGGCCGAGCGTCGTGTCAAGGGCGTCTTGCTCGCCACTGCTGCTGCCGCCATCTACCCAACGAATGCCGACGACAGAGAGTTTTCCAACGGTAAGCGTACCGGTCTTGTCAAAGAGGACGTGGCGGATGGCGTTGCTCGCTTCGAGCGGGCCGCCGCCCTTGATGAGGATACCGTTCTGTGCACCGACACCGGTGCCGACCATGACGGCTGTCGGTGTGCTGAGCCCAAGCGCACAGGGGCACGCAACGACGATGACGCTTATGCAGAGCTTGAGGCAGACCATGAGCTTTGAGCTGCCGTGCTCCTGGAACGGCGCAGGGAGCAGGCGAGGTGCGAGCACGTGCGCGATTACCATCCACACGACGAACGTCAGCAGGCCGAGCGCGATGACTGTCGGCACGAACACACCCGCGACGCGGTCGGCAAATGCCTGGATGGGTGCCTTGGACGTCTGGGCTTCTTCGACGAGCTTGACGATTTGCGCCAAGGACGTCTCCTTGCCGGCGCGCAGAACTTTAACATCGAGCGTGCCAACGCCGTTGACGGTGCCGCCGATAGCCATGCTGCCGGGCGCCTTGGAAACAGGCATGCTCTCGCCAGTGACCATACTCTCGTCGACGTCGCTCTGGCCACGCAGCACGACACCGTCGGCAGCGATCTTTTCGCCGGGCACAATTTTGACAATGTCGCCCTTTTGCAGCAGCTCAGCGGGAATTTGCTTCTCAACCTTGCACGACGCCTCGCCGTCCGTGTAGATCGTCGCTGTGCTGGGCGTCAGGCCGATCAGCTTGGACAGCGCCTCGGACGTTTTCCCCTTTGCCCTGTTCTCGACGTAGCGCCCGAGTGAGACGAAAGTGATGAGCATCGTGCAAGTGTCGAAGAATGTTACTGGTTTCATGCACATGGCCTGTGTCGATGCTGCCATTGGAGCATCAGCAGCAGTTGCTCCTGCTGCAGCAGAAGTAGCACCGGCCTCATGGATGGTGGCCGTGCATTCTCCAAAGACGCTGGCGAGCATGGAGAAGACGCTAAACGTGAACGCAGCAGAAGTGCCCAGGGCAACGAGGACGTCCATTGTCGCGCTGCCATGCGAAATCGCCTTCAAGCTGCTCTTGTAAAATCGCCTCCCTAGTCCAAATTGCACGGGAATCGTCAAGGCCAGGCAGAGAATGTCCTGCAAAAAGAGTCCGCGGACGGGCTGGTAATGCAATACGGCCCTCGCGGTAGTGGACATGCGCGGTAGTACCATGCTGACCAGAAAGACAGGCAGGGCAAACACAAATGCGATGAGGAATGTATGTCGCCACTCGACGATCTCCTTGACGCGCCCCAGGCTCTTCAGCTGCGTCATGTCGCTGTCGTCGGCGATCGTCGCATCGAAGCCAAGCTCCTCTATTCGCTCGACGAGCTGCCTCGGACCAGGGATAACGGAGAGGTCGAAGCGGATGCGCGCTTTCTCTGTTGAGAGGTTGACGGAGCATTCCAGGACGCCAAGCTCGGCGCCCAGCTCGCGCTCGATAGTCGAGGAGCAGGAGGCGCACGTCATGCCGTAGATGCGTAGATGCACCTCGTCCTCTTTCACTTCTTCAAACACGGACGCCTCGAAGCCGATGTCCTCGATCTCGGATGCGATCTTTAATGCCGTCCATTGTGCCGGAGAGTACGTTACCACGGCCTTCTCAGCGAGCAGGGCAACCGTGGCGGAATGGATGCCCGGTTGTTCGCGCAGCATGCGTTCAATGGCCTGCAGAGTGAGCCAGGCGAAGGTCAGCAAAGCGATCGCGAGCCACCCCTCTGCCACCAGCATGTACGAGTGCGACGCACTTCTACACAAGCGCCACACGTCATGCCGCCAATCTGGAAAGTGGCCGACTCGACCTGGCCATCTTGGGGTGTCTCTCCATTCGCCGCGTCGCTCGCGTTTGCGCTTGAGCCAGCTTCTGCCGACGGTGGCTGGAGATACGGTATTTGCGGATGGTTCAAAGTGCTGGTCTCACCATCATCGAGTGCATTGCCTTCATTGCCTATTGCAAACGAGGGCCGCATAGGAGGCGGCGAGGAAAGAGCGATGGGCGCCATGTTTGCTTGTGTGCTAGTCTATCTCTAAGCTCCCAGCTTTGGTATTGAAGAGGAATATGAAGGCTGCAGGCTGCTCGATTGCCGCAAAGGGAGCTTTCTGGTTTCTGCTCCAGCCACAAAACGTGTGCACAGAGGAAAGAGCAGAAGCTCTGGGCCCACTGTTCGTGGCGAGGTAAACGCAGGCAACCGAAATTGGTCGCACAACGATTGCTCGCCGGGTTCGCCAGCAGGCAAGGTTCGGATGGACGCACAGGGGACGAGCGGCAAGCGATGCTCACACGTCGTTGCACCAGCTTGGTCTGCGGCGTGGCAGGAATAGATGGTTGTATATAGCGCAGCCGCGACCAAGCTGAGATGTCGATCACGACGGGGGAGCAGATTGTGACTTTGATCAAGACCCCAATGCAAACCTTGGTCGTCTCTCGTCATGCATGTGGTGGAGTCAGTCTCGCACCACTCAACTTTCGGCTCCTCTTTCTCGTCCTTTGGCCGCAAAAAAGGAGCAACCAGGTACAAGACCCGCCCTCTCGGCCGAGAGAGCCCAACCCCACGCTCGTCTCAAACATTCCGCTGGCATTTCATCCTCATTCGCTCCTCGGGTTTGGTGATCCGGCTGGGCCGCCCGGGCGGAACGCGTTCGGCGCGAAGCCAGAGTGATAGGTGGCGGCGAAAAGGATAGTCAGGTGATAGCAGCCTGGCTTTTCTTCCGGGTTATGCGTGTACCTCGCTCGAATCTTACACGTGCGTCTAGGCAGACGATTGCGAACGAGGTTTATATAAAGGTCGAACCATCGCACAATGCGATTGAGACTTGTCGCCCATATCTAGGACAACGTCAACTGCCCACGCTTCTGTACAGTGCTCATTCTATTATATTCGCTCTCGCACCGCTCCTCGCGTTCTCAAGGACAACACAATGACACCTGCCACTTCCTCTCCGTTGCAAACGGTTACCGCTGAATGGTACGCGAAGCCTCACTCGAGCTTTTCCAAAGATGCCTTTCTCTCTTCTCTTCAGCAACAGCAGGTCTCCGGCCTCGCCTCTACCCTGGACCGCAAACTCGCCAAGCTGCTGGACGAGCAAGATTCACTCGCTGTGCTCCGTCAAGAATATCATCTCCCCACGATGCAGGATATTGGCGTGGCAGCGACGTCGGCTTCCTCTTCTCAACAGAGGGAAACCTCTCCCGTTCCGACTAGTCTCGATCAATCTGCTTTGTATCTGTGCGGCAACTCGCTGGGCCCGCTTCCCAAACGCAGCAAGCAGCTGCTCTATGAGGAGATCGACGTATGGGGTTCGCGTGGCGTACTGGGCCATTTCGACCACCCCCTGGGCCGACCGTGGGCAAAGCAGGAAGAAAAAGTGAAGACATTGATGAGTGATCTTGTTGGTGAGATGCATCTGAGAGCATTTATTCGAAGCGTCTAGTAAGGAAAAATGCTAAGCGCGATATCCACTCGTGCACACTTCAGGCGCCAAGCCGGTTGAAGTCGCCGTGATGGGAACCTTGACGCAAAACATTCACAACATCATTTCGACTTTCTACCGTCCTCACACACATCACCAAGGCGTTCAGCAGCTCTTGAACTCTCAAGAACAAAATTCTGCTGCTCCTCAGCAGGCACCGCGACGCCACAAGATCGTATACGAGAAGAAAGCGTTTCCCTCTGACGTCTATGCACTAGACTCGATCGTCCGCCTTTCGGGCTTCGATCCCGCTACTTCACTTGTACCACTTGCACCACGGGAGCAAGAGGGAGAGTTGACGTTGCGCACAGAAGATGTGCTACGGGAAGTCGAGCGCCTCGGTCAGGAGGGCGAGACGGCCATAATCATGCTCGCTGGTATCCAGTACTACACTGGGCAATGGTTCGAGATGAAGAAGATCACTGAAAAGGCAAAGCAATATGTGGGTGATCTGTCTCCACTTGCTCTTAGCGAGGGATTACACTGAAACATCTCTGCATTCCGCAGGATATAATCGTCGGGTGGGACCTCGCGCACGCCTTTGCCAACGTCCCCCTCGCCCTACATGATTGGGGGGTCGACTTTGCCATCTGGTGCACGTACAAGTATGGCTCCTCCGGTCCCGGCGGCATCGCTGGCCTGTTCGTGCACGAGCGCTGGCACAGCTTATCGTACGAGCAGCTCTCACGCCCGGCAGGCTGGTACGGCCATGAGCGTAGTACGCGCTTCGCCATGCCGCCCGTGTTCAAGCCGGAGCATGGCGCAGCGGGCTGGATTGTGAGCAACCCCTCTGCGCTCGATATCGTCGCGCTGCAAGGGAGCCTTGAGACGCTCGGCAAGGCACCTGCATTGGCAGGCATGCAACCATCGACTGCAGCAGGCTCAAATCAGCAAACTTCAGTAGGCGAGGGGAAGATCATGCCCATCCTGCGCAATCGCAGCTTGCGCCTCACAGCATACCTCGAGCACTTGTTGCTCTCCGAAGAATTCCTGCCCAAAAGCCTCGGCGTGTCCATCGTCACACCTGCGGATCCGCATCAGCGCGGCAGCCAGCTCTGCATCCGCATCCCGGACCCTGCGTCCCCTGCGTCGTGCAATCGCGCTAATGGCAGTAGCACCGACACGAGCGTCAACGGCGATGTGCCGCCTCCGATAGACGGGCGCACGCTCGTCGCAAGGGCGCACAAGAAGGCCGAGAAGGAGTACGGCCTCGTGGCGGATATCCGTAACCCCGACATGCTGCGGATGGCGCCGCTTGCGCAATACAGCAGCTTTGAGGACGTGTGGCGTGCTGCAAACGCTATCAGCCATGCGATTAAGGCTGAACTGCAAGCTTAGAAAACAAAATGTGTTTCCTTCCATCTAGAGTCACGGGTTACGGCTGATTGTAGCAAAGCAATAGAATCACAGTAACTGAGTGCATTGTATGCTTGCATTAGATTTTAACCGAACGCGTGTAGCTACCGAAAGCATGATCCGACTCGCCGAGTATTATGTCCTACAGACATTCAACGGAGACGAGTGCCCCGGGGGCCAGTGGAGGGAGGGACTGTATGAGCCAGGATGACGCGGCTCTAGAGGCTACGTACGAACGGCGAACAACGCTTCAGGCCGGAAGAATGCGCCCGAACCATTGTCCCACCGCTGCAGCTGGCATCCTTTCTTACGCACGCGGTCATAATTGCTTCGGTCAATCTGTGGGGGGTGTAGGTGCGATAATGTCAGCAATGGTTCGAAAGAAAGTTCTTTGTGATCTGTCAATCCCTCACCATCCAAACGTGATGCCTGAACCCGATTTGCCGCAAGGTAGTCGGACTAGCGTCAGCCATGTTTTGCAGGTCCGCCTCCGTCAAGAGCATGTCGCTATTTGCCGAGCTGAGCACGTGCAGATCCTTGAGCCTTCCAAGCCTTCGCAAAGCAGCACACAAGCGCATTGCCCTGGCATCGTGCTCGTACAAATGCACGACGAGGTCGACGAGCTGGCCATCGTTCTCGTTGCTGCACGCATCACAGATGAATGAGAGCTGGTCCAGCGACATGCCGATGCCATGCAAGCGCAGCATGCGCAATTGCTTGCCACGGGTGATCATAAGACGCTGCAGGAAAGCGGTGCTGAGCGCGGGACCGGACATGGGTATGCCATGAGAATAACACCCGTCTGCACGGTGATGCGTGGTCGACGTATGCTGGTAACCATCAGGGCGAGCGCCTGAAACAGATCCGTTATTCCCAGCTTCATCGTCGCTCTCTGGCTCTTCATCGGCACCTGTTATGGCTTTGCTTCCACCAGGAGCGTAGAATGTGAAGGACTGAAGTTGTTCCAGTTGCGAGACAAGATCGGACAAGGAGGCTAGGAAGCTCGCAGCTGGGATTCTCGCTTTTGGATACGTCAAAGACAAGACTCGAAGGCGTCCCAAGCTAGGTGAAATTAAGTGCAGATCGTCTGGTAGCTTTCATAAGCGAGGAAAGGATTTCAATCAGTTTCTGTTAAACCCTCCCACAAGGCTTGCAGAGGTAATCTTACTAGTGACAGGCTCTCGAGAGCGAGCTCTTCCAAGAGGCCGCGGGCCGCCTGCAAAACCGGAAGCACGCCTCGAATGCTCACTGCCTTGCAGCCGACGATGGAAAGGTGGGTGAGATTCGGAAGGTGCAATGCAGCGGCCTGCAATACGGCGTCTGTGACGTGGGACGAATGCTAATTTATGATGGTAAACGGACCGTTCAGGAAAGCGACGGTGGGAATGCAGCCATGTGTGGAGGCACCCACATAGCTTAAAATGTTCAATCCTCGAAGCTTTCCGCCTAACTGTTCAGCAACATCAGGGAGCTTCGAAGCCATCTTTTTGTCCGGCAAGTTGACCGAGAATCGCTCGATACAGCGCTCGCCTGCATTTGGCTCCGCCTCCGTGGGTCGATTTTGCGCTGAATCCCCTACAGTATCGTACGGTGAGGCTTCCTTGCGGAAGCGCCCCGAACGCGGAGGGTCTTCAATGGCTCGGCAGCAGCTTTGTGGTGGAGGACGCTTGAGTGATTTTACGAGGAGTGCAGGGTCGAAGGTGCGGGTATCCCCGGTGATCTGGAGCTTTTGGAGGCTGTGAAGATGTGGGAATAGCTCGACTATTACACGGTCGCTCCTGTATGCGGAAAACATAGCAAAATCAGGATTGGTCGCATACAATAGTTGTACAAGAACGCACAATGAGCCTGTGCGCGTCCACACTAGCTCGCGGAGGTTCTTGGCGTTTCGGAGAGCAATGACTATGTCTATTTCGATCTGCTCCAACGCTTCGGCAAGGAGGCCAAGGGGGAAAGCTCGGATTTCTGGAATGTATACAGTCAGCCATGTTTGCACGAAGCAACGGATGCTCTGTGGAAGCACTCCGATCGGCTCACCAACGATTCGTGCATGGGCTGCATTCTTAGGATGTGCGGCAAGTGATCGAAAGACTTTGATCAGAATGTTTGAATTTCGCCTAAAGGCGCACAAAGGCCCGACGATATCAGCGAGCAACGACTATTTCCCATCGGCGAATGCATTACCTCACAGAACGATTCTCTCGTATAACAGCACCTGAGCATAGACTTGCCAGACACTGTTGACCCTGGCACAGGAAGCAAGGTCTCTGATCCGCCACGAGAGGTGCTGCAGAATTTGTGGTAGAAGCTCAATCGGCAGCGTCGCAAATGAGAGAGTAACGGCTTCTGCGGCCAGTTCCTCTTCGTACGCAGCAGTCACCGTCAGTCCGCCGTTCGGCGATCCCGTTTCCTGGCAGCGGCTGTCGGGCACATCGGCTTGTCGTCTTCGCTCCATCACCCAGGCTTACGTCTGCAGCCCAGAGGACCCTGAAACGGTGTTGTAATCGAGGTTATGGCGAGACATGAAATGAGACTTTCACTTGTGAGATGGTGGCGGCCATGATCTGTGAAGCATCGGTGAACATAGCGACTTCGATTCTCGTCGTGAGCATCGTCAGTACCTGGCATCAGTGGCGAACTTGTAATATGCGAATCACGGCGTGGTGTCTGTACTCGTATTTTCAGAGACGTTTTAAGCATACAGCCAAAGTAGGGTTATTAAGAATCATCCACATGCCGGCACACAAACTATCTCTTCCTCGAAACAGTTCATGGCGTCTCGCCTGTAGTCTTTGCCTCCTTTCTTTCTGGATCCATGGTACTGTCAGCTGCTCCGAAGTCCGTTCTCTGTTATATATATATATATATAAGTAAACTTTCTTTCATCTAAATCCTGGCCTTAATGCCAGCGAAATGCGCAAAACTGGCATTCTTAACGACGGAGACGACGTTCCGGTCTTCGACTGTCGGCGGCACGGTATCTCTCCGTCGAACTTGTTGCCAGCGGCGTTCTCTACGATGGCTTGTACGAACCGACGGAGCTTCTTGCTGCTTCGCATTTTCGACTGTAGAAAATAAGAGGTTGGAAAGGGAGAGGGGGAAGCCCCAGGGCCATGTTGAACATTTCAATATGGATGCCGCGCGAATGCGCGACTCACAAGCTTGGTGGTGATGACGAGTCCGCTGAGCTGCGCGATGGGACCGAGCTCCTTAAGCACCTGCTCTTTGATATCCCTCTGACCTCTCTAATCTCAGGGTCCTGCTCACTCGACGCGGTCTTCCTGTTGTCCTTGGGCACGACATCGCTCGACGCGACGACGAGAGTGAAGGGGCACTGGCCCTCTTAACTGGCGCGCCGACGATGAGCGGCTTGAGGTTGAGCGAGCCCATTGGATGGATAACGCACGAGACGGATATGATAAGCTTGCAGCGGGAGTCCTGGTTGTGCTTGGCGAGTTCCTTGCTGGTGAAGGCGTCAAAGATGACCGAGTGCACGGCGCCGATGCGTGCGCAGAAGCGCATCGCGAGCGCCGTCTCGGGAATCATGGGCATGTAGATGATGCACAAATCACCCCTGCCAACGCTGCGGGCGCGGAGAACGCCAGATTGCCCCTATTCGTACTCGAACGCCTGGAAATACATAATTGCGCCCTACCATTGCGACTAGGACGCCAGCGGGGTCGCGTGGTGGAACGCTTTGTGCCCCACCGCCGCCGCTTTGTCCAGTGCCAGGTGCGGCGTGCCCGGAAGCGGTATCAGCGTCAGAGCCGGTGCAAGGGGCGTGCGCGGTGGGTAGACATGTCGGTCGAGTACGTTGAAGCACGTGGGCAGCTGGCCGTCGAAGGCAGGTGGTACGCCCTGGTGTGGTGCCGCTGCTTCAGCCTAATATTCATATTTCGGCGCGCCAGACCGCCAATGGTGTAGCATGCTGCTGTTGCTCCAGTTCTTCAGGCCCGTGGTATGGACGGAATGGTAGCCGGTATGTAGCAGCGTGCGATGTCCGACGTTCTGAATCATGGTGGCCCTCCCGGTTGGTGCGTTTGTATGTGGGGAGGGGTGTGTGTGCGCTCCCCCGCCATATCCGAGATTGTATGGCATCTGCATTCTATCCTCACCTGGCAGGATAGCCATTACATAAGCAATACCCGTGGAAGGTGAGCGGAGGTCGTGGAACTTTACTACATTTCCACAGTACTCATACGAGTTCATTGCGCCAGTCTACTTTGATGACGTACGTAGTCCGTCCATTCGATCGCCATTTGGCCCCCCCCCTTTGGACAACAAGCACGCAACAGTGTCCGGACTTAAGTACACCTCCACCTTGCCTCCCTCGCCACCTTCACGTCGAGATATTTCAAAGCAGCACATGCAGCGCATTATTATAGTGTAGCACCGCCGGACAGCCCGCCAACATCTAAACGCTAAACGCTCATTCCAACAGGCACTTTGCTCGATTTGTCGGGGGGCTGGATCCCACCGTCGCGTGACATCTCCACTTCGAGCCAGCAGAAGCCACCGTGGCGTGGTAGCTGCCCGTCTCCATTCGACATCGCATCGTTGATACTCTGTGAGAGCGGCCTAGGCAACTTTCAACCCAACCACATCCAAGAGGGCTGGGCGCAGCAATGGATCCGGACCGCTCGCAGGAGCCAGATCATCACAACCATCACCGGCACGGCAGCAGCGATGCTGGCCGCCAATTGCCCCAACAACGACCCACCGACCTGTCTCAGGAACGACTGCAAGCAGTAAGTTTTGATTTTTTTTCTCTGGGGTGTGAGGGGCAGCTCTCTTCTGACATTACGTTCCATTCGCTACAGAATGCACTGGCCTCAGCGGACCAGGGCGTGCACAATGCAGCAGCACTATCCCAGTCGGTTGCGGACATAACGGCGCAATCGGCAGAGAGACCACGAGTACAGGCATCCGAAGAACAATTTCCCGACCCGCCCGAGGTGCTGCCGTCAATGCCTTCCCATGGAGAGGGTGCGGCAGCCACGGCTGCAGTGCCTGCTCCCTCATCGCCACCGTCTACACGACTAGCAACAGGTGGAGGGATAGATCCGGAGGCGCAACACCGTGCGCAGCCACCAGAATCCGACCGCGGTGGCGTAGCTGCTGCTACTGGTGGCGTCAACGGCACGGCGGATGTGCAGCAAGGCGATCGCCAGTTCCATTTCCGGACGTTCATGGATAATGTCGTGCAGGGCTTGCGGACTGCTGCTACCGCCGCATTAGCGCAACAGCAGCAGGAAGGTCAAGGAGACGGGCAAGGTCGGCAGCAACGAGCATCCGAGGGAAGTGCGCAGGCACGGACTCAACAAGAGTCAGCACAAGCGGCGCCATCAGTACCCGACTCGCCGCAATCACAGCAGCAGGCAGCCCCTCTCTTCTTCGCACTCCCTATCGCGCGCCCAGGCGGGGGGCCTTCTGTCGTGCGTTTCCAACCGGCACCCTTACCACCGATCCAATCCCCATTTGGCGCTGGACGGTTGGCACCTGGCATGCTGCAGCAACGCGGCGAAATCAGCACACAACTGCACATCCCCGTGCAGCCCATTTTCATCCCACTCGGTGCCAGCCCGCTGCCGTTTGCGTTCCTGTATGACACTTTCACCAGCACCGCGTGGCCGCTCGCCGAGATTGCAACTGCTGAAGGAGCTGAAGCCCGAGCGAGCCAGACAGCACACGACCAACAGAGGCAGGGGCAGCCGCAGCCAGGTGCCTTTCCTGGTGGAGCGACGGGCGGGATCGGGCATGCTGAGCAGCACAATGCAGAAGATGGGGATGGCAGGCAGGGCGAGACCAATGCAGGGGTCGAAGGCGAACACGACCCCTACCGCCCGATCCCATTTCAATTCGTCTCAGGTCCACCCTTCCGCATCTCGCTCGCGCTGGATGCACCCGGCGGCTCACCCTTGAGCGGCCTGTTCGGCTTTGGCGCCGCGCCGCAGGGGCGTCCGCACGAAGCGCCACAGCCGCAACCGGATCCAGCGAAAGCGCATGCGTTCGTCGACGCGCTCGAGCGCGCTGACTCGGAGCTGCGTCTGCGCATGGCAAGGCTCGGCATGGGCGACATTGGCGCGTGCGGCCTTGGCGACGGCCGCGGTGCACTCGGCTGCGGTATTTGCCTGGAGGGTTACGGCGAGGACGACCGGCCAGAGTGGCTCGCGCGCTCCGCGGACGAGCGCCAGCGCGCGCAGGACGCACACGTCGTCGCAGTCCCCTGCGCAGGGCACCACACGCTGCACGCCGGCTGCCTGCGCGCCTGGCTCGCCAATCTGCCCCCACAGAAGTGGACATGCCCATTCTGCCGCGCATCGCTCAGCGAGCAACATATTCACGAAGTGCTCACGCGCGCCGAGAAGGAGCGCGTTGGCAGCAGCGCTCGCACCCTCCGCGAGGAGGTGCGCTACCGCGAACGCGTGCATGGCTGGCGCTGCAACGCGCCCGCCTGTCTGCCGAGGTACCCGGCCTCCGACCTGCTGAGCGGCGAGGACGTTGCCATCAGCACGGCCAGTGGTAACAGCCAGCCAGGACAAGCGGCGCAGGACGAGAAAGACAAGGTGATTCCGACAACAGGCCAAAGCGCACGAGATGAAGACGACACGGACTTCTTCAGCACACAACTCGTCACGCTCATCCCATGCAAGCATCAACTGCACGTCGACTGCCTCTGCATGGCCCTGCGCATCGAGGACGACCTCAAGTCGCCCGCGGACGAGTTTGTGTCATCCGACGACGACGACGCTAGCGAAAGCGAGCTCGCGGCGGACGACGCTGCGCAGGACCCCGTGGCCGATACAGACATGACAGATGGCACCGGCTCGGCCAGGTCGGGCGACACGCGCAGGCAAGGCAAGGGTAGTCGAGACGGCATCCTCGACCCAGCCGGCAGCGATGCTAGAGCGGACGTTCAAGGAGGTCGGGAGAAGAACGAGGATGAGGACGAGGATGAGGACGAGGACGAACTGGAGATAGGTCTCGGAGCAAGAGGAGAGCAAGCACGCGATAGGACCACGGGACAACTCAAGACGATCGGCAAGTGGATCCAGTGCCCTACCTGCAGGCGCGAGGCATGGGCCGAGTTTCCTGCTCGAAGAAAGATGCGGCGACAGCATCGGCAACGGCAGACGCAGGACCATCTGAAGAGCAAGAAGCTTATTGGCAACTGTGGTGGTGTGCACCGCTCGTCCGGGAAGCGCAAGCTGAGCAGCGGTGATGCGCAAGATGAAGCAGCGAGGACGGCCTTCGCAGGAGATCATGAGGCAGTGTCCGACAAGTTGGCAGAGCTTGCCGACTCAAGCACAACTCCAAACGGGGAGGACCGCCAGCAGAGGAGAATGACTGCGCGCGAGCGCGCCATGCTACAAGATCAGGAGGCCCGCCTTGTAGATGAAAACACGGATTTGTGATAGTAAGATATAGACATCCTCACTCCACATGTACAATAGCCTAGCATCATAATTTGCACGCACGATCGAGTAGCAGTTGCAGGATCCTCAAAAGAATGATAGCGCAGCTTCCATCATGTATAGAGAGCGCAGACTACACAAGTGCAGCGTTTGTGTGGTGCGAACGAGAAAGGGAGCGTAGTGGGGAAGCCTCTTCATGCGTCAGCAGAGTTGGGTGGTACCGTCGATCCGGTGGAAATGGATGTGGTCCCAGTCGAGGTTGTATGCGTCGAAAATTGACTCCAAGAGCCGTCGCTCAGTAGGTTAGTATTTGTGTGTGATCGCTGAAAATAGTTGTTGAGCGTGCGCATCCCTGGCGTCTGCACCATGGCTGCGACGCCAGTGGCCGATTCGGCTCCGAGGTTCAAGGGCGTCGAGGGCATGGTACCTGAAGCCGGCGCTTCCGTAACGGTTACTTCTGCAGTCGCACCAACGGCGGCGCCTTCCTCATTGCTGCTTGCAAGCTCAGCGAGCAAATTTTGGATCCACGAATGCTCCCGCATCTCAGCAGCCGAAGGTCGTTCATACGGATCGATGAAGAGACATTGACGGATAAAGTCAATACCAAGGTCACTAAGCTGGCCAGGCTCAGGGAGAGGTGGATGTTGCTGTGCCATGCCGATGTGAAACATGATCGCCCATTCATTGTCCAGCTGGCTCCACGGACGTCGACCAGTAGCGAATTCAAGCACGACGCAGCCAACGCTCCAGACGTCCATCGCGCCGCGCCGGCCTCTTGCTTCGCCTTTGATGATCTCAGGCGACATGTACATCGGCGTGCCTTGCAAGCTTTGTACACCACCGAGGCCTTTTCCGTCCGTGCCTGGGATGGCAATTGGGGCGGCTGCGCCGCGTCGGCGACTCTGCTGGATCGTCTTCGAATTTTTGGCGAGGATCTTGGCAGCACCAAAATCGACGAACTTAATGACGCCCATGTGATCCAACAGGATGTCTGAATATACAAAAAAGTTGATTGTCAGCATCCAGCTCCTTCATTGCGCATTTCACTCTGCACTCACTATCAGGCTTGATGTCACGATGGACAATCCCTTTGGAGTGGAGATAGACGAGGCCATCGAGCATCTGCAGCGTGTAAATCTGGATGACTGCTTCATCTTCAATTCGACCATGCTCGAGTAAGTGTGCGAGACTACCTCCTTGACAGAACTCCTCGAAAATATACACCTTGTCGCGGTGCACCTCGATACCATAGTACTGGACGATGTTTGGGTGGCTGAGCATCTCCATGACATTCATCTCATCTTTGATTTGCTCGAAGAAGGTTGGGTGCGACGCAATGTCCTGGAAGCGGATTTCCTTGACTGCCATCAAGTCGCCTGAATCGAGATTGAGGGCCGAGTACACGGTACCAAAAGTGCCTGCGCCGATGAAGCGACCAAGCTGCCATCTGATTTGAATGCGGCTGGAGGACTGGGCAAGCACTTGCAAGCCGCGGTCCTCGATGCGCGTCTCATCCAACACCCTGCCAATAAGTCGTTGCTCGGATTCAATCGCTTGACGCGCCTCTTCCCATTCGTGAATCTTGCTAATCCAGCGCATCTCCGTGTCTTCGATGCCTTCTGTTAAGAGGAGCTTTGCGGCCACGGCTTGTGAGAGCGCATACGGCGCCTTACCCACCTTGATACGAGCATCAATGTCAATGCCTTCCGCTTCAGCCTTAGCTCGCTCGAGGCGCTCATGTTCAAGCCTTTCCTGCTCTTCTCGTGTTTTTGCTGCACTGCTTCGCGCTCCCATGATGTCGAATTGCGAAATGAGCAGTGCCATGCAGCTTGCCACTTTGCTCCGCATCAGGCCAAAGTCGTACTCGTTGAGATGGAAGATGTTCTCCGCCCTGGTCACGTTCCAAGCGTTCTCGAGAGCGGCAACAGCCCACTTGAATGTCTTCCGGTCCGTCGGGACGCAATCGTCGCAAATAAATGCTACCCAATCGATTGCAAGCTTCGCAATCGCCAGTGTCATCTCCCTGCGAAGTCGCGCCGACTCAATGAAAGGCAAGGAACGCAAGCCTTGCTCCGAAGCCATGCTGTAGCAATTCTGAATGAGCTCGTCGCAATCGCCACCCTTTCCACCATGCCACGCGTCGCTGTAGGCTGCCGATCGTTCGGCACTTGACTTGCTCTGATCTGCGCCGTCCCCAAAACGTCGATTACGCAAATTTCTGCGCAGCTGAGGGACGGCTCGTAAGACAGCATCGGAAAGCATATACACGCCTTTGTTGATCAGCTTCAGCTCCTTCTGGATAGAGCTGATGTGGGCCATGTGCTCTGTGACGGTCTCCAGCGGGAAAGCAGCCCGGTGCGCATTCGGCTCTGTTTGGGGTGGCGGCGCATGCTCCTTTCCGCCAAGAGAGTCTCCTTCATTACTTCTGTCGTCTCGAGAAGAGCCGGGACTGCTTGCAAAGATGGAGTAAAGGTGGTCCTTGCACATCTGCAGTCGACCTCTTGGTCCATCGGCGATCAGCCTGAGACGAGAGTCTTGCAGATGGACGTCGATCGTTGGTAAGAAGAGTTGCATCACCGCGCCTGTCCACAGATAGTCCTCTCGTGGGGACAGGAGTAAAAGGTAATGACAGCCTTCATGGCTTACGACGTCCTCATGTTCATCTGACCCGGCCTTTTGACGGCTCTCGGCATGTCCCTCGGGCGCCAGTGGCTCCTCCAGCACCGTAGCACTGGCTTCCATTGTCCGAGCATCCTCTCCCTCGTTGCGCTGAATGCGTCTCAGGCACTTGCAAAGCAGTTCGCGGATGAGCTCCGGCTTATCGGCCAATGTAGGGTCGGCGATCAGGTAGGTACCGGACTCTTCGAGGCTCCAGGTGTAGACCAGGAAGAAGCCTGCATTGCTGAGCTTCTGCATGAAGTCGCTCAGGTCCATCATCATTGGTGTCCCTGGCGGATGCGTCTTCGAAGCTTCCCCATCCGAGGATCCTGTTCGAACTGGCGCAAGAGATGTCAAGTCGTATTCCGCTGCATTGTCAAGACGAGCGCGTACGTCTCTTGCAAATCCCAACAACTTTCGACTTCGGATGCGCACGTTGTCGAACACAGCTCGGATCCACTTGGCCTTTTCCGCCAGTGTCATGCGAACCTTGCCCTTCGTCAACCCTCCCGCAGTAGAAGGCGCTCGCAGCTGCGGATCGATACCGGTCGAAGTTTTTGCAGCCGCTGCTGCAGCGCTCCCTTGTACCGCGGGTTGAACACCTCGAGAAGTGGACGGTGCGGACAACTCCCGTTCAAAGTACGTGACAATACGCGCAAACAGCTGGGAAGAAGAGTCATCAGCATTCGCACGCTGACAGGAGACCTTAGAAGTCTGGCAACTCACCTTATTTACGATCTTCGTAATGCTCTTCGCAACGATGACATCGCCGCCGTTGATCACCGAGACAGCGGTGCTGAGGAAGAGCCACTCTGGCTCAAGGATCTCCGTCTCTTTGAAGAACACGCTACCTTTCAGCTTGGAGTTGAGCAAGCGGAAGAAGAAGCGCAGCGCGTCACGCAGAACGGCGTCGTAGCCATCGTCCAAGCTCTGCGGTAGGTCCCATCCATTGTCCGGATCCGGCACCATGATCGACTGGTATTGCAGCTTCACCTTGCAAGCGAGTGCCAGCGCTGAGCGGATATCGTCCGTGAGCGAATCGACGATCAAGACAGACGGCTCTTTCAATTTGCCAGCGTAGTCAAGACGAAGCGTCAGCGCGCCTTCCATTAGGCTTGCTGGGAAGCCGATGAGCTGGACCAGCTCGGGCTCGAAGCTCGGCAGGTCCATTTCGCCAAAGGCGATGTGGTGCGATTTGATGGCCTTCCTCGCTTTGAGCAGCAGGGCGTTGAGAGCGGTTAAGGTCCGCTTCTCGAATGTGCTCTTCAGATTGCTCTCCTTCATCAAGCGCTCGACGAAGCTGCGCTCTTCTCCCTCTGCCGTCACATTCGCCACAGGAGGGAGATCCGGATGCGAGGTGGGATGCGAGGTAATCTCGAGCGAGGTGCTTCCCGTCCATTTCTGCAGCACGCTGATCTGCAGCCGAAGCGAAGAGAAAATGTTGTACCAGCTGTACAGCGCAGCCAGCTTGTCTTGAATCTCCGGCGAGCCCCATTCTGGTGCAACTTCAATGATCTTGCGCTGCGATGGGAATTGCTCCTCCGCCTTGTCGACGCGAGCGAGTAGCTGCCCAACTTCTTCAAAAACACGCTCCTTTTCCTCTTGCGCTTGCCGGATCCTGTGTTCATTTTCCTCGGACGAAAGTGTTCCGCCTGATGTGGACGCCACAACACCGTCGCGCTCCGAGCCATTCGCTGCCTCGTGCTCCTTCTGTGTTCGCTGCAGCGCTTCCTTTGATCTGCAGTCCTTGACAGCTTGTATCACTTCTTGCATCATGCGCGGCCATCCTTCCGTCAATGTTGCCCTTTCCGCCTCGAGTGCCGCTTTGCTGTGCCCGCGGCCACGGAGGTAGGAGCGCATCTCGAGCCAGCGCTGGTGCACGATCTCGCTGCGACTCATCTCCGGTGCATCGACGCTTGTGATACGCTTCGTCTCGCTGCGCAGGACTTCGGAGCCGAGAACAGAATGCAGCATCGTCTGCCACTCCAAGCGCTGCCGCGGCTCGAACTCGGGCGGAGCGGCTGCTGACGCCTCGGACGCCGCAGTTCTCGCGCCGGGTTCGCCCGATGGGCTGGGATCCGCGCTGGAAACGTCAGGTGTGGCTCCGGAAGCAGCTGAGTGATTGATCTCGAGAATGGGTGTGTGGATGGCGTTCAGGTTGTGTGGAAAGTAAGACCCAGGCGTCGCAGCCGCGAGCCTGGAGGTACCTGGCAGCGGCGGGCTGTAGAGATCAAGGCCGCCTTTAGAGCTTGCATTCTCCTGCGCGCCAGCTGGCGTACCTGTGCCTTCGCAACCTGCATCCCCTCGCAGGGGTCTTGCGTCGAGGTACGAAGCCCTTTCCTTATCTGGCGCGGCCTCACTTGCTGCACCTGCCCGCGAAGCTCGAAGCAGGTACTGTTCTCCGTCTTCACCTAGAGGGTCACTTTCGCTTGAAGCGCTATCGGTGAGGTGAAAATCTGTGCGGGATCGATAAGAGCTACTCTTCTTGTGTCGAAGGTTCTTCTTCAACCCCTCGTCCGCAGAGTCTCCATCGATTGGCTTTTCCTTTCCTTTCCTGCTATTGCGGGACGAGCCCCGCCGCCTTTGAGATGGGCGAAGTGTGCCACTACTGAGATCCTGAGCACCGCCTGTAAGAGCGGACAAGCTGCCTGTGGAAATGCCGCCCGAGCTGCTACTGCTGGCTGTGCTCGCCGAGTCGCCCTCCTCTTCCTCTAACGCCAAACTAAGGCTGGTGTCCGTTCCTTCGCGCCTGTGGAGGCCAAACATGGAGCTCTCCATCACATCAAGTTCGTCTTCTTCGGCAAAAAAGTCCTCCTGCTCCAGCTCCAATGCTGCTTTACGATTGTAGGCGTCCATCGATCGTTGTACCAAGCTTGAGCTTGCCTCTGCCATCCCATCCGGACTTTCTGACGAGAGGCCGCGGTCCTCTGGCACAGGAGCACCGAAAGAGCTTGTTCGCGACTTGGAATTAGTAATATGCCGCAAGGAGGAGGATGAACGTGGGACCGGGCGAGGTGTAATGCGCGTGCCGGCACCTGCCGCTGGCACACGAGCGGGCGACAAATTCGTAGTTAGGCTGTGGGGGCTTTGTGAATTGCCTCCGGCAGGGGTGAGGACTGGAGTTCTAGCATCTTGTTGAAAAGGTTGGCCTGAACCGGCAGATGTGAACCTGCTCGGTGATAGGTGAGGCAACGTTCGCTCCACGTTTGGGCCAGAATGTGCTGTCGCTGCTTGTGGGCTGTTTCCAATAAACGGCAAAGCCTCAGTCATGTTTGGTTGATCGTGATCAGGCATATCGAAACGCTGCTGCTGGGGATCCTGTGAAATGTCCTGTGGCGCTTGCATCGATTCACCACCTTCAGCTTCTTCATCTTGTGTTGAAAGCATCGTGCTAAATGGCATTGCCGGTTATGCGTGCCGATTCTCGTCGGTCATTCCTCTCGCATTTGATGCTTCCAGCCGCATCAAGCGTGAGCAGACGAAGGGTTGCAGGCGAAAAAGACAGGATGAGCCAAGAAGGGAAGCTGGACAAGGCCAGTCAAGGTCGCCGACTTTGTGGATGATGAGAGCAGAAGGTATATGCTTGTGCACTTCTAGCCGCGGTCCCTGGCCATGCATGTGCTGCTGCCATGCATGGTCAATGTTTGCCTTCAGCTGCACCAGAGGAAATGGAGATGACAATGTGTGGCCCGCGGGCCCGCGTACTTGAGTCCCGGCGGATCGCGCGCTTCATCAAATCAGTAGGGCTACACATGTCACCGAATAGGGTTGTGCTACTGTTCGCCTTGGATGCTTCAAGGGCAATTACCAATCATGCTTCATCGCTTCCAGTGGTTTTGAGGTTAACACAGCTTTGCACCTGGCGCCTTCGACCGCAACAATTTGTACCAAGGTGAGGCTTCAGGCTCGATCTTGCTCCTCTTTGTTCGGGACGCACTGCAGCACCGAGGCAAGCTGCTCAACAGCATCCCAGTATTGTTTCCAGCTACCAACAAGCCTCCACCCTGCGGACACGAGTCCTCATCCGCTCCGACCAGCATCATTTCTTCGAAGCTAGCCTGCAACGCGATTTGAAATAACATTGGATAGACAAAATGTCGTCAATAACTCCCAATTCGTCTCTGTATGTCAAGAATATCAACAACAAAGTGAAAAAGGCAGGTGCGTATTTGTCAAGCCATTCAACGTATCGTGCGCTCCAGACGTGACTGATTTTTTGGCTCACAATCATTCTTTCTTGATCGGAATCGGGGCACCAGAGCTGCGCTCCCAACTCTACGCACTGTTCAATGCCTATGGTCGCATCATTGATGTAGTCGCAACACGGTCCAAGGGCATGTCGGGCCAGGCGTTCATAGTGTTTGCCGACTTGGCGAGCGCGACCGCCGCACTGCGCAGTCTGAACGGGTTTGAATTCTACGACAAGCAGCTGGTGAGTAGTGCTTTCATACTCACCCAGCTTCTGACTGCTTAAAATCTCTGTTCGCCTCATGATAGCGGATTGACTATGCGCAGACAAAGTCACGAGCCACAATCATCCATGAGCTCGGGCACGAGGCGCTGTTCGACGCGAAAATTCTCGCGACGACCAAGAAGAGCGGCAGCGAAGGCTCTGGCTCTGCCTCAGCCGCTGGCGGGCGCGTGACATTCTCGAGTGCACAGGGGAAGGGAAAAGCGGGTGCAAAAAAGCGAGGGCGGGACGAAGATGACAGTGGTGAAGAAGAGGACGAAGATGACGAAGGCGACGACGTGGACGAGAGCCGATCACGACGAAAAGCGCAAAAAACCGAGGACGATGGAAAAGAAGATGAAGGGAGCGATGACGGCGAAGCGATGCAAATGGTGGACGAAGATGAGGATGCAGATGACGCCGGTGTGGCGCTCGGTCCGCCGCTACCTGAAGCAGGAGGTGTGCCGAACGACACGCTTTACTGCCCAGACCTACCGGATGATGTGACAGACGAGATGCTAGGCGTGCTTTTCGGGCAGTGAGTCTTTTCTCCTTTCGTCTTATTCCCTTTATCGCATCTTAAGTAACAACTCCTTCCTACTCATAACTCATGGTGTGCAGATACCCGGGTCTTTCGAGCGTCTCGATCGAAGAACCTGCCGCATCAGCAGTCCCAACCGGCGGGAGGAGGACCAAGAAGGCAGTGGCAGCGGTCAAGTACGCATTCGTCAAGTATGAGAGAATGCAGCAAGCGACCAAAGCCAAAGATGCGTTGCATCAGTTCAAGTTGGCACCGAAGAAGGTGCTGTCTGTGCATTATGCTAAAAGGGGCTGATTAGCGTCACATTGTTTCGTTACGGACGTACATACATCCACAACCACAGGCATTGCCCTTCATGAAGATTACGCATGTTTTTTCTGGTGAAATGAGCTTACTTAGCATTGGGGTGCAGGCAAGGAACAGACTGCAAGGCTAGATGGGCTCGCCAACAAGGCTCTATGTATTACATTAAAGCATCGCTCTATAAGGTGCTAAGTTGTTGCTGCTCTCGGACATTGTGTTCGCTGTAAATTTCTCATCTTGTTTGCAGTGTACTGCGCCTCTCTGCTCTCCCATGATATCATCCTTAACTATCGCCAGGTAGATAGGATCCCTTGTTGCCCACGCGCTGCGAGATGCGCGCCGAGATGGTCTCTATTAAGCTCCAAGTCATGCCGTGTCTGTAATGGAAAGAAAGCAAAAATTGGAATGACAAAGCAAAACATCGAATGGGTCAGCAGGGCGCAAAGAACGAAGAGGCGAAGGGACGTCACTCACGAGATGAAGCTCCGAAGCGCACTGACACCAAGCCCCCTGTACAGTCGGAGGAAGCGTTTCGGCAGCGTATCCGTTGATACTTGTCCAGGCGGCGGTGGTCTTTCGGAGAGAATACGTGCAAAGAGCTGCAGACCAGTCAACTTGCGCGGGTGACCAGACAGCTCGCGCTTCTGCACGTTTGTCTTGAGCAAGTCGACGGGGTATACTGTGGGAGCACGCAGGGGAAAGGGTACGCGTGTCAGGCAAGCGCCCGCTGTGCTTGCACATTATTCATTTGATGCCCATGCATCCACTCACCAATGAGCCACGACGCGATACCGGCAGTTGATCCAGTCAAGAACGAGACTACGGGACATGGGATGCCGAATAGCTGTGGGCCAGAGTTGGAATCTCCGCTCGAGTGGCGCTGCACAAGCGAGCGCATGGTATCGTAGAAGCCAAAGTAGAGAGCTAAAACGCGGAAAAGAGTCGTTTCCATATCAGTCTGCATTCAAAAAAGAAATAGCATATCCACGACCAAAAGCAGACGTGATGTAGACGCACTCGTGCCCAAGGTATCTCGCATGATGTGCAGCGGAAAGCCAATGTAGAACCCCTTGATCCCACCATGATTCTTCCAGATGGCCGAAGCGGCCTGGAAGCCCGACTGGGGCTTGTACCGCTCGTGTGCCTGCTTGGAGGGTCTGCCGGGCTTGCCGGGGGCCGTGGAAGGCGAACGCACGAGCCCGTTCTGCACTGCAATGAGGTACTCGAGCTGGCGCTGCACCTTGACCAGCTCGAACGGCGCCGAACCGCAGCTGATGATTACGCCACTCGTTGCGCCGGCCGCTGCACCGCTCATAGCAATGTCCCAGAGGTTCTTCGGGTTATTGTAGTAGCCGGCGTTGTGTAGACGATCTTTGGTGGAGTAGTAGATGCTGAAGCTGCTCGTGCGCACGAACGTGATGGTGATCAACGGAATGGTGACGCCGCGAAAAAATCCACCGAGGCCCTCCTCCCTCGCGACTGCCTTTGTGCAGTTCCATATCGCCGGCGGAGGATAATCCTTCACTTGCAACCGCGACTTAACCGAGTCGAATGGGAACGAGGCCATCGTCGAGACCAATGAGGCAGTGCCCGCCGTCACCTGGGTGCGATGCTCCCATAGAAATTTGTCAGTCTGCGCCTCGGTCGGGAGATAGAGCTTGCAAAGTTCGTCGAACTTTGCTTTGAAAGGTAAGCGGGCCGGTTTTGGATGATTTGATGATGTAGGCACTGAGGGCACTGAGGGCACTGACGATGACGACGAGCCGCAAGACCCAAAGAAGCCTGAAGATCCACTATCACCATCTTCGACTGGGGTGTGAACGTAGTAGGAGCGCTGGTGATCGTGCCTCTTTGCGCTCGTGACTGGCCCAGCGTGTTCGGACGCTTTAGCCAGCACCGAACGGCAGCATGAAGAATATACATCCGATGCCTGTAACGCGTCGCCATTTCTACTCCTTCGCTCATTGCAAAATGGTGAAGCCGACCGTAATCGCTGCCGGCCACACAGCTGCTCTGTGGGCCTCGCGAAAGGCGCTGAAAAGGCAAGAGCCTCGCATTCAGGTTGTCGTGATTCGGGAAGGTTGCGGTGACCTCTCGAAGTCGATGCTGTATTGGGATGTGAGGAAAAGAAGCTGGTGCCAGACGACAACCAGGAGAACGACATCATCGCCTCGGCGTCGTCGTCGGCCGGCGGAGGCGCGACCCCCAAGAGCGCGACGACTATTGATCACTCCAAAGGATTGTTTTGCGTGGAGGCGGTGTCCGCTATTCCATCATGCGCCTAGTGCTCATTAATAATATGGAGCCCATGCTATATGCATGCACAACTGGAGGCCATGTCAAGTTGAGTTCGCTCTGGGATGATTTCTCACAGCGGACAAAGCCGGGCTGTCACTGCGGGATAGTGCGAGGTTGAGGGTTGCGGATTCGGTACTATGAGTTGCTCCGTCGCATCCTAGCAAGGGGTCGAGCACGTTCCGCTCCACTCTGCCCAGTTCGAAGCATCAATGGAGCACAAGTTTCTTGACTCGCCTTCGTCATTGTCCATCCAATTTATGCTTCATCTTGTACAATGCATCTATCACCTTCAACCCGTATAACTGCGATTATGGCTTCCTAAGCCTTGCTGTGCAGGTCACACCTGCAATCTAAAAACGCGGCCAACCCTTCATGTCGTCCTGCATCGCAATCGCAACACCGCCCGCCCGCCACTTCTCGAGTATGCTCTTCAATCTGCTATGTACAAGTTTCACGGAATCGATGCTTTTTGTCATATGCCTCATGTCATTCCCCTATGCGTGCTACGATCGCGTCAATCCTTGATATCCCCACTCTTCAGCTCTCAGGCGTCCATACATGACTTATTGATGGGGGGAATGGACATTGTCCTCGGTCAAGTCTTTTTCTCGGCTCCTCCCACGAAGCCATCTGTGCATGGTTGTGACTGACCATCATCTTTTCCAGGTGGTATATTATGGGGACCTTAAAGCATCCATTCAATCATATCGACAGCCTTTCTTGGAGTCTTGTCTTGCGTTCATCGCTTTGCCAGAATACTATGTCTTGCCTTTCGAGCCCGCAATCGGTTTCACCTCGAGCACGCTGACGTGTATTATCATCATGTCCGATTCGTCAAGTGCAACCGATATGTTCGGTGGCCACGGACATGCGCTCCCTTCTCTCGTAAGCTCCATTGTCAAGACGCAGTCGAGATGACCTAACCTGGGTCCACACAGCAGAATGCACGACCTGCGCAACTGAGTCGCTCGTCGACAACCTCATGAGCTCCGAGGGATGAAAGCAGGTCAGCGAATCGATCAAAGCAGACGCGACGCAGGCCATTCACGACGTGGCAGCCAACAAGCCGTACGCGGACGGCAACATGGCGTCCGGTCAGGCAGGAAAGGCCACAGAGAACGCATGTTCCGTCGTTGGTGGAGGTATCGAACAGAACAAGGCCGCTTGAGCAGGCGCAGTTGGATGAAGGGAGTGCATTGATTTGCGTCCAACCAATCAGGCTGCTGCTCACCCCTGAGATGGACGAGACTTGAGCGAAATCGCTATTTTATGCTACAGAAAATGCAATAGCGTGTACATGGTGAAAAAAGCCTGCATGAATGGAGTAAGGCAGGAAATTCCGCAAGAGAAACGAATGCAACGCAATGCTTCATCAAAAATCATCCGTGTCATCCCTTCTCCTCTCTTGCCGCGATTTTGGACGTCTGAACGTCCACGCGGAAGTGGCAGTGTGTGCTGTTGCTGTCGTATCATTGGCAGATGTAGGGCCTTTCGTTCTTTCGTCTGCGCTGGGACACGCCTTGCGCTTCTCACCAACGTTGGCTGCCAATGGCAGCGGTTGTTCTTCATCAGGTTCTGTCTCGCTGCCGCTAAACTCTTCAGCGTCCTGAACCCCTTTGTCGTTACTGCCGCCATTGTTGACATTGCTGGTCGCATCTGCGGGCTCACCACGCGCAGAGAAAGGTATAGGCGCAGATGCGGGTGCTGTGGCTGCTCTGAATTGTTCATCCTCTGGTGCTGTGTCGCTGCTCGCCGCGTCTTCTGCGTCCTGCAAGTCGCTCTGCTTGCCTTGGTGAGAATCTTTCACACCAGGCTTACAAAGTGGCGGCATTGGTGTGTTCTCGACGTCAACCATGCTCCCGTCATTACTGCTCTTGTCCGCCCGATTCCAATTGCTCCTTTTTGCTGTGGAGGCAGAGGCTTCAGGCCATACATCCTCGGACTTCTTTGGCCACACGTCATCATTTAAGTCGCAATGATCGACTGGCTTGCCTTTAGCTGGAGGCGCCTTACCCTTTCCCTTTTCGCGTCTCAACACCTCCACACCCTCATGATCCTCGAATTCATTGTGCTCGTCACGAACCTGCGCCAATTTGAGAATGTCAATCTCTTTGTGTTGACCGCCATTCTCCTTTGCCGCCTCGGAAAAGTTCTTGCTGCGGTAAAGCGCTTTGAGCTGATCCATGGTGTCGTTGGTCAGCAGCTCCTTAGGAGTGAAGAGCGATGTGCGTAATCCTGCCGAATGCTTTGCAATTGTGAAGGAAGAAGATTGTGAGTCAATAGAACAAAGAATATTGCTAACTGCAGAAAGAACATCACGCACGTCGGAAGTGATACCTATGTAAGAGTACAAGTCGGCTTTGCAAGCAGACGGTGTAGTCCCTGGGAGGGCGTAATCATATACTGAGAATCAAGCTATGCTCCCGTTTCTACATGCAAAGCGGAGAGATTCTCACCCGTGTCTTTGATTAGAGCCGTTAAAATCTTTGATAGTGCATTTGGCGCATGCAGCCGGATATCAATGACGTTTAAAAACGCTAAACCAAAGCTACAACAGGCCACACTCACCTCGGCGACGTGGACCTTGTTCCAACAGCTTCTGACATAAACCTGAATCGGCCATCTCTCTCCGGTATCTTCTCGTCCATGAAAGCCGGAACCTGGTTGAACATGATCTGCACTCGCAACTTTCACGATGCCAGTCTGAGCAAGACCCTCGGAAGGCTGCAGGTACTTGGAAAGAGCACCATTCTGCAATGAGCGGGAAATTCGTGCAAAAAGCGCATCGACATGATCGCGATCAGAGAAAAAGAGCCTGGAGGCATGTGAAATCCGCAAGAAGACACAGTCAGGATGGTCCAAAGTCAACGAACAAGCTCGATATCAGACGACGCACCATCTTCCACCGTCAATGCCAGAAGTGAATGCAACCTCCTTGAGATCGTCTTTGAGCTTTGAGCTCACGATTTCTCGGTGATTTTTCTTACTCTTACCCTTGGCCTTGCTTGTGCGAAGGGGAGTCGAGCTGTCCGCCTTGTCACACATAGTTGAGCTCAAGATAGCTCTTCGTCTTCAGGCGCCTCGTGCACTCACTTGAATCTCTTTAATCCGTTTGATAGCACTTACAAATAGACCAATCCCTTGCGCGATCGCCGTGACCAGTGTTGAATCGTCTTTTCCTGAGCCATTAGGAAGAAAGCCAGGGCCCACTTGTACCCAGATCCAGCGACCGTTTGGCCCTCCTTTTGTCACGGACGGTTTGTTTTTTGCAATAAAATCGTCCAGCGACTCTGCAGATCCCTCGTCCCATTGCAGGTCAGAGGAGGAAGGTTGATCACGCTCTACTGCCTTGGAAACGTCGTCCATTGCGATGACAACCGAGAATTTACAGCTTCCAAGGTGAATGAAAAACTGCACCACGGTGCGGTCGGCCAGGCGTCAGGCAAGATCGCGGAATGTAAGCTGGCACCATCTGAGCACGCTTTCGGATCTCCCGTATCCGTCAGCGGATCGGTTTAACAAGCAGCATGAGTGCCACCAATGACGTAAAGGTGGTTGCCCATGCTTGGCCTGGATTTATAGCTACTTTCCTCTCTGTGCTGATGGACGATCGACGCCTTTTGGGCGGAGTGCATAGTCGCATGGAGGGCCCTTTAGCCACATGGCGTATATTAGAAGAGCTGCTGAGCGCAGCTGGAAAAGAAATAATAAAAAAATGTGGGCTGGTGACGCGTCGAAAATAAAGAAAGGCGTCGCGTCGCGACTCGCGTGTGAGCTTCACCAACGTCGCGAGAAGAGCGAATCCATTCAATTCGTGCTGCTCGATCCATCACTTCCTATGTTGCCCTCCTTTGTGACTCATCAGCAGCCGATCACGCGTGCTATTCGCAGCACAGCTGATACATCGAACACGCTCAGAGCCTCAAAATGGCAAGCAAGTCTAGGATGAGCGCGCTTGCTGCGCTAAAAGCAAAGCGAAGAGGCGAATCGATTGCTCAAAAGGTGAGTCACGTCCAGGACTCCGGGAAAGCATCCCCTTGCTGCCGCGTGCCAGGTCTTCTGACCCGCCATGGTCAATTTGACTGGCTGGCAGGATGATTCCGACTCGGATGTCGATCTCTATGACGAGGTCAATGACGAAGAATTCAAGTCAATTGTTCGCGGTCGGATGATGACAGACAACTTCATCGTAGACGACGACGGCGGTGGGTACGTCGATACTGGGGCGCCAGAGTGGGAGCGCGAAGGCTCAGAGGAGAGCGATGGAGAAGACGAGGTGCGGCTGGAAGCATTCGGAACCAAGTCTCGGAGGGGGAAGCGGAGCCTTGCGGAACAGAATGACTATGTCAAGGCGGCAGGCGCAAAGAAGGACAGCAGAAAGCCACCCTCCACAGGCTCTGGCCTTTTCGGACGGGGTGGCAGCAGCGCCCGACCGCTCTTTGGTGGTGCGAAGCAGAATACAGCTGCGCAGGATGATGACTTCATGAGTAATATCTTCAATGACCTCGAAAGTGGAACCTGCCCGACAAAGCCTACTACAAAAGCGTCCTCCACACCGGCGGGCAACAGCACATCCAGGAAGCGTCGAAATGAGGAAGCAGCATTTGAACGCTTCAGAACGACGCATGTGGCAACCATTACATCTTCCAGCCCGCATACAGAAGAGCTACCGAGCAGTGACTCGGTTGAGTCACCAGCTGATGCGCCTATGCAACACAACGTCCGCGTCCTCGACGGCAAGGACTACGGCTCGCCGTCATGGGATCATGAGGGGCTTGCGTCGTCTCCACTGCCGACGAAGAAGCTCAAAACATCTGCTTTCACGCGTCAAGCCAGTATCTCCGACATCCCACCTTTGCCGCTCACGCCGGAGTTCTCCGACGATGACGACGAGGATTCCATCCTCTCCATCCGCAAAGCAGCAGAGGGCAAGGCGCGGCCAGCTGCTTCTAACATGCGCATCTCGAGAGTCCAAGTCTCCGCACCTGCATCAACCAAAACTGAGGCCTATGAAAGTAAAACTCCAAGCTTAGGCAAGAATGGCCCACAGAGTACAGCGCACAAGCAGAGCAACGCCAAGGCGAACGTCATTGGCTGGCGCGATATCCATGCAAGTCTAGTTCAGGCTGAGAAGCTAGATGAGGCTGACAAGAAAGGCAATCCGGCCAAGATGAACATGAATGGATCCGGGAATGTTGCAAGCTCGGATCCACAAATCTCAGATGACGAAGGGGAAGGATCAGCCGATAAAGACGCAACCGCCAAAGCGACATATTTTGAGCAGACATCAAACACCGTGCATTTCTACTGGTTGGACCACCTCGAGCAGGGCGATAAGGTCTATCTCATTGGCAAGGTCAGGTCCAAGCAAACGGGGCAGTATGTATCGTGCTGTGTCGCGGTCGAAGGCATGGAGCGTTGTCTGTTCGTCCTACCTAAGAAAGCGCCGGAGGAGCAGGGTGAGTTGTTGCAGCAATTGTCCGCGTCAATTCTTGTCGGTTCTGATCTTCCAATTCTGCACTTAAAGGCCTGGAGCAGAGCAGGGCCATCCGTGAAAGCAAAAAGCTGCGAAAGGAGCGCGAGCGCAAAGGCGAGTCAACAGACGACATCGAAGATATGGAAGAGGAGGAGGAGCCTTGGCAAGACGAAGTCTTTGATGAATTTGACTCGATCCGCAGCCAGCACGGCATCAACTCTTTCATCTCCAGCTGGGTTGTACGCGACTATGCATTCGAGCTTTCTGACGTCCCTCGCGAGTCTAAGTACCTCAAGGTTCGCTATGGCTTCGATGAGCCTGCATTGCCTTTCGACATTTCAGGCAACACCTTCTCGCGCGTCTTTGGCACCAACACGTCTGCTTTTGAACTCTTCGTCCTCAAACGCAGGATCATGGGCCCATGCTGGCTCAAGCTCGAGAGTGCCAGCATAAACACTGGCACTCCAATCAGCTGGTGCAAGCTAGAGCTCACCGTAGACGAGCCCAAGAGCGTGAGCACCTTCTCAGACAGTGACAGCCTAGCGCCAAAGGAGACACCGCCCCTCAACGTCATGAGTCTGAGCCTGCGCACGGTGGTCAATGTCAAAGAGAACAAGAAAGAGATCCTCTGTGCAAGCGCACGGACCTGGATCAACTACGGTATCGAGGACACAACGCCGCTCGAAAAGGTGCCGTCAAGCCTTCACACCTTTGTCCGCGCGCTTGGAGCCAAATTTCCGAGCGGATTCGAGCAGATGTCCAGAATGTCCAAGACAAAGATGGTCGCAATCAAGTACGAGCGAGGACTTCTCAATGCACTGCTCGGTGCGTTCGCCTCTGCCGTGACCGACGAGATTGTTCACTAACTTTTATTGCTGTGAACTCGCAGCCCATATCAGGTCTGTGGATCCGGATGTAATTCTTGGCCACGAGCTCGTTGGCGTCACGCTCGATGTCCTCCTACACAGGATGCGAGACCTCAAGGCTGCGCACTGGAGCCAAATTGGCCGCCTGCGAAGGCCAAAATGGCCACCACTGCGGCAAAACTTTAATGTGCCTCTCTTGGCCGGTCGACTTGTGTTGGATCTGGCCAGCGATTGTGGGAAGGTGAGGAAATCGGCTTGCGTCTTGGGGGTCTGCAAGTACTGATACGTTCAATGTCTTTCAATGACAGAGCATGATTACATCCACAACATGGTCGCTCACAGAAATGGCAGGGACACATCTTGGGATCCAGCGGGAGGATATTGATCCCGACGAGACAGCAGGTGTTTTTGTTGGCGAAGACGCGAAGCAAGTCATGCTCTTCCTCGCACACAACGACATGGATACGTGGCTGCAGATGGCGATCGCGTGCAAGGTGCAGATCCTCCCCCTCACCAAGCAGCTAACCAACATTGCTGGCAATAGTTGGAACAGGACACTCAACGGTGGACGCGCCGAGCGCAATGAATACATTCTGCTTCATGACTTCCACGAGAAAAAGTACATCTGTCCAGACAAGCTCTCCTTGAAGGACAAGCGAGGTGCTGCCAGGAAAGCCGCCGAGGAGGGTGCCGAGGAGGGTGCAGATGCGCAAGGCTCAAGCAAGAAAGACAAGTTCAAGGGTGGTCTTGTCTTTGAACCCAAGAAAGGTCTCTGCGACAAGTTTGTGCTGGTCATGGACTTCAACTCGCTCTACCCGAGCATTATCCAAGAGTTCAACATTGACTTTACAACGGTCGTGCGCGCTGGACCTGCCTTTGCCGACGTGGACGCAATTCCCGACATTCCCTCATCGGACGTCGAACGCGGAGTTCTGCCGACACTCATCGCGAAGCTCGTCGACAAGCGTCGGGACGTCAAGGGACTGATGAAAGACAAGAAAGCATCCGCGGCCAGCCTTGCGCAGTGGAACGTCAAGCAGCTCGCGCTGAAGCTCACAGCCAACAGCATGTACGGCTGTCTCGGTTTCGAAAACAGTCGCTTCTACGCCAGACCGCTCGCTGCGCTGACCACATTCAAAGGTCGTGAGATCCTCACGCAGACCAGGGAGCTTGCCGAATCACTTTCACTCGAGGTTATCTACGGTGACACAGACAGTGTCATGATCAACACGAATGTAACCGAGTATGCGGAGGCAATCAAGATCGGACGCGAGTTCAAGAAGGCGGTCAACAAGCGGTACCGGCTGCTCGAGATCGACATTGACGCTGTCTTCCAGCGCATGCTGCTGTTGCAGAAGAAGAAGTATGCTGCGCTCAAGATCGAGGATGATGGCAAAATGACAAAGGAAATCAAGGGTCTCGACATGAAGCGTCGTGAATACTCGATGCTGTCCAAGGATGCTTCAGCGTGAGTTTTTGCTGTGCGTTGAATCATGCCATACATGCAACGGTCTGACTGATACCTTTCTCGCTCGCTGCAGATACGTACTGGATCAAGTCCTCTCCGGAGAGCCGACCGAGGTTGTCATCGAAAACGTGCACGAGTTCCTGCGCAAGCTTGGCAAAGACGTGCGAAGCTCTCAACTTCCTTTGGATGCATTCATCATCTACAAGAGACTGGGCAAGAACCCAGAGGACTACCCGGACGCCAAGTCGCAGCCTCACGTCCAGGTGGCGCTGCGCATGAAAGCGAAAGGGAGCAGCGCGCGCTCCGGAGATGTTATTCCCTACATCTTTTGCAAGCCCGAGGGCAATGCCGCCTTGACGAAGAGCGCACAAGCCGACAGGGCCTTCCACCCAGATGAGCTGAGACGCGCAGAGTCGAAACTCGTCATCGACTACGAGCACTACCTCTCACTTCAGGTTCTGCCGCCTATCGAGAGGTTGTGCGAGAGCATCGAAGGCACGGACAAGGCACGCTTAGCAGAGTGCCTCGGCTTGGACACTAGTCGCTACGCATACGTCACGTCCGAAGCTATGGACAGAGATTCAGCCGCTTTCAGCACGCTCGACAGTCAGATGACAGCGGAAGAGCGGTTTAAGGACTGCAGGCCACTGGAGTTCCACTGCCGAGCATGTGGGGACACAATCGCGTTCGCGGGTTTGTTCCGCGCGCACCAAAAGCGCATCATGGCCGGCGACCATCTGCGCTGCCCGCGGTCCGAGTGCAGATCGCGCATCCCGCTGCCCTCACTGGGGCTGCAACTGCAGCAGCGTATCGCAGAGCACATCGCGACGTACTACGCCGGCTGGATGGTGTGCAGCGACAGTGGCTGCGGACTGAAGTCGCGCCTGACGGGCGTGTATGCTAAGCGCTGCCTTGCGCCCGGGTGCCATGGGCTGGCGGTGCAGGTGTACAGTGACAAGGCGCTATACACACAGCTGAGCTACTATGCGCACCTCTTTGACGGCGAGGCGCTTCAGCAGAGCGCTGAGGAGCTCAAGCATCCTGGCACGGCCGCGCAGGTGCTCAGCCAACACAAGGTACTGGTGGGGACGTTGAGCAATGTCGTCAAGCAGTACCTCGAGAAGAGCGGGCGGAAGTATGTCGATCTGGGCAGCCTCTTTGCTGGCGTTTCGCTCGGGCCGCGGAGGACAGTGGTTGTGTGAGACTCAAGACTACGCGAGAGCACGATGGACATCTAATACTTTCAATCTGTACTATACGAAGTAAGAGCAATATGAATTCTGAATTCACACCTGTTTTGACGTAGGCCGCCGACGACTGGGTGTAAAGCCGATGAAGAGATGAGAACGAAACGATGTGTCCAATATGGTGTTCACCATTCGAAAAGTAGTAATCAACCACCCACTCTTAGGGTTATGAGGTATCGCACCGGCAGGCGTGCAGCGCCATACGCTCTGAAGATGGTCGGTCGGCAAGGAATAGGTGACGCAAAGCATTCACCTCTGCCACGGTGTGGGGCCCCACCATTGGCACACCCGCCAGGCACCTTATCGCCCATGGTCAACTAAGGTATATGCCCTGTAAAGCGCGTAGACTTTATGGATATAACCAGTCTCTGTGCCTGCCTTTCTAGAGAGTGCCTCTGCCTCTGCACTTGTGTCATTGGCCCGCTCTCACCCGCCACGCTCGCAACAACATCATGTAATGCAAAACGCAGCTGACAGCTTGTGCATTGCCGCGGCCCCACTCCCAATTGTGTGGGCGCGTGGGTATCTCAGGAGAGGAGCCACAATCAATATCACCGCAAGCAACACTCGCGAGCTCGCGCCTTAACTGGACTGAGCATGCTCCTGCATAGGGTCCCCCCCGTATGGATATGGTGGACTCGCTACCTTCATCTCCAGCTTGTCTCCTGGGCCAGGCATCTGCATGACAAGTCGTTGAATCAGGATCCTTCCTTTATCTGCTATCCGTCTTCGAACTCGCCAATTGGGGGTCGCGCCGCCATGCTGCTCACCAACCGAATGCGAGGCGCATGTCGCCTCGCCGCAGGCAACAGCAGCATTGTTGGGCGAGCTTGTGGAAGGGTTACGGCAAGCCGCTCGTACGCAGGCAAAGGCGCTTTTGGCTTCCTCCCTCCTCCGGCGCTCACGATTGAGGACTGTGAGTTGGAGTGCTGCACCGGCTACTTCACAATCACTCATGCACAGACTCGATCTTGGAATCGCAGACACGCCAGAAGAGCTCGCAAATCGCAACGCTAACGCGCCCCTGCTGCGGTACGTCGACAATGTCCGCCGGCATGCGCACCGCGCAGCGCTCATCGACCCGCTCGACCTGATGCCGCGCGAAGATACGGTACGCGCGCTCAGTGTTGAACGGTACGGCCTCCTGGAGTCGAAGCAAGGCCATGCCGAGAGGTACGACACGTCAGGGATCCTACGCATGCCGCCAGTCTTCGCTGATTCCGAAGCTCAGGCCGGTACCGGCATGCGGAGTATCGCCGAGATCACCGAGTGGCTGCGGAAAGTCTATGTGGACAAGCTCTCCGTCGAGTTCATGCACACGGGCATGAAAGGCGTGCGTAACTACATCATGGACCTGTTTGAGGACGTCAACACGCACGCACCGCTCAGCAAAGACGAGAAGCGGAGATGCCTGGAACTGATGACAAGAAGCGAGGTACTCGATCGCTTCTTGGCGCAACGCTTCCCAAATGTTAAGAGGTATGGAAATGAAGGTGCCGAGAGCACGCTGCCAGCTCTGGATATGCTTTTCCGAAAGAGCGCAGAAGGTGCGTTCTCGGTCCAGCGTCTTCTCCTTTTCTGGTGGGACTGATCTCTCTTCTGTATCAACGTGTGTAGCCGGCATCTCCTCTGTCGTGCTCTGCATGCCCCATCGCGGCCGTCTGTCTCTACTAACCGAGCTGCTCGGCATGCCGCTGCCATCGCTTTTCCATAAGATGCGCGGCGGATCTGAAATCCCGACCGTGGATTCGATGACGGGGCATGAACTGGCTGGCGCAACGGCTGATGTGCTTTCGCACCTCGTGCACGAGCCGACGCTGCGATACGGCGACAAGGACATCAAGATCTGCATGCTGCAGAACCCGTCGCATCTGGAGGCCGTCAACCCCGTCGCCATGGGTAAGGCGCGGGCACGGCAGACGTTCGGGAAGCTCAGCGCTTCCGACAGCGACAAAGGCGTCGCGCGACTCGGCGACGATGTCCTCTGTGTCCAGATCCACGGCGATGCAGCTATGTCGGGGCAGGGCATTGTGATGGAGTCGCTCGGCCTTTCCGAGCTACCGCACTACAACGTCGGCGGGTCGATCCATCTGGTCGTCAACAACAATATTGGCTACACGACACCGAGCACTGCAGCGCGCAGCTCGCTCTACGCGTCGGACATCGCCAAGATGATTGGTGCACCCGTGCTGCATGTCAACGGAGACCATCCCGAGGAGGTTGTCAAGGCCATCAAGATCGCGGTGCAGATGCGCATGCGGTTCAGGCGCGATGTCATCGTGGATCTGATTACGTACAGGCGGTGGGGACACAAGTGAGTCCAACAGCTCCGTGTCTTCGCTTCCATGGCGGCTGGAACGGGACTGTTGCGCTGACGAGAATACCTGGCACATGCTCTGATGGTGGCAGTGAGTTGGACGAACCACGCTTCACGCAGCCAAAGATGTACGAGAAGATTGCGTCGAGGGCAAGCGTCCCGGAGGCCTACGAACATCGTTTGCTTGTGAGTCCTTCTGCTTTTGGTCTTTTCTTGCATGGTTCGACCGCATTTGCGTGAGTCTGCATGCTGACCAAGTGCATCTTGACACTAACAGTCGGAAAGCATCCTCAGCGCCGACGAGGCCTCTACGCTACGCCTAAAGCGGGTAGGCGAGATGGAAGCGGCTCTCGCCGAGACGGATCAGTACGATCCGACAGCGGACCACCTGCAAGGGAAGTGGAGCGTATGCGTCTGGCCGACCAGTACGGACGCTGTACATGAGCCAGAGACGGGTCTAGAGCCGGACGTGGCGAGGAGCATCGGCGAGGCATCTGTTGCAGTGCCGGACGGCTTCGTGAGTAAGCGATGCTAGCAGTTATTGCGTGGCTAGAAGCTTACACACTTGGCTCTTTCCTCTTTCTCTGAGCTGCCCAGAATCTGCACTCTCGGCTTAACAGGCATATCAAGCAACGAGTGGAGAGCCTCAAAGAAGGAAAGGGCATCAATTGGGCGACAGCCGAGGCGATCGCTTTCGGTAGTTTGCTCTCCGAAGGCACCCACATTAGATTGAGTGGAGAAGATGTGCAACGCGGAACCTTGTGAGTGATTAAAGCACTGTACGCACACTATTTTCAACGATGGAATATCATTTGACACTGACCTGTTTCCTTACGATAGCTCGCAGCGTCACGCTGCGTTAGTGGATCAGAAGACTGAATCGATCCACGTACCACTGAATCTTGCGGACCTTGCTGCAAGCTCGACTGCAAAGCCACCACAAGGCAGACTAGAGCTGGCCAACTCATCTCTCAGCGAAGAGGCTGTTCTAGGCTTCGAAGTCGGGGTCAGCTGGGATAGGCCGGATGTTCTGCCGATATGGGAGGCCCAGTTTGGCGACTTCTTTAATGGCGCGCAAGGTGAGGAGGGAATTTATTTAGTGTTCTGAACGGCCAACTTACGAATGAGTCTGAACCGCAGTCATCATCGACACCTTCATCGCTGGTGGTGAAGCAAAGTGGCTCAAGCAATCCGCGCTCACGCTTCTTCTGCCGCACGGCTTCGATGGCGCGGGCCCAGAACATTCGTCCTGCCGCATTGAGCGCTTCCTGCAGCTGTGTAACGACCCCTTCGAGCCACCGGGTCACGTAGTAGGCTCGTCGTCGCTCCCTTACTCTCCTTCCTTGCCTTTCATCAACCCCACAACACCAGCGCAGTACTTCCATGCTCTGCGCCGGCAGATGAAACGCAATTACCGCAAGCCATTGATCATCGCGGCACCCAAGGGCCTGCTGCGCTCGCCCCACGCAGCGTCGACACTTCAGGACTTTGCCCCCGGTACACGTTTCCAGTCCGTGCTCGACGATCCGCGCTTCTCTGCAGACGCAAGCCAGGTCGAGAAGATGGTGCTCTGCTCAGGCAAGCACTACTATACGCTCGTCGAGCAGCGTGCAGCGATGAAGCTTGACGAGCATGTCGCGCTTGTGCGACTGGAGGAGCTCAGCCCCTTCCCCTTCGAACAGCTCCGGTCAGTCCTGGGACGCTACAAGCATCTTTTCGCTGCTGCTTCCGAAGTTGGCTCGAACGCCTCAGGTCCGCATATCGTCTGGGCGCAAGAGGAGCCGCGCAACCAAGGCGCCTGGGTGCACGTCTCGTTGCGCTTGCAAGCCCTGCTGGATGAGGTAGGTGCCAGCGGCCTCAGGCTTGCATACCGCGGCCGTAAGGAGTGCGCTGTTCCCGCTGTCGGAGTGAGCAAATGGCACAAGAAGGAGGTAGAGGAAATGATGGCGGACGTGTTTAAATAAGAGATGCTACGACTCTCGTGCCCGGCTGGCATGCTTTACGAACGCATTACTAGGCTGAAATGTACAGCAAGCCTTCCGCAAATGAACGAGCACAATCAGAGGCTCTGTTTCCCGCCTTTGTGCCCCGGAGCAAGGCGTTCAGCAGAGACACGGCGCAAAGAGCCCCAAGCTTGCTGATAATCTTCCAATTTTACACCTCGCTCAAAGCAAGCGCGAGAGTAGCCGAAGGGCAACTAGGAGGAACGATACCAGAAGCAGGACCTTTTCTCGGAAATACCACAGATATTCACATGTTCTCAGAGAGGACGCTTTGCATATCATCGTGGCAAAAGAGACTTCCATTGTTGCACGGAGCCACGGAAGACGACACCCCACTGACGACGTCACGGACTCACTAACCACTGACAAACAGACAGGAGTTTCGGACCCTATTGCCCCTCGACATGAATTTAGTATATAACCCTAACTTGTGCCAGGGTCATTTCCCCATCACAGTTTCTCAAACAGAATTGGAAAGTGGATGAGATATGGCACCTGAGATGGCTGATGATGACGCTGCGCTCTGCAGGCTTTCGACCAGGAACTTGATGAAAGAGTCAACTGCCGTACAGAAGTGAGAACAGTGTGAGAACCATGGACGCTTCACACCATCCCCCTTTGAACGGCCTCGCACCGGACTACCGCCTTTAACGACTACCACGAACGGAACGATTCACCAAATTGATGAAGGCCTTTCGTCACGTGCCACTCTCATGTACATGGACATAGCCCAAGGTTCTGGTTTGTGACTGCCGAGTGCCAATTTGAATGGCACTAGTGCTGTGCCAGCTGTTTTGGCGAATCACAGACTCCGTCTGCTGCCATATCAAGGTATCACATTCTGTCGAGTCATCGAATCAACACGTGGCAAATGCCAGATGATTACCTAAAGCAGCTACGGGATAATACCGACCAGTAAACGCCGAACGGCGCAATCTTGGCGCTTAGCTCGGCGCTGCCGGACGTATGCAAGGCAGGCAGATTTTCGCGAATCCCACGGATCTCGTGGCTCCTCTTTCTTTTCCCCCCGAAATGGCACTTCGATTCCCCATTTGAGATTAGGCATGCATGGGTTTTAATTCGAGTCATCAAACAACCTACTCTTACCAAAGACAGCAGATGATTATTATGTTTGCCAAGCAAGTTTTTTTAGAACAGTCATCGGCAGGCCTAAGCGAGGTTGCTGCTGCCACAATACGCAGCATATCAAAGAATGTTGCAAACGTTGAATCTCCCTTACATGCGGAGCATATCTGGAACATCTCAGGTTCCTGATTGCAGGATCCCCGGTTTTGTACCTTGTTTCCCCAGGCTCTGCCCCCAGCCGATTTTTTCGCACCTGGTGCCTCTAAGGTTGCCCACCCTTTTCGCAATCATCGCTACGTCACCGTGGCCAACGTCCGTATCAGCGACTGTGGCACAATATACTGGACAGTTGTTGTCATGTGGACTACCTCTACCCTACCTCTCCTAACTTATTTGTATCGACGAGCAGAGCGGGCGGACCGCCTGAAATATAAGACCATCGTCGAAGCATCGCCGAGCATCTTCCATCTCGCTCTTGTCATCTGCGCTTGCTAGACGGCAATCAGGTTGGTCTCATTCACCATCTTCCTCATTTTGATTCACAGATTTGAACGGCTTGCAACTCGCAGCAATTTCCTGTACGCCTCTGGGTAACATCGGCAACCATGACATCGACAGAAGCAGCGGCTGAAGCCCACAAGGCTAGCGTCGTCGCCTCGAACGTGATCAGTCCCATCTCTGGATATGAACCTCCTTCACACGCAGAGAGTGCACGAGAGGAACAACATGACTCTATGGAGGCGCCGATTTACGCACCCGCCGCTGACGACGTGACCCATACAGAATTACGCCCAACGCAGTCTCGGGGCGACTGGGGTGAAAGCCGCAGCGAAACCGTTGATATCCCACGTGCGAGAGTTGAATTCGAAGAGGTTGTGCGCACCATCAGTCACAGCAGTCAGCTGGCGGGCAAGGGAATAACCCATCAGCAGAGCAAGAGCCGGCTCAGTCGTAACATGAGCAGCACGTCCCATGCTCCAGGCCGGGGCGAGGATATCGAAGCTCAACCTGAAGATCGCAAGGATGAAAAAGCTGAAGTGTTCGATTTGCGCAACTTTATCCTCACTCGACAAGCGCAGGCCGAATCTGAAGGCAAGAACACACATCACAAACCAGTTGGCGTTGCATGGCGTAATCTCGACGTATACGCGCCGCCAGGTACAAGAGGCGGCGTTTTTGTAAAAACGCTGCCCGTTGCCATCGGTAACACGGCATGGCGGGATCCGTTGAACATCCTTTATTTCCTCATTTCGGGCCTCTCCAAGCTCAGAAAATCTAAACCTTTCGGTGAATCAGCGCCTACTCCAATCTTGCAAGGCCATATGGGCATTCTGCGCCCATCTGAAATGCTCCTTGTCCTCGGTCGTCCCGGCTCAGGCTGCTCCACGACCCTGCGTGCCTTGACGTCAAATCTTGCTTCGAACCTCTCACGCACCGGCTCACTAACCTACGGTGGCTTTGACCAGGAAGAGGTCGCGCGCAAGATGAGAGGCGAAGTCATCTTCATTGACGAGGAAGACACGCACTTCCCCACACTCACCGTCGCACAGACACTGCGCTTTGCGCTCAGGACCAAGGTTCCTCACAAAAAGTCGCGGGTCGACGGCGAGAGCAGAAGCGTGTTCATCGAGACGCTCATCGATGTATTGCTCAAGATGGTGCGTATTTGCTACTGATGGAGACCCCAAGTCCGTGCTCACATTCCATTGTTGCGTCCTGTGACGCAGTTCGCCATGTCGCATGTCCGTGACACGATTGTCGGCGGCGCAGCTGTTCGTGGCATCTCTGGTGGAGAGCGCAAGCGTGTCACCATCTCAGAAGGCTTGGCTACACGTGCCGCGGTCATCGCATCGGACAATTCAACACGAGGTCTCGATGCTTCCACCGCCCTCGAGTATGCCCGTTCGCTCAAAATCATTACCGACCTGAGCAAGCGCACGTCCATTGCTACGCTCTACCAGGTGCGTTTGACACACGCAGATGAAGCGTGGAGCAAGAGCTGACACTTTTTTGATACTTCCACAGGTCTCTGAGAGCATCTACAATCTCTTTGACCGCGTATGCGTGATCGACAAGGGACGCTGCATCTACTATGGCCCTCGTGAACAGGCGAGGCGATACTTTGAAGAGTTAGGCTACTTTGCCGGTGCGCGTCAGACCACAGCCGACTTTGTCACCGCTGTCACGGACCCTCTGCAGATGGAGTTCAGAGAAGGCTTCGAGAACAGCGCTCCACGCACTGCCGCACAGCGTGAGCAAGCTTGGAAGAACAGCGAGCTCTATTCCAAATTGGAGAAGGAGTACGAGGAATACATGCAGCAAGTGCGCGACAGCGAGAGTGAAGAGGCAGAGCAACTGAAGGCCATTGTTCGCGACGAGAAAAACCAGGGCGTGCGCAAAGGGTCCTCCTACACGGTTTCATTTTGGGAGCAGATCAAGGCGACGATCGTCCGTCAAATACAGATTAAGCTTGCTGCACGCGAGGAGTTGCAGACCAAGATTATCACCGTGATCGGCGTCTCTCTCATGATCTCCTCACTCTTCTACAATCAGCCTTTCGACAGCTCCGGAACGTTCATGCGCGGCGGTATCCTTCTCTTTTCGACTCTCTTCGTAGGGTGGCTGCAGCTATCAGAAGCTTTCGAAGCCGTTTCTGGTCGTCCCATCTTATTCCGCCACAAACAGTTTGCCTTCGCTCATCCGTCTGCGATCGTCATCTCTCGCGCACTCGTCGATATCCCTCTTTTAGTATTGTTTGCAACGCTCACTTCGGTCATCACCTACTTCCTTGCGCACCTCCGTGTGAGCGCGGGTGGCTTTTGGCTGTATTTCATCTTTGTCTTCCTGTCAGCGTACTCATGTGAGTCTCATTACTCAGCTTTTGGCTCTCAAGCGAGCCTGATAACTGATGCCTTCCCACTCTACAGTCACTGCGCTGTACAGGCTTTTTGCTGCACTTTCACCCAGCTTCAACGAGGCGATTCGCTTCTCGGCGTTGGCTTTGAACGTGTCGATCGTCTTCTCTGGCTACGTGCTTCCGCGTAACATGATGAACTGGACCGTGTTCCTTTCATGGATTAATGCAACCTCCTATGCGTTCGAAGGATTCATGGCAAATGAGTTCCGCTACCCGATCGAATGCTCACCTGCACATATCGTTCCCTTCAACGAGGTGCGCAACCCTGCTTATCAGACTTGTGCGCTGGCGGGTGCGACCGCCGGCTCGCTCACCGTGGACCCGGAGGCGTATCTTCAAACCTCTTACGGCTACTCAACGGGTCACATTGGTCGCTCGCTCGGCGCTGTCATCGGCTTCACCTTCCTATATCTCATTCTCACCGTCATCTTCTCCGAGATCTTCGACTTCCAAGGCGCTGGTGGCGTCAACGTCTTTGCGCGCACCAAGCGCACCAAGAGACAACTCCGTTCATCTAACCGTCCTATGGATATCAAAGTCGAAAAGGTGGCCTCTAACACAAGTCCCACCTCTCCTAACCGTACGCGCCTGCCTTCTCCAGTCGCAGGCATCGAGTGTGGCGAGGGGGAGGCAAAAGCAGCAGAGACCATCAAGCCCAGTTTGTCCAGGCTGGTAAGGTACGAAAGCAAGCCAATCTTCACATGGCGAAATGTCAATCTCGAGCTCGACTCTGGTCGCAAGCTTTTGCAAAATGTTGATGGCTTGGTCCGTCCTGGGCGTATGACAGCTCTCATGGGTGCATCCGGAGCTGGTAAAACGTGAGTTCCAATACCCGACAGTGCACTGATGGATGCTGACCGCCCGTCGCACTCTAGAACTCTTATGTGTGCGCTGTCGCAGCGCGCTGTGGCGGGTAAGTTCAATGGTGAGGTCCTCGTCGACGGAAAACCTCTTGGCCCAGGCTTCCAAAAATCGACTGGCTTCGTTCTTCAAGGCGACATCCATGTCGGCACTCAGACAGTCCGCGAAGCGATTGAGTTTGCCGCTCTGTTGCGACAGTCGGCGGAAGTATCCCGCGAGCAGAAGCTTAAGGACGCGCAGGCAGCCATCGAATTGCTTGAGCTAACAGATCTTCAAGATGCGGTGATTGGCATGCCTGGAGCTGGACTTAACGTAGAGCGCCGGAAGAGAGTCAGCATTGCTGTTGAGCTTGCTAGCAAGCCTGATCTGCTGCTTTTCCTCGATGAACCTACCAGTGGCCTTGACTCAGCAGGTGCTGCGTCGATCGGCCGCTTGCTCCGTCGCCTTGCTGAGGATGGCCAGGCCATTCTCTGCACGATCCACCAGGTAAATCACGCCATCTTCTTTCTGGTCGATGTGATCGCGCAGAAATTGACAGCATCCATGCCCCCCATACATAGCCATCCTCTGAGCTTTTTGAAAGTTTCGACGACGTCATTTTGCTCCAGAACGAGGGGCGCCTGACTTACGCTGGGCCGATCGGCGACTCGACCGTAATCAACTCGCACCGCAATTCGAACGTCGTGCGCGAGTACTTCGAGTCTCACGGCGGTGAATACTGCCCTCCTGATGCTAACGTGGCTGAATACCTACTCGAGACGGTCTCCAGTGTGCGTGGCGACGGAATGCAGTGGAACGAACGCTGGCTCGTTTCTGAAGAATGCAAGCAACTCAGAGAGTGGATCGATAACGAGAACCAACAACGCCGATCCCGTCCGGTTGTGGAGGATTCAAGGGCTACGCGCGAATTCTCAGCAAGTGCTTGGGTGCAGCTGACCGAGGTTACAAAGCGACAATTCAGAGACCTTTGGCGCGATTCCTCGTATGCCTACGGCGTGCTCTTCTCCAACTTTGTCGTTGGCTTTGTTGCAGGTGGCGCATTCGCTCACGTTGGCAACAGCTCGCGTGACTTGCAGAACCGGGCTTTCGTCGTATTCTTGGTCATTCTCAACTTCCCAGCAGTCATCAATGCGATTATGTTCGTCAAGAGTCTTGAGCGTTGCGTGAAAGGAGTGCAGCTGACGTTTTCCGTCCTCCTGTAAATGCAGTGCAAAATTCTTCGAGTTACGCATCATTTTTGAGGCAAGAGAGTCTCCGTCAAAGACGTTCGGTGAGTCCCATCTATAGCTGGCTGATTGGTGTAGGAGACATGTACGCTGACACTCTTCTCTTGTCGCCACTCCTCTCAGCATGGTGGGCACTGGTTGCAGCGTTCATCATCACGTCGCTGCCCATCGCGGTGATCGCTTCGATCATTTACTTTTTAACGAGCTTTTTCCTGCCGTTCTACTCGCAATCTACCTCTACGGCAGGTTACTTTTACCTTATGACTTTGTTGATCAAGTGCGTGCCGAACGAATTCAACCTGTGTCATGTCTGTTGTTCTTACATACGCAGCGCCTTCTTTCGACGAACAGCATTTTCGAAATCGTGTTCTCGATCATGCTTGCGGCCTCCTCTCCGACCCCGGTGACTGCTTCGAACCTATTGCCTTTCATCCTGCCCATTCTGGCCATCGTCAATGGTGTCATGGTCCCGCAGACGCAGTTGCCGCAGCCTTGGAAATCGGTGAGCTTGAACGGTTACTCGCTAAAACCAAAGAGTTGGGAATTCTCACATAACGAACTTCTGCGGCGCGAAATTGAATGCAGGTCTACTGGACGAATCCTATTGCCTACTACATACGCGGTCAAGTCGCGAACATCCTCGCCGGCGTGCCCGTGGTCTGCGACGAACCCGACACGTACCGCTTCGACCCTCCCCCCGGTCAGTCATGTGGTGCTTACGCGGGCGAGTGGGCGCAGGCTGCAGGTGGTTATATTGAGGATGTCAATGCGACAGCCGGTTGCGGCTACTGTCCATACAGGAGCGGAGACATGTTCTTAAGCTCGCTGAACGCGGTACGTCCTGCGTGCATGCCCTTTTGTCGATTGAGACTTGGAGACTGACGATTACGAACCTCGAGCCGCTTGCAGCCCTACAACTTCCGTTACGGCGCATTCAGCATTCTGCTTGGCTTCTGCATCCTCAACATCTTCGCTAGCTTCCTGCTTTACTGGTTCTTCCGCGTGCACGGCGGAATGAGCTTCGCACCGCTGCGTGCCGCTGTCCTTTCGCCATTCAGGTGGTTCAGCAGGCAGAAGCATGTTTGAAACTGCGGTCTTCAGAGAGTGAGAGAAGACGATTGAGTATTGGAACGTGATCGTTGGGTCTGCTTGCATCTTATAGACGTTCTTGCTCTCTTGGCTTGTAATGCATGCTGCAGCCCGATCTCGCACACTTTGTAACCATCCGGTTACCCATGGACTCCTGTACTGCTCTATACGCCCTGGCTGTGGCTCAACCGCTCACCTTCATGTTGATTTATGGGAAAGAGGAAGAATTTGTAATCAAAGTAGGGATTTGCCCAGATTATGGCGGATACGGCGGCGATTAGATAACTTGTGCTAATATATTTATTTTTAAACCCCCCCCCCCCCGGATGGGATTGCGATCACCGTTGCACTTGAACCGATGATGATGTCACACGTCATTCTTCTGGTGCGAGCTGCCCTCTCCTCGTGCACCTTCGGCAGTGGGTGAGCTGTGCCGAGCTCTGGAGTACGTTACCGTGTGTAGTGCCCGCTAGGGCATTCAACTCGAACATGCACAAAATTTGCAGGCCCTTTGGTGCAAGGGCGCTGGTCAGCGCCTGACGCATCTCATCAGCGTCTAGCAAGCAGCCGCCAACGATCATTCAGCGGCAAGCAAGAGCCGCAAGAAGCTGGGAGGCTGCGCTGATATATGTAACCATATGTAGAAGGAATGCGCCATTGAAGACCCCGTCATATCCACTTCGAGTGCCCAGAGCATCACGCGTATACAGTCAAGCGATCATCATAGTTCCAAAGCACAAGCTCATCGTGTCAATATAGCGAACGCAGGTGTAAATAGAAAACCCTTCGGCATCTTTCAAGGTCCCACCGCATGACGGCTGAAATTTATCATTCCCACGCTCCCCTGCAGCGCTGAAAATTTGGCCGAGTTCAGTACGAGGCCCCAGCACCGCAAGCTGTCGCATTGCGTGTCTTGCCCATGGGTCGTCTTTACTACGAGAGCCACATCTCTTTATGTTGAAACGATCTCCTGTTGGTTATGCCGCACTTAAGGTATCCTTCTTCCTGAACTCTTACCGTGGAGGTGGACCGCTCTTTGAACAATGAAGTCGTCAAGGCAGCAAATATCAAGTGGAACAAGGATGATTTGAAGCAGTTGAAGCGCGATACGGACAAAGAGGTCAAACTCGGATAAAAGTCTTGACCGTGGATTTTTCCCGGATTGCGGCACGCCACGTCTCTCTATCCCTGTTGAAAGCGACACCAGTTACCTTAAAGATAGGTTTTTGGAATTTGAATGCTGCCGGCTACTTAGAGAAGAATGCTGATGATAAGCTTGTGTCCATTAAATAGTAGTCTCACTTGAAGACCAGCAGGCATACACGGGCGGTAAAGTTCCGAAAATTGTCTTCTGCTCACGCAAAATGCGTGTGTACTCCAAGATGTTATTCCTGAGTAACTTTCTTGACAATATTCAGCAGTCCAATTGGGTGCCGCGACTTGTATTGTGTTGAGGCAGATAGTTGAGTCAGCATGGATTCGAACCCGCTGTTATAGAACGACATGTCGTAATGTACTCTTGGCTCAAGGAATTAAATTGACATTTAGTCCCATGTCACTGGGAGCGAGTGCTGCCACTTGACTGGTTCCTCAATACTAGGTGGCTCGTTCAACTATCTATCCCTAGTGGAATGCTGGTGACACAGCACGTCTTGCCGCGACCTTTGCTCTCATTTGGCCGGCTTGGCCAATCGTTAGAACTGAGCAGTCCCAGGAAAGAGCTAAAGCATGAATAGCAACAGCAGCCGTAAGCTACTGTATTGATCACTACCTGCGATAAATCCATTCACTCTACTCATTGTCACCAATTCGCTGCGATCCGCATTGAATAACTTGGCAGCGGGTTCGCTCCACCCACCAGGCTGAAGAGCGAACAAACCCATCTTCTTGACCATTGTGCCTTTCCGCAAACGGCATTTCATGTGCATAATTCTTCTCCAGTCTCGGTAAAAGAACCGTGATGCCGTAGTTCCCGAATCGGAGGCGCAGTCACGGCCAGTAATTTGAATATTATCGCCTGTCAGCATAACATTACATCTTTCTTGGATCAATCAGGCATGCATACTGAAGCTCACATTTCTTTAATGTGGCTTAAATATTTACATCATAAACTGATACCACAGTTAAAATGGACACACCGTAGAACCCGGCAGTGGTCTTGTAATTTTTGCAGCGACATGCAAGCCGGAGTAGCGGTATCGTGCCCTCTCAGACCTTGACTTTCAGCGCGCCGCAAAGGCAGGCACCTTGCAAAGACGCCATTATGAAATTCTAGGCTCGCTAGACGCTGAGATAATTTTCTAGACATACAGGTAGTGGCCGTGGCCGAACGGACATTCATCAAGGTGCAGGCTGAGGTGGATAGGGCGGGGCATCCCGACGTAGAAAAAATGACATTTTACAAGCACAGCACGCCCATCAGCAGACATTGGGTTGAGGTGCATTCTACTTGCTCACCAACCAGTCCACAGTCACTTGTCAATCGTTGAGAGCGCTTAGTCCTCCGCACGCCTCTTCCAGCGATCATGGTATGAGTTACGACTGCAGACGTCATCGATGTCGCTCTGCAGTGGCTCCATGCGTTTTGCTTTAACTGGACTGCATGCGAATACCCAGCCATGGTGAATCCTACTTCGAAGTGTAGAAGAGCTCTTAAAGCGTTGTGCGCCCGCTGCTGCAATGCGTGGAGCTATCATCCCAGCGCATGAGGAACTTTCCTCGCACACTTGGACACGATTACCGGCGGACCTTGTCTGCCTCATTCTCGAACACGCCGCCAACCTGAATCCCTTGCTAGCCCTTGCAATTAGCCTACTCTCCAAGCATGTTTACGCCGCAATTCGAGTTTCTGGATCGCTTTACCGATCCGTAGTGATTCGAGGCCGCACGTCTCTCGAACGATATGCGCAAGCGATCCGTAACGATACAGTTAGAGCAAAAGGCTTGCGCAATCTTTATATCTGCAACCGTGTGGATTACGAGGATGTCGAGGAGCGAACACAAGGAATCTTGATGAACGAGGGAGGACTGTTGGCCACTGTCTCTGCAAGCGAACGATCCGACGCAAATCTGCGAAATATCTTTCGGTGCTGCACCTATCTCGAGTATTTGCACATTTGGGAACCATTCAATTTAGGATATCCGTGAGCCAAAGTCTTTTCAATGAAGTGGGATATGTATACAAAAGTTTACACCTGGCTTTTGTTTCCTTGCGCTCTGTCAAGGCCGGAGATGTCCAGCATTGATCACCTAGCAAGCTACCCACTTGAGCTTCTGCATCAAGTCTTTGCTGAGAAGTGTAATTCCTCCCTCACGGCTGAAGCAGGTAGTATTGACTTCTCGGTATTTTCAGGAATTCAGCTACAAGAACTGACCATTTCATCGCTGGCAACCAAGCCGAGTGATTTCGATCGTACCGCGCATTGTCAGCGGATTGGAAACCGCAATGAACCCGGATCGGCACTTGATTACCTCACATCGCTTCACCTTCATTGGCCGACTTTACGAGACACCCCGGACGATCTCATAATGGTTGTCTCGTACATCCGTTCTGCTCAAGCGTTGCGCTTTTTTTCGAAAAATACCTCAACAGAAGCTGACAGCTCGAGTATCGATCCGATCGTCTTTGCCAATGCGCGAAACAGGGATGCGCCGCCTTCGAAGTCACACAGCAGCCCTACCACCGGTGCAGATATGCCATCCCTTATTGCAGGTGCCACGGATCCCTACCTGGTGCTGTCCCATGCAACAAGAAGCTCTCAGCCGCGTAATGCGACGCTCCTCGACTCGCTGTTGACATTGAACTCCCTCGAGCAAGTGCGCCTTACACGGCCATCGCCAACGGGCCTTGTATCAGGGACAATCGTGCTGCTGCAAAAAATGCCGCGCCTGAAAATGCTGATCATCGAACTAGGGTGGTATATTGACGACGCGACGCTCGCGGCGCTCGTCCAACTTGAAAGGCAATATGATTCCGCGAGTAAAATGTTCATGCATCGACTGGGTGGCGAGGAATTGCTTCCCCCACCGAAACTCGTCATCCTCGGTAAAGGCCGCGGCCACAAGCGGTGGAATGGAGGGTGGCTGCAATGGGACGACACGCTTGCGCTGCTCGAGTTCAAATCTCGCATCGGCATCGGCACCGCCACCCTCGAGCATGGCGACCGAAAAATGTTATGAGGACGGCCAGCCAGTTCTATCGCAAAGGGGCCTGCGACAACGGCAATTGGCCTGCGACTGGCAGGGGCGCGGCGCTGGCTGTTGGGACATCAATAAAACATGATGTATCATACACATACGCACGGGTATTATTGTATTACGAGTTACATGCTGCCCCCGTCAAGCGGGCCATCGTCGCAGTCTAGATATGGAACTTGCTTGGCCAAAGCTTCGGGAGGAGCCCGCGGGGGAGGCACTTTAGATTCATCTTGCTTCGACTGTGGGTCAGACATGGGTGACGCAAGCGGAAAGCTGGGCTTTGGCATCTGGCTGCTGGATGGCCCACTGTTCTCCGTTGGCTTGCCCCTTTTCGCCAGCGCAGACTGCCTTGCCTGAGCGATCAACTCTCTGAACTGATCCTTGTACCTCTCCTCCCAAGCTGCCGCATCGCCAGAGGCGCCGCCCACCGCTGCCTTGCCTTTGACTCTCTGCCTAGACACCTCGTCCATCTGCTTATCCCATTCTCGTAGCTCGCGCCGCAGCGCGGGAATGTCTTTGCGGTTTGCCTCGGACGAGTCAAGGTTACCGTTGTACAGGTTGACCCACTGCTTGTGTCGCTCGATCAGTCGCTCCTTCCCACCGAGCGTCGACAGGCCAAATTCGTTGAGCAAATCGCGGAGGTCCTTCTCCTTTTTGCTGTGATAATGCGGTCGCAAAAGGCGTTTGGGCTTTGATGGTGGGGCACGCTGAGTCTCTACGGCATTGGCAGATGGCGCCAAGGGTCGGCTTGGCGTTGTCACACAATGATTTATGTTGCTGTCATGGCCCGTGCTTGCTGAACGCGTACCCGCGCTCCCAGGTGTGACCCGCGTAAACCAACTTCGTGAATCCTTCTTCGATGCGGATGGTGCCGCTTGCACCTCCAGGCCACGCTCACTACGCGACGGCAGCGGGTCATTGGGGCTGCATGCCAGTTGCCTGCGGTCGATATGTCTATTCAGCGCTGCAAGAGTGAACGTGAAATTGCAGCTAGGGCAAGGAACTTCAGATTGCGCTGTATGGCAGCAATGCACATCGTCAGCACGCTGCAGAATCTGGTAATGAACCTGCCTGCTCACCATGCAAGTCGGAATCCCGGACAGATGGGTTCTCAGTAGGTTTGCTCTGTGCTGCACTGCCATTCAAGGCACCCGAGTTCCCAGCCTTCGCCTTTCCGTTTTCTTTGCGCATCGCAGCCCCACCTAGTATCTCGAATCCATCGCTTGACTCTGCACCGTCATCCTTATCTGCCTCAGAAGGAATCTCCTCATACATGCTTTTTCTCCCGTTGCTTAGCTTGCGGGCTATGCGAGGGCGCAACGCCCGCCTACTGCTGCAACCCCTACTACCAGCTACAGCGTCCCCGAAATACGCATCATCATTCGTTTCGTTGTTTTCCGCAGACTCGTATCGCGGAGACGAACTGCGCTTCCGCTTCTGCGCAGCGCGAAGGACTGGTGAGTCCTCGGAGCTCGTTGCGGCCGCTGAGACTTGCGTTTGCACTCGGGCCTGTTGCTCTCGTCTACGCTCGCGGTCTGACACCGTGGCGAGTTGTGCTCTTACAAGGCCAAAGTTGGGATTTGATGAGCCAGCTCGCACACCTTCACACTCGCCACAGTATTGAGCCAACGCACCTGCACTTTCTCCAAGCGACCGCCGCGTCTTCAAGACTAGGCAAAGGTACCAGCTCCGAATCGTATGCTTTTGTCTGTCTACATTTGGGACAGAATTGGCCCGATGCATTTGGCTGATTGACGTGTCTTCGAATGCACTTGGAGCAAAAAGAATGCCCACAAGCTTTGAAAGCGACGGGTGCTTCATATATCCCCTGGCGCAATAGATCCAGAGGCAAGAGGTAAGCGGGGGATACGGTGCATGTGGTACATGACTTGAACACCCACTGCGCACAGCTCGCACCGCAGCGACTGGTCGAGGTCGTGAAGGAAGCGGAATTCGCCCTGCCAGTCGGTAGGGTCTGTGACGTTGCTGAGCTCGCAGGAAGTGGCCATCGTGCGTACTGCGTCGGCTACACTGTCGAGCCTTCCACGTTCACCTTTCACGCGACCGCCTCCTTGTAGCAAGGAGAGGATGGACGTCTCGTCGGTCGGTGAATTTTAGAAAATAGCAGTTGTATCTGCTTCTTGCGCTGGTGAGGCAAGTCCACCAAATCCTCGTCCAGCTAACCCAAGGCGCATCAGGGTAGATTCAGAGGACTCGACCGGCGTAGTCAGAGTCTTTGAGTATGAGTGGGGAGACCATTACAGGACTCAACCGACTCGACTTTTTTGACGCGAGGCCAATCTAAAGCAACGCGACGTGCATTGGCTTATTTTTGCAGCTTGCCAGTCACTAACCCTAAAAAGGAACATCAGTCTGATTGTCTATAACACGTCGACGCCATCCTCGGCTGGTCAACTGATCGAGCCTTCTTCTCGGCAAATCTGACTCATTCACGTTATCTGCAGCCCCATGCCCCCCCATGTGTCCATTCGAAATCTGAGTAGTTTGCATCTCGCAGCCAATCAGCGGTGGAAGAGCCGTGATCAGTGCGAGTGTCAGCGCTGGCGCGCAGACGTCGCCTCTTCGAAATGCCATAGGCAGGGCAGGCGCGCTAAGCGATGGTTCCTCCGCAGCTACCTCGTAACGAGCGACACGTCTTTAGCAAAGCGCACACGGGCCCGATTCATGTGGCCCGCTTCAACTCATTTGGCAAGTATATCCTCAGCGGCGGGCAGGATCGCCTGGTGAAGCTTTGGAACGCAAAGACCGGCCCCTCGCCAGACGGCTCGCCGATCCAAACATACTCTGCGCACTCACGCGAGGTCCTTGCGCTCGACATATCCGCTGACAACTCGCGGTTCGTTAGCGGAGGCAGTGACAAGGCTGTCTTCATCTGGGACGTTGCGACAGGCACTGTGCTTCGCCGCTTTTCGGCGCACGTGGGCAAGATCAACGATGTGCGCTTCGCGGGCTTGCACCCAGACGGCAGCGTCGTCGTCGCTGGAGGGTTCGACGCAGCAGTTAGGTTCTACGACCTTCGAGCGCATGGTGCCTGGAAGCCAGTCATGGAACTAAAAGAAGCAAAAGATGCCATCATGTGCATCAGCGTTTCTGGGGACGCCGTGTGCTCTGGTTCCGTGGATGGCTGCGTCAGAACCTATGATCTGAGGGAGGGTCAACTGCGAACAGACGTCATTGATCGTGGGTGTCTGCTCGCATTGCTCTTCAGCCCCTATGGAAATCTGATGTGTCATTCTATCTATTCCATACGCTCGCAGATCCCGTCGTATCACTTTCCCTCTCCACAAACAATGCCAGCATTCTAGCTTCGACTCTGGACAGCACACACAGGCTGCTGGACATGTCCGACGGGTCGCTCCTCCAGTCTTTTGCTGGGCACGGTAATACTGCCTACCGCTGCCACTCTTCCTTTGCCGCGTCGGAAGCAGTGGTTATCTCAGGCGACGAGGGTGGTCGCTTGTGCGCTTGGGATGTGCTTTCAGGCAAGCAGACACCTATCGGTGCCGTTCCTCTTAACGGCGGTGCCGCACACAAGGCCCATGCAAAGGCAGTGCTTTGGACAGAGGAGAGCCCAGCGCAGGGGGATGTGGATGTGCTCACTGCGTCTGCTGACGGCGTGCTCAAAGTTTGGTCGTCGCAGTCATGACAATTCGCTGCCTTTTTCCTGATGATTCACAATGTGATCATTACCTTTAAAATACATTTGCGATGGGGCCATTGCATGCAATAAAAATCCTTCCGGGTAGTGAAGAAAGAATGGATGCTGAATGATGTGTATTTAGGGAATAGACAAAGGGCTAATGCTTGAAAATTTGAATCGAATCAGCTCTGTCGCTCACTTTCGGTGACTACGCTCTCATAAAGGAGCTGTGTGCATAACTCGTCTGAAAGGAAATTACTTTGAGGGTTGATCACATGTTCGTTGCATACCACGCAAGGTTCCAAAGAAGGCACTCACAATTCGTTGGAATATGATCGCGCAGCATTGAGCGTGCAAAGATAGGCTCGGAAAAGCGCTTCTCCACATCAGGACAGGCTCTAAGTAGCACTCGATGCGCTTCGCCGCGGCTGCTGGCCTGTCTGTCCTCCTGCATGCCTGCCATGCTCGTGTTCTGCCGTGTTGTTCGAGGCGTGACATAGACCGTGAAGGACTCGATGCAAAAGACATCTCCAGGTGGGTAGAGCTTCGTCTCTCCCATGGATGCGCGCATCGTTTTGATCAAACTCCAGAGCCAATCCTTCGTGTCGTTCTCCGCCTCCGCAGTTCCCTGTTTGCCGCCGGCCAGCGGTGGCGAAAGAGGGTGTTCCTTCAGGACGGGATCCTGATAACCTGAATCCAGAGCACGGTTACGTGTGTGCCCTTGCATGATCTCCGCGTGCTCGAACACCTGCTCGCGCTCTTGCGCAGGTGGTTCGGACGGGCGCGGGAAGTTGATATCGATCAAATCTCCAGCTGGGACTCTGGCCTCATTTCCCGCAGCCTTGCGCTTTCGCTGGTAGAGACCAACGACAGCACCTACGATCTCTTGAGCCATTTTGCTCTCTCGCTGGTCCGAGAGGCTCTCCGCGACATTGCGCATGTCCCGCAGCGTGCCAAGCGACAGCGATGGCACAAGGTCATGCCCATGGACCAGGCTGGTCACCAGACCCGAGCAGTATTTGCTGAGGTCGAGGCTTGCGCTCGCCGGCACGCCGTACGCGTACGCATGAATAGGCCTGCCGGCCGGTAGGCCTGATGCGAATGAAGTGACAAAGGGAGTGAACAGGGGTGGGTGAACGACAGAGGGTCGTCCATCGAGCGTCTGTTGCTGAAAGATAGCCGCTGGAGAGCTCCACATGATCGCGAGCATTGCTGCCACTCCTCCTCCGAGCGAGTGCCCAGTCAGCACGAGCCCGTACCCAGGTCTGCTCTCGAGCGCCTGCTTTAGTGTCTGATGAATAGTACTCTTGGTATCCTTCAACCTAATAGCTGAGGCCCACATGCCTGAATGCACCTGGTAGATACCATACGGATGCCGGCCTTCGACGGCAATCTCTTCGTATTCACAGGTAAGATCGGTCAGAACGTCGCTGAGACCGAGAGTACCGCGGCACGTCAAAATGACCGCCTTTGCATCGTCATCGACACTGATGTAGTTGACAATAGGCGACATCTCTATGATCGCAGTATCACAAAGTCAGCGTTCGCGCCTGGAATTCACGCTATACGCGTGCAAACTTACTCTCGGAATGGAAGGAAGTCTCCCCCTCGGTATAGCTGCTGAGCAGGATATTGTCGACAGGAATACCAACATGATGCGCGTATGCCCAGATATTCGAATGATGCTTCTGCGTGTCGGCGAACAGGTACTCTGCAGAGCGTCCGATGCCAAAGATGCGCATAAAGTTCTGCCCGTATGCAGCGGATGAATGGCGCATAAAGGTGTGCAGGTTCGTAACAAAGTGCTGCTGTGGGAACTGACCGCGCGAATACATTTCCACCTGCGCTGAAGCCGTGTTGGTGGTCGTGTGGGTCTCTTTCCGAGTGGACGCAAAGGACCGTATGCTCGTGATGGACGGCTGACGGGAACGGCGTTTGAAAAGCTTTGGCGTGATTTGCTGCTGTTGGTCCCCGTCTTCTTCTTCTTTCTTGCGCCGATTGAGTGCAAAGCGCGACTTGGGCGTGGTTTCGGGCGAGGCGACATGCGGCAACGCAATGGCCTTGTCGGGAGTTGGTGGGGACATGGCGATCGACGGCGGTGAGCTTGGTGGCGTTGGCGTGCGTGAGGATGCCATGTCCACCATCTGCACCTGTCGGGGTGCTGCTCCTGCTCCAGGCTTGGGAATAGTAGACCTAGAAAAGAGGCTCTGCAAGGCAGCGCGAGATTTGGATTTCAATCTGTCGTCCGCACTCGTCACTCCTTTTCCTCCGCGTCCTCCATCACCAAAGCTGCCGCTGCTGTTAGTGCTCTTGCGACTCTTTGCGCTCTCTGGAGAGTCGCCAGTGGCGGTAAAGCGGGCCGCCCATTGAGGCTGGCGCAGCTTGGATGGCAACGACTCTGCTTCAGAGGGAGTGCTTTCTGAAAAGACATCATTCTCCACATTCTGACTCTCGCGCGTAGATGTGAGCGTGTTGCCTCGAGTGTCCTGCGTCCTGCGGACGACCTTGCGCTTCTGGACTAGCTTGCGCGTGATGGTCCTTAGCACGACCTGCATGCGCGCCTTGCTTTCTTCAGGCCGATCGAGCGCCTGCCGGCGCGCCAGGCTTCCGATGGACTGCGCAGGCCGGCCGTTGGGCGCCTGCGGAATGTTTTCGGCTATCAGTTCGCGCTCGACCATCATCTCGTCATCCGTGCTCTCGGCGCTAGCGCGCGTGGACGCAGGGGCGATCTCGGTCCAGACATCATCGGACTGCTGCGAATGCGGGCTGGACGGAGCAAGGGGTAGCGACTGGCCTTTCGATTTTTCCCGCGCCGGAATCAGCGGGGAGAAAGGATTGGGCAGCTGCGCCGTTTTGACGCTCGAACTGCCTGCATGCGCACCAGATATGGTCGTTGTCTCAATTGTCTCTGTCGTCTCGGTGACTTCTTCGTAGACTGTCTCAATGGTCCCATGCTCAGGATCTCGTCGTCGGATCGTCCTCCTGATGACAGGAGTAGATGAAGGAAAGGAGCCATGCTGGGTGTTTTGCTGGTCCCATCGCCTTCTGTTATTGCTTAGCAGGTCCTGCTCCTCCTCACCATCGGAGCCGATGAGGTAGTTGAGATCCTTGACGATATTGCCTCCTTCACGATCCGACGACACAGGCAAGACTGAGCTAGAAGAAGCCGACGGCCGCTGGTCGTTGTTCTCGTCAAAGTCTTCCACCTCATAGCGCGCGTCAGAGCCGACATCAGTGAGACAGAGCGCATTGCCACCATAGTGCGAACGCGACGCATGTAGCGAACCTGCGACTGCTCCTGCCGGGTCGGCGATTGCGAGCGAGCGCGAGGTGCGCATCGTAGCTGGGGGAGAGAGGGCGGAAGACATGACCGGCGCGGGTGCAACCCCCTGCGAGCTGCTGCGCGGAGGAGGGGCGATGGCCACCGCGGCCGCTGCCGCTGTCGACTTCTTAACAAAGTTACCCGGACCAACGATCATCGAGCGCCAGCTGTTCGACTCGACCTCGCCGAGGACGGTGCAGTCGTAGAGGACCTGCATCTTGTGTGTCTGCGCCGTGCGCTTGTAAGTAGCGTTCTGCAGGACGGCGAACGCAGTGAACGCCTTGGTGAGGTTGGCAAGGGCCTTGGCGCCTGCGATCTTGCTGTCGCCGGCGCTGCAGCCGCTGTTGTCGCCATGGCTCAGCTCTCTGCGGACGAGGGCGATGAAACTTGAGAGCGCGCGCGACGTCTCGTTGGAGCCAAAGATGCCGTCGATCATGCGAACCGACTCGTCAGCGGCAGAGATGCCGGCCTTGATGGACGTGTCAACGAGATAGAAGCCGGACATTGCGAAGAGCTCAGCCATGGTGAAGGTGTGGTGAATGACGTAGATGCCCACGGCCGTGTACTTGTCTAGGACCGCAAGGAAGCCGTCGTGCTGGTTGCGCATGGCGGAGATGCGGGAGGCAGTCGACGAGCTTGATACCGCACCGACCCCGGCTGCTCTAGCATCCCAGGCGCAATTGCCATCGGGGTTGAGCGTATCGTGCAGGGCGCGTGCGCTCCCGATGGCCGAGATGAGCACGCGCCGCGTCAAGCCAAGGCTGGTGGACGTGCTGAACTTGGCGGCTTCGAGGATCACCTCGGCAAAGAAGGCCGTCGAGCGCAGCGAGACGCGCGCAAGAAGCGAGAGCGATGTGATGATAGATGCGATATTTTGGGGGAGGAGTGCTGTCGGCCGATGATGGGAAAGGTCAGTCTAGCGTTGGTAGCCTGGCGTTTCGAACCAGAAACACTCACTGGACCCAGCGGCAAACTTGATCAACGCTTGGCTAGTGGCGGTCGTGCCCAGGTGAGACACGGCATATTCCATGGCTGAGCTGGCAGGAGCACCAGGCCGCTTGCCAGCAGGAACAACGGCAACGATGGCGTCGGCTGCAGCTTCCCCAGCCGACCCGCTTTTCTTGACCTCTTCTGAACTTTCGCGTCCGTCCCCGCTATCCGTGTCGATCGATACACCTCGGATAGTATCGGCGCCGACCGAGTCTTCGCGCGTCAGTGCAGGGCTGATGACTTGCAAGCCGTGTCCCTGCGTTTGCCCTTGCGGCGCGATGCGCGACTGCGAAAAGATCTTGAAGCTAGACGCCGGCGTTGAAGGCTCGGATCCGCGCGACATGCTGTGCAAGGTTGCGCCCTGTTTCCCTCCAACTGTTGAAGTCTACCGAAGGGATGGTGGTGCGGGCAGGGTCTATCGATCCGAGAGCACGAGCGCAATAAATGCCGGCACATGCAGCAGGGAGTGCTATACCCAACCATGGACACGGCTCGAGCCGAGGCCGAATTAAGTCGCTCGCGACAATGGCAATGACAAGATGCCGCGGAGTATGTGGTGCGTCCCACCCATGCAGCATGCAACGTGAAGCACCGATACTGCGTTAATCTAAATACCACCAATAGCAGTCGGGCTGGCTGCCCGCGAACAGGAGGTGCCAGGTTGTTGATGCGAGTACGGTGAAGCGGACCAAGGGTCGAAAGGGGAAGCGTGCCCTCTCCGGTACTCTTGCTGGATGCTTCGGTCAAAAGCACCCAAGCCCAGCAGCACGCGCACGGTCACCTCTGATAAGTCTGTTGTCGCCAGGGTATGCCTACCTCGCACTCATCACACAGACACATATAAATATATATAAATACCCTCCTGCACGAGTTCAGGGACAGCGTCGTCGACAAGTCATCGTTGGTTGTGCGGCGCGTTGAGGGTGTTTGGTGTCCATTTTCCGGGGAAGACAGCATAGTTTCCGGTAGATTCTCATTAGATCTAGCTGGCGCCGACAGTTTGGACGCGTGATTGGTGACAATGAGGGTTACCGGGTGTTCAGGCACATTCTATGCCTCGTCGCTGCTACGGCTCTCACGCTTGCCATCAACAATAGCAAGAGAGACGTTGCACTCTCTCGGACGACCCAGCCTGTGCCAGCCACCCATCATTGCGACCACACTGTCACGCAAGCGGAGAAATCATGGTACAGTACAATCATCCATCCGTCCCCTCATCCGCGAGAAGGAAATAGTGGCAAGCGTGGCGCGAAGCGAAGCTAGGAGAGATGCGAGCCTCTCAGGCGCGCGGGCGCTAGTACAAAAAGACGCGCGCGGCGTGCGTCGCCATCTACAAGCAGCATTTCGCAGCGGAGGCGGCGGCGTGCACGCTCTTCTTGTCCTTGATGGCGGGCACGTCGAGCATGGGATTGCGGCGGAAAAAGCTGGTTGGCTTGAGCGCAAGGCGCACGTGCTCGGCTGGCATGACCGGCCCGTCTTCGGGGCGGACGACATGCGTGATGCCAACGGTGGCGAACGAAACAATGTCCGTGTTCTCGATCGAAGCGCTTCCATCACCGACCCAACCGAGGATCGAGTCGGACGGTGTCGCGAGCGTCTGCACGCAGTGCTTGCCGGCCGGGTACTTGCGGTCGTCGGCGTACGCTGTCGCGCACGAGTGAGCGTGTCAGTACCATCGCCGTCAAACACGGGTCACAGTAGTGCGCCGCTGGACGCGGAGAGGGTCGGGCCTGCGTACTCACGGACTGTCCAAAAGTGGTGCGTAGCAAAGGGCGCGCGTTTGGCGACGATCGAGTCAGGCTTGGCGTACAACCGCGGCTGGTTGGTCGTCATGAGCTTGTAGCCGACAGGCTTGCCGCTGGCATAATGCGTCCTGTTCTCATTGACAAAGATCCAGCTGCGCTCGCTGTCGGTGTGCGCGTCACGCACGGCCTCGCCGGCGGTGCGGAGCGTGCGGCGGTGCGCGTCGAATGCATTGCCGGCCCAGTTCTGCGCACTGCCCGTCGCGTGCGGCGACGGTTCGATTGTCTGCTCAACCACGCTGTTGCGCGGGCCGTCAATGTGCGGGTCGATGCGCACGCTGAATAGGTGCTGGTGGATGTGCGCAGCAATCTGCGGCGCGACCTCGGTCGCGTACGTCGGCTTCTCGCCAGGCGCAAGCAGCGTCACGTTGAGGATACCCGTCAGGCCAATCTCGCACTCGAGCGTCCCGTCGAGGCCGAGCAAGAATGCAACGCGGTACTCGTAGTTAGCCACCGTGTAGACGCTTGAGATGATCAGTTTGCGGTTGCGCACAACGGCCGTCTTACCGCCAACGCGGAAGTCGGTGTGCTTCCAGCCCAGACCGGCGTCCTCTTCGTGGATGCAGATTGCGTTCTTGATCGTCAGTGGCGTGCCTGCCGAGCGAAACGGAACGGAGGGGCGGGGCAGCGTGGGATGGAGAGAAAGTCAGACGCCGGAGCCCTATCATGGGTGGCGCAACAAAGACGCACCGTCATGCTGTGCGACTACACCATCCATATATTCGATTGAGCCGAGGCAGTCACAGCCGAGGTCGAGCGAGTTGGCGAGATAGCCGAGGCCGTACTCGCCCACATCGAACGCGAACCTGTGCGGCCATGGGGAGCAAGTGGTAAGAGGGAAAAAAGCAAAAAAAAAGTGTCATCGCATGGCGCTAGGGCGGGCTCACTTTTTGTAGTGCGGAAAGTCTGGTTGGCCGTACGGGACGACCATCTCGCTGATGCTGATTCGGTAGAACAACGGGCGCTCTGCATCGCCGTCGTCCGTGTCGCGGTACGAGATGGTGCTGAGCACGAGGCCCTCGCGTGGATGGAAGCCGACGTGGAGCTTCCACTTTTGCCACGTGAGCAGGTTGCCGCGCCGGACGAATGATACCCCGTCGGGCTGCACAACGTGCAGCGGCTTGAGGTCCGCGCGGAAGCGCAGGCGCTCGGGCCCGTGCAATGCCTGTTCTTGCTTTTGCTCGGTGCCTGCAGGAGCGGGCGCAGGATTGACCGCTGTGACCGTTTCGGGGAGGTACTCGTGCTGGGCGCGGGGCGGTGGGAAGCGTGGGCGCGTCGCGGGGTCCGGTGCGTCGAAGCTCCCCGTGGCGGGCGGAGCGGTGGAGCCGTTCTGTGCGGTTGTCTGGTCCTTGTGGGGGCCGAGGATGCGGTGGGGCGTGTAATCGATCGCGAGCACTTCACCGGTGTTGACGTCAAGCACGGGGAAAAAGTCCATCGGGTGCGCGTACAAGTTCTCGTGCGGGCCGTCGAAGCGCGCAAACAGGAGGGCCTGCTGCAGGCGGCGGCCGGGCCAGCGCTCGTCCCAGCCAATGGACCAGCCGTCTGCGTAGATCTGCTCGGGCGCGACGCCGACGGCGGCGGCAGCTGCAATGACAGCGGGGTGCCTGCGCACGTGCTGCTCTGCGCTGCACAGCTCCTCAGGTGTCAGACCCGGCTGCACGCCAGCGGGCAGCTTGTGCGCCGAGACGACCTTTGCGGTGGGGAGCGCAACGACGAGCTCCCAGGCCTGGCCGCCGCCTGGGGCACCGGGCTGCGTGTCGATGGCGTGCACCTCGAGCTGGCGGGGGACGCCGGAGCCGTCAGACTGAGTGGCTGCGCCGCCGGGCCAACGGAGGGCCTCAATGACGTTGGCCTTGGGGGGTTCCTTGAGCATGACCGAGCAGAATTTGAGTGTGGCGGCAGGGACGCTTTCATGCTGGTGCTCGCTGCTGGCCAGATAGGCGCGCACAGCCGCGGTCGCTGCCGCGAGCTCTGCCGCGGAGGGCGGGTCGAGCGGGTGCGAGGCGAGCGGGGCCTTGGCCACTGGCACCGGGAGGGGCTCGTTGCTTATGGCCGTAGCGGCTGGAATGGTGGTGGCGACGGGGCCCATGGCGGGGCGAGGCGGGGGGTGGAACAAGTAGGAAGCACAAGTGCGGTGGCGGGGGAGGTGGGCACGCTCTGACGGCAGGGCGCTGGCTGGCTGGCTGAGGAGAGGGTGGTGCGAGGTTGTAGGAAGGATGAGAGAACAAGATACAGCCAGTATATACTATCCACGCAGTGACTCCACTCGGCATGGCCTATCGGCTATCTATGCCTGTCTAATCTGTTTATCGCAGTCATTCAGTGGCCGAGTGCAGCCGCGGGTGGGAGCGCAGCAGAGACAGCTGCAAGGTGTTCCGCCCCTGCGGCCCAGTGCCAGCGCACCTGTGACCTGTGCTCGTGGGCTATTGCCCATCGGTTCCAAACCGCAGGGAGCAGGCACATATAAACTTTCCCACGCTGAGCAGTCCATGTATATATATATTTTATATGCATTATATATCAATGGATTTATTTATTTATACATGAATGCATGGATATATGCATTTATGTAGTGAGTGGCTCGCTGGCCGTGTCCGCGCGTGGGTGCCGCCAGCCCGACTATCTATCTATTTATATAAATAGATAGATATATATTGCTTGGCACACGCGCACTAACAGCGAGCGCTTTGCATTTGCATTGGATCGTAACCTGGATATGGATTGCACGAGACAGAAACCGGTCTTCTACATGTCAAACAAGAGCGCGCCAAGTATACATGCAAGCAGCGCAACAAAACACAATGCGAGTCGGTACCAGATGGTCCTTTTATTCAAAGGGGTGTCGCGTAGGATGGCGCGGAAACGCGTGTATGTATCGTGGTGTGATGTGGTGCACGTAGTGATGGTGACCAGCAACAGAGCCCGGACCCTTCTCCACCCCTGCGGGGCCGGGGCGGGGCGCGCCGGGCATTGGCACGCAACCATGCCTGGGCTCGTCAACATGTTCAGCGGTTCGAGAAGCCTTTTTGTGCATAGAAAGTAGAGGGAGTCAGTCAGCAAGCCATGCCCGTCTCGGGCACTACCAGCGGAAGCCACCGCACTCACGCAGGTACTTGGTGCACAGCATCGTGACGACAGTGTTGAAAGCGATGAACGCGATCATGATGCCCGCGTCCCGGCCGCGCTCGCTGAAATGAATCCCAAATGGCACCATGAACTCGTCACCGCTGGAGAAGGTGCAGTAGCGGCACACGTCTCGCGCGTCCGGCTGCTGCAGGTAGCCTCCCGCCATGGCAATGTACGGCGCCGCCCACTGCGCACACGTCTGCCCTGCTGGTGGCGTGAACGGGATCAGCTCGCTCGCGCTGCAGCGCAACTGCAGCCCGTGGAACTCGTTCGCGATCAGCGGGCTGATTGCAAAGCGCATTGGGTTGAGGTTGTAGAAGAACTTTGAGTACAGCGAGTTCGACATCGCCTGCGGTGGGCTCAGCACGCCGCACGTTAGTGTCAGGATCACGATGATGAACGGCACAAACAGCGTGCTAAAGTAGATGCTCTTGCTGAACGACGCGACCGCACTGCCTGTCGTGATTGCCCACAGCCTGTTGATCGCACAACATATCCACACCCCTCGTAGTCAGTAAAGGGCAGCCAAGTCACACACGCCAGGCTGTCTGCAGGGGTCGACTCACTCGACGATGAAGACCATGATAAAGAAGTAGGCCGCACGGTCTGACGACGTGTTAAAGCCTGTCAGATAGTAGAGTAGCACAAAAAAGATAACCGAGCACACCAGCGCGTACGGCAGCTCGCTGATGATCTGCGTCACTGCAAACACCGTGCCTGTCATCCGTCGCACACAAGAGAGAGATAGACCGGTCAGCATCCCAATCATTGTTACGTGTAGAGCACGGCACGTGAAAAGAGAGCGAGGGCGCACCTGAGAACGTCTTGCTCGTCTCCTCGCGGATCCAGACGGACCGGTTGGTGATCCAGAAGGGCATAATCTGTGCGAGGATGATGGCGGGAATGATTGCGAGCATGAAGATGACAAAGACGCGGTACTGCAGCGAGCTGAGATTGTCGCCGAGCTGAAGGAATAGCAGGCCGGTCAGGAGCGCAAACATCAGGTGTTGGAACACACGTGTGTACTGATACGCTGGTTGGCGCCACGTTGACAGCATTGTCCGATCCAGCACGACCTTGAACTGGACCATCCACGGCGTCGCGTACTCCGTCCGCCGGTCCTCCGGCGTTGGCTTGCCGCGCCCTGCAGCGTTGATCTCGTCGATCCGCCGCAGGTTCTCCTGATACAACTCTGACTCCAGGTAGTGGTCCGCCCAGTCCTTGCTCCCGACCCGCGGCTGGCTCCCCGCGCCGATCGCGTCCAACATGTACTCGGCCGGGTTCGTCGTAGCCGGGCACTGCGCGCCCCGCGCCGCAAAGTAGTCGATCACCTGCTTGCCATCCTTGCCAATCGGCCCGAAGTACACCGTCCGACCTCCGCGCTCAAGCAGCAGCAGACGATCAAACTGCGGTAAAAGCAACAAATCAAACCTATCAGCGACTGACTCCCGAAAGGACACAGGCATCGCGCCCCTTACTCACCGTCTCGAACAGCAGCGCACTGGGCTGGTGGATGGTGCACAGAATCGTCTGGCCAGCATCGCACAGCTTCTTGAGTACACGCACAATCGTAAACGCCGACTGCCCGTCGAGGCCACTGGTCGGCTCGTCCAGGAACAGCAGCATCTCCGGCTTAGCCGCCAGCTCGACGCCGATCGTCACGCGCTTGCGGTCTCCAACGCCGAGGCCAAATCCAGGGTAGCCAATGATCGCGTCCGCGAGGTCCGACAGCTCGAGCAGCTCAATGATCTCCTCGACGTACCGGTCCTTCTCCTCCTTGGGCACGTGGTATGGCTGGCGCAGGTACGCGCTGAAGCGCAGCGCTTCGCGCACCGAGCACATCGGCTCGTGGATGTCCTGCTGCTCCGCGTAGCCGCACTGACGCTGGAACGAAGTGTCGATATTCTTGCCCTCGATCAGACGGTCGCCCTTGATGACACCAATATTCTTGCGGTCCGCAAGAACGTCCAACAGCGTCGTCTTCCCCGCACCCGAGGAACCCATGAGTGCAGTCATGGTGCCGGGCACGACAAAGCCGTCGACATTGTCAAGCAGCTGCTTTTGGCCGCCTTTGACCGGCACCGTGTAATTGAGCTTGGACCAGGTGAACGACTGTCCGTGGACTTCGAGCTTCGTATCGACCTTGTTAGCAATATCACTGCGCCGGTCCTCAAGCCGCTTGTTGAGCGCCTTCTCTTCCTCGCTCGGCACCTTCTTGACAGTCATGGCCGATGCGAATGCGCCTTGGTCCATCAGCTCAATCGCGGCGCAAGTGATGACGATGAGGCCAATGAGGAAGGCGAAGAGGATGCCGACATTGCGCCAGAGATGCGCCTTTTCGTATCCGAACGCCACTCGCAGGTAGTCGAGACCGACGATAATGTCGGACCCGGGCTTAGCACCTGCGACGGTGCATACCTGATTTGGGCCGATACCGCTTGGGTAGTTAGGGCCGCTGGGAAGCACCTGCGCACCATCGCACGTGAAGTTGGTGTGTTGGAACTCGTTGATCATCATACCTTCAAATGCGTAGAAAATAGGATTAATATAGCTGATCCAGAAGAGCCACCTTGCCATTGCCGCTTGCGGAACCACGTAGCCTGCCCAGAGCGTGAGCGCGGCCATGACAGACGCCGCGAGACGAGCCGCAGAGAAGAAGTTGCGCGTGATCGTGCCGAAGAGCGAGAACAGCGCTCGGAAGGCGTAATAAGACACTAGCACGATGAGCCAAGCCTGCGGATGAGACATGATAAATTCCGTGTCAGTGTTGATATTCAAGTAGAAGGGGGCTTGCCCGTTTTGGGTCGAGGAAACGCACCGTGAAGAAGGCGCCTGCAGAGCGGTGCAAACCAGCCATAAAGTAGAGGATGATGACAAACAGCGTCGCGCGGGGAATGCCGAATGGGAAGTCCGCGAGGAGTTGTGCAACCATCAAAGCTGAGGGACGATAAAATGCGAAAGAAGCCTGTCGAGCGAGGATCGGCCGTCCTAGCATTTGGCTTGGCTGTGCATCAGGTGGAGCGAGGAGATTGTTATACGTCAACAGCGGGCTTTGTCGATGGAGGACGCAGAAACGGAACTCACCAATTCGGCAAATGCACTAAGCGCGTTAAAAAGGAGCAAGATGAAGAGGACACCGCCGCGAGTGAAGAGGCCTGCCGAGTTGGTGGGCAGTTCAAAGAAGAGGCCGCCAGCCAAGAGGGCGATGACGATGGAGGTAATGTAGGACATACAAATGTCAAACTTATCGCCGATGATCATCTGCATCTGGCGGAGCCAGAGCGCGTAGACTTGCTGGGCAAACGAGACGGTGTACTGGCTCTTCCTGCCAGTGCCAGGGTGTTTCTGCTCCATGACGGCCACCCTGAATTCATCTGCGCGCTCCTTCTCCTCGGCCTGCACGGCCTTATCGAACTGCGCTTTTTCGTCCATGGCCTCCTGGAAGAAGCGGCTGGCGCGGTAGGCCTTCTCGAGCTCCTCGGGCGAAGTGGGCACGTCAGCCTCGCTGCGGCCCTCCTGGAAGATGCGCTCGTACCTGTCCGTGCAGCCTGTCACATAGTCAGCCGACGTCTGGCGCGGACGGTCGCCAAAGCCAAGGTTGATAAAGTACTGACGCGCCTCGGCGCGTGGACCAAAGTAGACGCAGCGGCCTTCATCGATGATAATGACCTTGTCGCACTGCTCCCAAATACCCTCGGATGCCTGGTACGCCGTGAGGAACGAGGTGGTCCCCATGACATCTGTGAGCACGCGGATTGCCTTGGCGTAGTCGAGCGCGGTAGACGCGTCGAGACCGCGCGTGGCATTGTCCCAGCACAGGACCGAGGCGCCGGTAGCGAGGGCCTCGATGATTGAGACGCGCTTGCGCTCACCGCCAGAAACTCCTCGCACAGTTGGGCTGCCAACAAGTGTGTGCTTGGTGTGAGGAATGTTAAACATCTGCAGCAAAGCGTCGCGAATCGTTTTTCGGAACGTCTTGCGCGTGCTATCTGGGAATTTCTGGCTGGTTTGTTTGACGCGCAAGGCAAAGTCGATCGTTCGCTGCACGGTCAGTGTCGCGTGGTGCATGTCGTCCTCCTCGCAGTACGTGACTTCGCCACGGTAGCGCTTGCTCATATCCTGGGCACTGATGCCGCCGTAATGGACATCGCCCTCTGTGTCGATGAAGCCAGTGCGCTGATTGGCGATCGTTTTGAGGAAAGTGCTGCAGCCTGCGCCGGGACGGCCAAGGACGAGGACCATCTCGCCTGGTCGAGCGACGCCGGAAAACCCCTCGAGCAAGTGACGCGTCTTGGGCTTCATCAGGTTGATGCCAACCATCTTCAAAATGCCGAAGATGGGACCGATGATCTCAAAAAGCGCCATGGACGGGATCGTCGGAACGTTCAGAGCCACCGATGCGGCTCCGATGACGCCCAAATCACCCCAGCTGACACCGAGCGACTTGCGTTTCATGCCAGCTTCGCGGCCTTTCTCCTCAGCTCCAGCGAGCCACTCCCGGAGGTTGAACACCTCGGCGTCGGAGCCATTCTTTTCAATATCGCTGCCGCCCGTCTCGGCGAGGAATCTGTAAAGGAGTCAGTCAAATGGTGTCAGCAATTGACGGGCCCGGAAAATGAAAGACACATCCTCAGCACAAACTTTTCGCTCTCTTGCGCAAGTTGTTTCTCGAGCTCGTCGAATTGACGCTTTGCCTGCTCGACGTTGATGCCGTCATCGCTGTTGTTTGGCGTAGAGACAGCTCTGCTCTCATCTCCCATGGCGCCGGGGGCGCCGCCGCCAACAACCCTGCCACTGGGCTGAGCGTCTCCTGGTGCGGACATCGCGCAAGACTTCTTGTGCTTGCTGGCCGTACAGGAGCTATAGTAAGACGACGAGGAGGTGGTCTTAAGGTGGTGTCCTTGAGGGGAACAAGATTGGGATCCAACCAAATGGGAACGTTTCTGCGTCGTATTTCTATTGTCGATGGGGGATGTTCCTTGTCATCACGGTGGTCCAAGCTTCCAAACAGCCACTGCGCATAAACAGTTTCATCCACAAGCAGGCGCATCACGAGTTTGCAGACAGTCGATTGACTCGACCCACCGGGGGCCGTCTCCGTACAACAGAGATCAATCAGTTCAGCTTTGCGCAGCTAGTCAGTCATACATGCAGAGACCGCGGAGCAGCCAGGCTTAACGAAGCACAGCGCATCCAAACTTTCCAGTTCACAATCACAACAATTCACTTCGTCCGGAAGAGCGGGACGATGAGTTCTCGTAAAGTCCGCGGGACTGGGAAAACAAGGGGGGAGATGGACATACGAAGCCATGGACGTCCGACGCGGCTGCTGACTCGAAGTTGAGGAACACCCAGCATGGAAACCAATCGGCCCGCACACTGGCGCCATGGGTGGGTGGGAACCGGAACATATCTGCCGAAAGTGCCTCATAGACCCCAGTGACAGAACGGCGCGTTTTTGGGAAGTTCTGAAAATTGAAACAAAACAATTGGCCAATGTTCTATCAGGGATTTCTATTCTTTTACCGTCTCTGGCTGCAAACTCGGGCGGAAGCCCTAACCCGCTCAAAGCTGCGTAAGCCAGCACAGAACGCTCCAATGCGCAGCCGCCAGGGGGGGCTAAGCAAAACAATGTGCACATGAACAGAGTATTGATGCTCGGCCCTGCACCTGTGGCAAGCCTCCCCTGGCGAAGTGAGTCAATCTATCAAAGGGGGTCGGAATTCGGAAAGTAAGCTAACTCGGACATTAACAAATTCGGCCGCCTGAAAGGGCAGGGGCCGAGCTGACCAGGCCTTTTTTTCCCCTGGAATGGCAGTCTCTTGGCTCGATTGTGCTGGGGATGAGTCACTGATGGCATTCTGATATTACTCTCAAGGCCTAACCTCCCTTTTCTCGATCTTGCCTCCATTCCCCGGATATCAAAATGATGCCACGATACAACATGACACCAGTACTTTCCCATCTTTCTCGTCCTCTCTCTTCATGGCAAGTTCATGAAAACGTCACCGCGTCATCGTTTGTATGTAGATCATCTGTATTCCCCTATCGAGATGAGGAATTCAGCCGGGTGGACGGCGCAAGCCGTGGCAGCATCGACTGCTTAAGACAACCGTGCAGCAGACCACACACTGGTTGCACCTGTCGCAAGTCGAGATCCGAGATGCTTTCCTTCTGGACAACAATCCCAGCAGCGTCAGATCAAAATGCCTACTTCTGTTGCTGCGTGCGTCACTACTTCGGTTCCGCGCCATGTGCTGCTTATTTTTGTCAACAGAGGTTTGGCGTGTAGAGCCGGGATGGTTCGACAGTTGGAGGTTACACCTTCCGTCCTATATGCAACGTATCACCAAGTCTTCTGGGCTTCAAAGGCGCTACCACTGTACATGAATTGTTCAACGTCATCAACACACGGGTACACCTGCGAATATAACTTTGTTGAGGTCGAAACCCGGTTTCTGCACGCCTCTGACGGCGCTTCAATGATGCTTGCGACTACAGTTCATAAACGAGGTAAGGTCTGTTGTATTGATCGCCGTTCTGATGTCTACCTGCACCGCCTCACTGGTAACAACGAGCCGCTCGTCATCACATCTAATAGATGTGTCATCGTAAGACCTACGAATAGCGTACGATTCGTTTTAAACGCGCCGTCCAAGCCCAAAGACATTACTGATATTGTGCACCACAGTGCCAAACTTCCTTTGTTTAGCCAGGTGGAAATGCGACAGTAGCATGAATGCTTTTTTTTCGCTCATAGCTGCCTCGTGTCTGACTTGCCGCTTAAGGTCCGAGTCCCTGTTCATCTGGTTGCTGTTGTGAAGCTGCGAGACATCAATGATTGCAGCATGCCGCATGCGTCCGAGCTTCACGCATGTCGAAGGTGATCTGATTTGTTCTGACGACCACACACCTCTACTTCGCAAAGGGTTTGCCTTAGCTAGAATGCCATGCTACAATTGTCCATAACACCATCAACAATGGCGCATGGCGGCCGAATTTTGTATGGTTCACAAACCAGACCTTGATGCTGCGAAGCGTGCAGCGGTGGCCCTTACGCCTTGGCAAGTGCCAGGCCAGCCGCACGCCCACTGAAGATGCAGCCAGTCAAGAACGAGCCTTCGAGCGCGCTGTGAGACATAAAAAGTGCATAGAGCTGTTGATGAGCCGATGTCTTCATCAAATAGGAACCAGGCACCAGGAGAAAAACCCACTTGTAGCCCATGACACCGCCGCCTCCAAACCCGGCGACCTCCCCAGCAGCGTAGAGTCCCTCGATGGGCGTCTCGCCATCCTCGCGTAGCACCTGCGCGTCCAGATTGGTCTGCAGCCCGCCAAGCGTCTTGCGTGAAATCAAGTTCATGCGCACCGCGATGAGAGGCTTGTGCGCCGGGTCTAGGATTCTGTGCGGCTTGGCCACACGACCGATGCGCTCGGCCCAGTACGAGCGCGCATTATTGATGAGCATCATCTGCGCGTCCTTACTGTACCCGTTCGGGACCTGCTCGTCGCGGTCCTGCACGATCTTGAGCACGTCCTCGTACTTGATCGGCTCCGAGGGCCCCCGCCCGGACTTGGTCGCCAACTCGTTCATTCCGACAACAAGCTCGTCAAGCGTGTCCCGCACGACAAAGTCTTCGCCGTGCTGCATGAACTTCTTCACCGGTTCGGCCCCCCGGAGCACGCGCGAGAGCAACATCAACAAACTCTTGCCCGTCAGGTCCGGGTTCTGCTCACTGCCGGACAAGGCAAATTCTTTTTGAATGATGGTCTGGTCGAGAACAAACCATGTGTAGTCGTACCCAGTCTTGAGGATATGCTTGAACGTCGCAATCGTGTCGCATCCGGGGAACAATGGCGCCGGAAGTCGCTTGCCTGTCGCGTCGAGCCATAGCGACGAGGGCCCCGGAATGACACGGATGCCGTGGTTGGGCCAAATGGGGTTCCAATTCTTCATGCCTTCTGTGTAGAACCAGAACCGCCCTGCATTGACAGCCCGTGCACCCGCGTGCTGGGAAATCTTGAGCATCCTTCCGTCCACGTGATGAGGTACGCCAAGCACCATGTTCTGGGGGCATTTCCCAAGCTTATCTTGCGGCCACATCTCGCGGATCAGATCTGGGCTGCCTCCAATGCCACCAGACGAGACAACGACCGCACGTCCCTTCAATTGGAAATCGCCGACGATTTTGCGAGAGGACTGGGCACCGCGCTCGACATCTGACGGTTCTAGCACGACCCCCTTAACGCCCACGCACTTTCCATCTTCTAGCAGCAGCTCGTCGACTCGATGCCGGAACTTGAACTCGACAAGGCCATCCTTCGCTGCAGCCAGAACTGGATCTCTGAATACGCGCACAATGTCCGTACCGGTACCCCACGCGACATGGAAGCGAGGGACAGAGTTACCGTGTCCGCTTGCGTCGCCACTCCCGCGCTCTGCCCAGCCGACGTTGAAGGTAAGCTTGATGCCGAGTTTGCTGAGGTATTCTCTCATTGGGCCTGCGGCAAACTTGAGATACTCTTCGGCCCATTGCACAGCCCACTTGTCTTCCGTATCGATTTTGTCAAATTGCGCGCTATTGAACCAGTCGCGCCGAGCGAGTTCATACGTGTCTTTGATGCCTAGGCGTCGCTGCTCGGGCGTGTCGATGAGAAACAAGCCACCAAGCGACCTGGATATAGCGGTCAATACATCTCTTCCGATCGAGATTTTCCTGCACATGTTTCTGCACTCACCACCACGCCTGGCCACCGAGGTTCTGCTCCGGCTCCTGGTCGACTATTATCACCTTGCGGCCGCCACGCGTGATTTCGTACGCCGCCGCCAGCCCAGCCAGGCCGCCGCCGACGATGATGACTGCGTCGCCGCCAGCAGGTTGGTCAACGGAGGAAGCCGCTGTAGAGGCAGATCGACTGCTGTTGGCTGATGAAGGAGTTTTGCTCGTGGCGACCGCATTGGCTGCGGATGAAGCCGCAGGGTCGGTGGCTGTTTGTACCATGATCTGTAGATGTGAGTGATGGTAGCCTAGGGAGGAGCGGGGAAGAATTTCTCAAGCGAACTGCCACTGCCTTTTGGAGAGGGAGGACTGATACAAAGAGGAAGATCACAGATGAGATGCAAACACCCTTTCCATTGCACATCTGTCGGGTCCCTCGAAGGCCTCTATATATATATATATATATATATATATCGGCTCCATAAGAACGAGGATTGGATTGCCCCAGGCAGCAAGCTGAGGTTCAGCAGTATTGCGGGGCCAGAGGTGGAAGTTGGAGAGTGTGCGGATGCGCCTATTGCAGCACAGAGGCCCGGGGAGTCAAGTGCCCGAGAGCCGAGTTGTTGAGCCGAACGGGGAGCCGAACATCAAGGCGCGAGCAAATAGATGCCAAGAACAGCGTTACAGCGCCCATGACAAGTCGGAAACCCCACGTTGTCTTTATTCAAGTATTAGCCACTGGTGGACTTGCCATGATATCAAACTTGCTGCGTCGCTCGGAGTAATATTGAAGTTGGATTGTCCATGACAAAGTGTTGTATTATATTATTCTATACAGGGGTGCGCAATGGGCATGCAAGGTGCCGCCTCACAAGCCAGCCAAGTCATGGGAGTAGCTCGCCTGTTGGGTCCAGCCATCGTCAAAAGCCAAATCATACGCTAGTCCCTTGGGCGCCTTGTTGGCAGGGTCGTAGTTTATGTAGAATTTGTAGCCGCTGACCGCAAAGCTGTAGCCCGTGTGCTGCTCTTGGAAGTCTGCATTCGCCGGGCTCGCGTTGTCGCCGAGGAAGGACACGACCTGGTATTTGAAGAACGTGCTGGAGGAGAATTGGAACTTCTGGCTGGCTTGCACGCTACCGGACGAAAAGTCGCACGGCGAGGAGACGAGCGTGGCATTTTGCGACTTAAGCGCGCTGACACCAATGCAGTTGCCGGGGATAATGGGGTCCGAGAGGTAGCTAGAAAAGGGAACGACCGTGGGTGGAGGATGTCAGCATGTCGGGTACAAACGTCGAGAGGTATGCTTGTGACACTGCTCACCCGGTGTATGTTTGAACGGATCCTTTGCCCACTCCGCCATCGTAGGTGTGGTCGCAGCCATACGGCAGGAAGAAGAAGGAGGGATAGTGGGCAACCTTGAGCGTGCTCTGCAGTTCTTCGAGACCACCGTAAGGAGATTCTTCAAAGCCTAGATAGAGTTGCGGGGTGCCATCGTTGTAGATGCCGATACTAGACGTGTTGAAGCCGAGATACGCCGGCTTGGAGAGCAGCTTGCAGTTGGCCGGGAAAGAGCTCGTCGAATCTCGAATCGAGAGGGGCACAATTGGAGAGGCGCTGACGAACGCCGCTGCGCCGGAGAGGGCCATAAGTGCAGTCGCTTCTAGCATGGACACGGCGTTGAAGTAGTCCGAAGAGTAGTTTAAGCGGGCAAGACAAGAAGGAAAATGATGGTTGCTGGATTAAGGGGAGAGGAAACGGGAGTCTGGTGTGCAGGAGAGCCTGCCTATATATAAGCTCATCCAGAACTTGCGCGAACCATGGTATGTGAATTGTAGGTGCGTTGGTCCTTACAAATGTTCGAAAGATGGTGTCATCCAGTCCAAATCGGTCCAGCTCTCTTATGTGTGTGTGCCCTGATGCTACATCGATCATTCTGATTCCAATGGGATGAGGAGCCCCGGCGGACCAAGTCGATGAGCCGATGGGATTTGAATTGAACATACAAATGCACGTCAAGAATGCTGTCCGGTGGACCTTTTGGTGACGCAGTGACGCTCAACCCTCACCCGGACTTGGCGTCCCTTCAAACGTTCTATGTACGTAACCCGTGGTGCACAGGTGGGATACTGGTCGGATGTGCGCTCTGCATCTGGCGAACCCCTTCTGCATCCAGCCACAGCCACAACTGTTGCCTGCGAGAGCAATGCCGGTGTTGGAATCCAGGCGAACTATCATGTATTCGGTGTCGTAATCCCGCTTCCTTCCTCCTCTCGCGTTCCGTCGTCACCATATCATTGTCCATCATATCACCACTCCACCTGGCGCCCACGCCGCTGTGTCACCGGAGTTCCATCGGCGCAGCAAACGCGGGGTGGCACCGAGATTTTGCATTAGTTCTTTGGGCCTAGGCCTAAGGCTGCCCCCCCACGGTCGTTTCCACGTCTTTTCCGAGTTCCGTGATTGCGATTTTTTCCCCTTTGGCCGCAACTCATCTCCTCCGTTTCCCCCCATCCTGCAGCAATCCAGGCTCTCAGCCACCACCACCCACGGAGGGATTGCTTGCTGTTAAGCTGAAAACCCTCAAGACAAAGCCGACGGACGCCCATGCTGCGCATCAATCTGCTTGTGGACTGTTCTGCTCGGTTGCTTGCATCTGATATCGAAGTCTTCCGCCTGACAAGTTACAAGTGCAGCGAGACTACTCGTTGATCATCCTCACGTCACCAGGGACCCCAACAGACTACCGCCATCATGAGGATCAATCACTGCTACTTCTGCAGCAAGCCGGTTCGTTTGAATTCATATTCTTGCTTCATATTCTTGCTTCTGTTAAATGAAGGTCAAAGGCGCTGACATGTGCCGCTTCCATCTGACAGACCTACCCTGGTTCCGGCATGATGTTCGTGCGTAACGACTCCAAACAATTCATCTTCTGCCGCAGCAAGTGCCACAAGAACTTCAAGATGAAGCGTAATCCACGCAAGGTTCGCTGGACCAAGGCGTTCCGTAAAGCAGCGGGGAAAGAGATGACAGTGGATGCCTCGCTCGAGTTCGAGAAGCGACGCAATGTGCCTGTCCGCTACAATCGCGAGCTGATGGCTGCTACATTAGCCGCCATGTCTCGCATCCAAGAGATCAAGGAGCGCCGCGAGCGCGCCTTCTACAAGGCCCGCATGCAGAAGGCCGGAAACACCAAGCAGGCACACAAGGAGAAGGACAGGATGGAGGTGCATCGGAATGCCCATGTTCGGGAGATGCTGCGCAAGAAGAAGGAACTGGCGCCAGAGCTCGAGAAGATCAGGGTCAAAGCGAAGGCCAAGAAGAGTGCGCTGCAGACTGGTGGAGGGATCAAGATGTGAGTGATGCATCACTTGACGTGGGAAGGAGAGCATCCGAAGCCTCTCACTGACTTGCGAATATCTATTCCCTTTGATCAGGTCGATGGATGTAGACTGAGAGAACTGCACACAGCAAATTCCCAGTGTAGACTCGGTTGTATTTGTAATGGGCATTGTTCAAGATCTTTAAAACATATTTCTCTACAGTGCAAGGCTGCGGTGCGGCGGATCTACAATGCGGCCGATGGCTCACCAAAGAGCCTGTCCAGCAGTACGGTGAAATATCAGTGTTTGCTCATGGCGTATTTCTCTCCCTACACTCAACAGCTCACTTTGCATAAGCAGGGCCTACCTCCTCGAGCAGATCATTAGCTAGCATCGCCCTCCCCTTGCGTCGGAACCCCTCGCGGCTGCACGTCCTCGTCGTGATAGATCCACCATACCCCGCAAGCAACGGCAATCTGTCGTCCGCGATCCGGGCTCCTACATTTTCCTCTGCACTGACGCCAGCTTGATAGACGGACGCCCACGCGAGGAACGTGCCAAGGCAACCAGAAAGAATGTCGCCTTGTCCGCCTGCGCGTTTGAGCCCACCCTGCTCGTCGCAGATCAGCACTTCTTTCCCGTTCGTGATGCGGTCCACGCGGCCTTTTTCGAGGATCGTCGGGCCCTGAAGCGCAAGTGCAAGCTGCTTGGCTGCATTTTCGCTGTTGGCTTCCTTGGAATCGATGCCCATCCTCTTGCACAGGCGGCCAAACTCAACGACGTTCGGTGTCAGGATGCACTTTGTGTAACCTTTCACAACATCTGGCTCGTTCTGTACGAGCCACAGGCCGTCAGCATCTACTACGATGTATATGTCGCTTTCTCGAGCCAGCTGCAGATGGAAAGGGGAGGCAGTCAGCACAAAATTGAAGCTCGGGCGCAACCACGGAACCCAGCACGGTGCTGCGTATCCACACATACCTCCATAGCAATTTTCCCACATGATTGCATGTGCTTGTCGCGACCTAACCCCGGACCAACAATGACACTGTGTAATCGCTCGAAGATACCTTTCATCTCCTTTTTGATATCGTCGTGTGACCTGGACGCAAGCCGCAAGAATATATATCACTTGTTAGCACCAGAAGTGTGCTGTTGTCTCCCTGGCCCTCCGCTCCACCCACTTGTTCTCATCGAGGATCCTGTGCACAATCAAATCCGGGCTGTACGTCTTGATGACATTGCCTGCGCTCGGCTCACAAATCGTATGACTCATATCTGCGCCAAGTCGCATGCAGGACATGCTCGCAAAGAAGGGCGCTCCAGTGTAGTCGCGCGAACCACCAACGACCCCTACACGACCCGCTTGACCCTTGTGCATCTTCTCCGACAGTGGGGGGACTATCGATCGCACCTCATCGAGAATTTTGTGGCGAGTGGCGGCTGAGGGCATAGTGGCTGCTTTTGTTGATGTGCTGCTGCTCACGGAAGAAGGGGTATGCGAGTGAAGTATGGTATGCATGATTGGAGCATTGGGAGGAGTCGGGGTGCATCGCACGTTCTGGAGCAAGTTGCATAGGATTTATACACGATCTGGCCTCTCTTCCTTTTCCAGGTAGCGTCGGGTTGATTGAAGGTACCTAGTGAACTCGATGGGGTCCAAATGAAGTGTGCAACGAGGTCAGGTTTCCAGCAATCCCGCTTCTGAAGCCCCTTTTGGTGAAAGGACAAGAGGTCCACCGCAATTGAGAGAGTTGCGTCATCGCAAGTTGAATCAATTACGCGCATAAGGTTCACTCGTGTAACAACTACCATCATGCATTTACACATATCTCAAATGTTTATTTGCTGTGATTAACATGTCACTGCCTCATGGCAAGTCGCCGGGAGGTGTAGGTCTCCAGAACCTTAGTTGACTCCGATTGACGTTCACACTTGAAAGTCGGCTTCCTCCTTTATAATCGCAGCAGGCACTACATTGGAAGGTCTGATTTCGGAGCAGCTATACAAGATGCAGGCTAGGTGTGGGTAACCCGCTTGTCAGTTGCAACATCATGAGTGCCAAAGTTCTGGTTAATGTCGTGAAATCATGAGGCATGAGAAAGCGTATCAATATGCTACAAGAAGACAAGAGATCCAGTCTCTCGCCCGTCACCCAAGGATGAAATAGTTTGGTCACTCCTTTACAACACGGTCAAAGAAAATGCCCGTGAAACGAGCAGAGAACTTGATGCGTCTCCATGAAGTGAAAGGATCGAAAGGTCGAGCAGTGTGGCTGCCTTTCTAGAACGCGCTACCAACCGGTACCGGTCTCTGGGCCTGTTGGCCCGTCAGTGACTGCAACTCTTGCGACTGCGGCTGTAGCTGCGGCTGCTGAGCCGGCTGAGCATCATCCAGACTATCTCTTCTGACGACGCTCGGTCCACTGCCTATTCTATGTACGTGCCGCGAGCCAGCGCGAGCATTATGCGAAAGCTTCATCACCTGTGCCAAACTGTGGCTGTTGGCTGGGCCGAAGGACACGGCCGAAGAGGCAGACTTCATCGACGTACTCGAGGTCGACACGGGGATGCCCGATGGAACACCCGTTTGGCTTGGTTTGGTTCGAGGAAGATTGTGAACAGCTGTTGTTGGCGTCACCTCTACGGATTGGGATTCTGTGCCTTCAGACACAGATTCAAGCAAGGTCGACCGCGTGGTGTCGCTCGGGTCCCACGTGCCATAAACTTCGCTCCCGACGCCGCTGACAAGCCCATTGATCGCTTGGCTTTGGCGCCGGCTGCTCTTCCCCATTGAATCGCTGCCGGAAGATGGCGTACGGAGCCGGCTGCTAGGCTGTGGGAACGACGCCGCGTTCTGCATGGGCCATTGCATTAGATCTGGAGTTGTAGAGGCTGACGTCGAGCCGCTTCGACTGCCAGAACGTACATCGCACGCGAGACTTGAAAATCGGCCAGTTTGTTGGATGACTGGGTCGTCGATTTCCAGCGGAGACCCAAGCTTCTTTTCTTGGTCCTCTGACGCCGGTAATTGGCGCTTCTGCTTGATCTGTGCGATCACATCTTTCAGCTCTGATATGACGACTGTCTTTCCAGCGCCATCTGCAGGCTTCGGCTGCGACTGCTGCTCTGCAAGCTTTTTGGCCCTCTGTTCCCTTACCCGAGCGATACGCTCGTCCCGCGAAAGGCCCACCTTGGCGCTAGCTGGATCAAAGTCGACAAGACCAGCGATGCTTTCGAAGACCTGTTCCAGGCCAGGGGGCGGCAGATACTGCGGGTCGGTTGACTGCTTCACGAGGTCCATCAGGTCGTGATCAGCAAGCGGCGAAGAATCTTCCATGGTGATAACACCAGTCAATCCCTGGTCCTGCTCCTGCCATGCATCTTCATCAGCCTCTTGCGGCGACTCAAACTCTCGAGGCCCAGCGACAGGATGACGAGGCGAACTGCTGCTGGGCGCAGGTGGTGGCTTGGGGCTGGCGCTGCATTTGAGCTCCTTGTTGAAAATGTTCAAACCGCCTTCCCATTCGGCAGAAAGACTTAGTAGATCCTCCTTGATGCTCTCGAACATCGTCTCGGTTGGCTGCCATGACGAAGTACCGCTGAGGCCTGATTGGTGGCTGCTTAGACTAACAATCGTGTCTGCGTCATAGCCATGGAGCTCAGGTGGGTTTTTCACGTGCAAGTCCCTCGCACAAGCTCGGAGCTTCAGCTGAATGGAGCGCAGCAGGATACCCATCGTGTTCAGTCGATCCTCCAAGGCAGGATGCCCTTCTAGATCGCCGACCTTGGCCTGCGACGGGGGCTTGAGAAGAGAACTATCCGTAGCGTTTTTTCCGGCTGCGTCTAGCCCCATTTCGGCGCGCAACTCCTTCACAACGTCCTTGGACAGCAATGCGAATAGATCCGTTGCTGATGCCACCAGCCCGCGCGCGTCCCTCCAGTAGCTTGCATCTGCATCAAAATGAAGAGCAAGCAGACGTACAAGCATTTTGCGTCGCGTACGATGCACATGCTCGTGCCGCATCTGCAGGCCGGCGATGGAAAGTGGATCGATTGAATTAGCTGACTTTTCAGGTTGTTGCATGACAACGCCTGAGCGTTGTGACGGCACGCGACTCAGTGACGTCCCGCCTGTGCCAGGAATTGGGCTGACCCGGCCGAGCATGGACGGAGAGGAGGCGCGATCACGAGAAAAGGACAAGTCTCCAAACGGCGCTAATTGGCTGAGCGCGACTGAAGCATTCCCCGCCCCTAAGGCAGCCCAGTTGTTGATCCCGAAAGATGCTGCGGAGGTGGTAGATGACGAATAGCTCAGTCGCTTTGAGTAATTTGTGTCGGTGCCGTTGCTTGGTGTATCGGAGTGCACATATGCAAGACGCCCAACACCGGTGCGGCGCTGAGCATCCAGGGAGGGGGTGCCGCGACCGCAACTGGCAATGCTCGAGCTGGTGCGCAGCGGATCTTCTAGGTTGACCGAGCTGCGCTTGCTGGCGCTCGTCCCTGCGGCAGGTGACGTGGCCGGCGACTCGATCGATTTGGTTCCATTTGCCAGCAAAGACAACCGCTTGTACCCAGAGCGCATAGTTTGCGGGCTTACGGCAGTCTCCGCATCTAGGAGGCTTGAGCTTGACAGCAGCGACAGGCGCTTTGCCTTGGAAGCGCTGCTTGTCGGCCTTGAGAGTGCGTCGAGTTCACTTTGAAGGTCAGCGGCAGGATCCATAGAGGTGCTAACACCTTCGAGCAGCGAGTCCTTTGCGTCCATCCCTGCAACAGCAAGTGCTCCATCCAGAGAGTACATTTCCTTGAGCAGCTCCCACTCTTCCTTGTCCACCAGCTCATCGAGCTGATTGGAAATATTGACGCAGCCGACTTCCGCCTCGTCCATAACCCGCGCAAGCATTTTTCGGAGCGGCAGCAAGCGCATTTGCGACTGCGCACCTTCGTAAGACGGTCCCATTTGCGACGTCGTCGAGTACGACGTTAAGGCCGAGTAGCGAATGCTGGTCACATCGTCGTGTTCCGGCAAACCATCAAAGAGCGAAGGCGAGGCTCGCCCAGCAGTCGAGCCAGATGGCGCGGAGGACATGCTGAGAGACTGGCGTCGAGCCTCTCGGCCAACCGAGCCGGTGCGACTGAGGCGACTAGTTGCTGCTCGAGAAGACGCAAGTGGGCGTGGAGGGGAAGACAATGCACTCAATGCTGCACTGCTCACGAGCTCAAATGCGCTTCCTCCGGATGCCTCGATTCGTGAGATCGGAGGCAGCGGATGCGTGCTGGTGGGAAAGCAGAGGTGCTCATGTTCAGCTGTCTGCTCTAGCAGATCAGCACATATGAACTCGAATTTGCGCTACTCACAGCTTGAACCCTCGCCCGACAACCTCAGCCTCTTTGATGGCCACGAGGGCCTTTTTGACCTCCACGTCCCAGTTGCGCAACTGTTCGACCAGCGACTTGGCCGCTGCAGCTCCCTCTCTCGCCACAGCTCGTCCGAGCTTGCTTGAAGCTGCATTTATAAACTTCTCCTTCGTAGCAAGCGCATAAATGCTATTGCCAACAGCTTCCGCAGACTTGTGGCTGAGCCAGTATCTCAGCGACTCTTCCTCCGGCGTGCGATCATGCAATTGGAACCCGATGACGATGATCCAGGCTGTCATGACGAGGAGCAAGACTGTGCGGAACCACATCGATGGGCTGTCTGCGGCAAAGGCGAGCGGAAAGAAGGTGATGATGAGCGCATTGCGCAGCTCGCGCCCACGGCGACTGAGCGGCGGCAAGGTCGTTCCAGCCCCGGCATGTCTCGCCTCGAGTGCCTCGAGCTCGAGTGTAGAGCTGTTCACGTGCTTGCGCAGATCATTCCAGTGCTCCCACTCGCTTCCGCCAGAGGGTGCCGCAGGCTGCGCATTATTTGTAAGCGAGGACGGACGCTGTGAATGTTCGGCGGAGCTGTGCTTGCTGGACACCCCATCGCCATCGCCACTGACGCTGCTGCTATCCGCTGCTGTCCCCACTGCGCTGGGCGGCGCTTCGTCGTAGAACGAGATGCTGAGCGACGGCGTGAGCAAGAACGACGTGCAAATGAGATACTTGAACTTTTCGGCAAAAGCATTGGACATCGATTTGGAGGCCCAGGGAGCCTTGTTGTCCAGCACAGCTGTTGCGAGAGATGCAGCCGTCTTCGTGTCTGCGTCAGTGTCATTTTCACCCGTGGTGATTGTCTCCGCGGCGGTGCCCCCAGGTGTGTGCGCTTCTGGCGACTGGTTCGGCAGCAGGGAAACGAACCCGGTGAGAACAATGCTCTGAATGTGCAGAAACCGAAGGGAAAAGTCTGAATGAGATGCGTCCAAGGCTGCAAAAGCTGGCTGCCGAGATTTAGCACTTACTAGAAGCGATAAAAAGAGTGGTAGGAGTGTACATCGGACAACCATGTGGAGCGCATCGGCAAGATATCTGCAGAGCTTGATCAACATCGGAAGAGGAGCTTTCGCCACTGCTGACGATGTCAGAGCGGCTGCTTCTCCGTCTGCTCCATTCCGCATCGTTCCAGTCACCTGAAGCGAACCCACGCCACTGGATCTGAACTCCCTCGCTGGGCTCCTGCTCCTACTTGCAGAGGTGTTGACGCTCGCGCGGGGAGACATGCGCTTCCTCAGTTCGTCACCGCCGCTGCGTCCACCGATGCCTGTGATGGTTTCAAAGGAAAGCGCGCTCTCGTCTAAGAGTTTGGGGGAAGGCATCATACCCCGGCTTCTGGCTGAGAGCTCTGGCTTGACTCGCTTGTTCGCCGCAGTAGCTCCACCAGCCCCAGCACCAGCTGAAGCGGCGCCAGCCGCAAGAGCTCTGTCCTTGCTGAGCGTCGCCCACGCTTGTTCCCCTTCTTCCATACCGCCAAAGCCGAAGTCAAGAACTCGAGAAGAGGAAGGGTTCGACGATGAAGGCACGTCTCCCCATTGCCCGCTGCTGCGCACAGAAGACGAAGCGCTAACGACACTGCAGCGCGCTAACGCGGATGCAGAAATGGTCGCAATTGCGCCCGCGCTGCCCTTGCTAGCAAAGGTGGGCGACTGATGCAAGCTCACCGTTGTCCCTTTGCGTCCGATAGTTGGTACTGCAACGCCGCTGGCACTCATGATGGACTGCTTATCAGCATCCGCATAAGTGCTTGCTGCACCCCCAATCGGCCGCGTGCTCTTGCTGCTGGCAACTGAGAGCGGCCGAGGCGGCGGTGCAGGCATCTTAGCGCTCAGGTCCCACGCCCAGGCTCGTGCGCGATGTCGTCCTTGTTCGTTCTCGATATCATCGCCGCCATGAAGGTCATCTCGTTCAGCCTCGGACGATTCGGACGTGTCTGATGCGGTTGTGTTCGGGTCGGGGATGGAAGGGGTAGGACGGGGAGAGGAGCCGGGCGGGAGGGAAGCTAGAATGTTTGTCGTGGATGATTGCGTTGCAGACGTAGGAAATGGGGCTTCATGCTGCGGTAGTGGTGATGGAGGTACATCCTTGTTCTGGTCTACAACATAAACTGGTTGTGATGGCGATGTGACTTCAGCCGAAGTAGAACGCAAGCCGAGCCCCTGCAGCTCTTGCTGTTGCGAGGATATTGAAGTGCCACTGGGAGCAGATGCAAGACTTGACGAAGAGAGAGTATGCTCTGACCATGCCGCATGCACCTCTGCTTCTGCCGCAGCAGCAGCGCCTAGCTCTTCTTCGAGCGTTGTCGCGCTCGCGGAGCGTAAAAGATTCCCGCAATCACCGCTTCTACTAACGCTGCTAGCATGAGTGTGATGTATCGGTTTGCATCGGAAAGAGTGTGTCCCTGGAGGTTGAGTGGCCGCTGCTGATGAGGATGGTAAGGACGACACAGCGTTGTCATAGGCCATAGCTCCCCCAGCGCCTGTACCAGTGCTCGCAGAGCCTGTGGAGGACGACACAGAGGAAGATCTCGAGCTAGATGGCTGATGCCTTGAGCTGGAAACTTTTCTCCCAGCTCCAAATGCGGTGCCTAGCATTCCGCGAGTCATCTTCCCTCCCTTTTCCTTGCGAAATGATGATCTGGAGGAGGCGCCGACTGCAGCGGCACTTCCTCCGGAACCGCCTCGTTGATGGTGGTACTCCTTGAGATACTCCGCGAGCGGGGTGTGAGGCTCTATGTATGGCTCTGCCATGATTCTCGTTCAAGCACAGCTCTAGATCAAAGGTGATGGCAAGCCGTCGTTGCTTGTCCTTTGCTCGGCCATCAGGAATACCGCTCCGCAGGCAGGAGGCGAAGCGGTCCCTGCCACCAAGGAACGTGCTACCGCCCTGCCGCGTATGGGGTAAGCGAGCACACGGAAGCTAGCTGGGAGCGCGTGTTGACTGCATGCCCATAGGAGTTCTTCCCTTTTCGTTGGGAGCTCAGTCGAATCTCTACCCCCGCGCTGTGGATGTCGATGGCGAGGTGTTGGTCCCTTGCAACGATCATGGGGATGAATTCCCCCCTCTGTCTCCTCCCCTCGCTTTGCGTGTTGTGCCGAGAGCCACTTTTTTCACGTGCTTTCAAAGCCCACAGCTCAAAGACCAAATTGCCTGAAATTTGATCCGGGTCTGCCAGCCTAAGCCAAGCAAGCGCACCGCACTGGCCTCTTGTCCGGTGTGGTAAAACTACAATCAGCGGTGCAGGAGGAATGAAATCCCCTGGAATGGGAATGAACGGGGCCAAAAGTTTAAATAGGGAAGGCGCACCATATTCAAGAGCATGCATGCATTCTACATTCAATATCAATTCTCATCAATAACGACTGCACCTCAATGTGATATATAAAACAGATAGCACCTGAGAGACAGGTGATTGTGATGAAGTGGGGGTGCAACGACACGGCCCCTTTCGTCAAATAGGTCACACCCATCAGTCATTTAATTGGCATACCTGGCCGCAGCGCTTCAGTTGACACGGTTGCGTGGATGATTACTTTGTATCAGCGCTTGTATACAAAGTAACCACAATATCGGCGAGCACCGCTCTCTTTGCGCCAGAGTAAAAAAGCGCCCCCACAAGCTGGCATGCACCTTCGTGAACAGGCGTAGCCCTACTCATCGTATCCCCCGCCAGCTACATTGTGTAATGTAATGCAATGCCGATAGAATCATGTTTTTACTTTCAACTTCCGCAAACTTTGTATGCGATTGTCTTTACATGCTCAAGTAGGTGAATATATTTACAAGCTTGTTCGGCGCTCCTGGCCAAGTTGCCATTGCCTGGTTTTGATGTGAGTTCGTTCACGCATAGACTTGAATGGGCCTGTCAGCCGCTCAAAGCGGTGTAGCCCTGTGCAGCTTGCCGCCGCCTCTGATTTCGCCTTCGTATCAGGCGGACAGGACACCACATCTCTGATCGACATTTTGTAATGGAAGTGTGCTCCCATTCGATCTTGTCTTCGACCAAGGAATGCAACTTTTAGATCGTGCTGCCCGCACTTGAACCGATGCATTGTGGATGCCATGCACGTCTTGAGCCCGAAACTTCGCAAATACTGGGTCCCATAAGCAGAAACCTACCAGCCATCCCCCAAAGTCTTTCTGAAAGCGACTGCTCGGAATCGAGGTCCGGTAACCCCGAGGAAAGCCTCTCTATACCACCTCCTATTTTGCTAATAAATATGGAGAATCTATTGCATCTGCTCCCACCATGCTTCCAGGGCACAGATCTGAGGTCTCCGGGGGCCCAGACAATCAGTTTCTGGACAGGCGCCTGGACCCACAAACCATCCAGAATGGCCGGGCCTACCGCCTTGACCCGGGGACCCCCTAGCGTTTCTGGCGTCCTAGTATGATATCGGGGAAAGAAGCTCAATCGCTGCCGGAATTCCGGGGCTTCCAGCGAGGGCATAGAGTTCCGGGTCAGCTAGACTCAAAAATGCCCCCCTTGAACACGTGTTTTGTACGGCTGTAGGGATTCATCAGCATCACCCATTGCGAGACTGCTCCAGAGCCGAGTCGGTCCCCTGCTCTGATTTGTTCGGTGCAACGTTTGACCCTATGTCTGACTGCTTCATCAAGCGACCACAGCTTCGGTGCCTTGTCCTTTTTAACGGAAGGAGTTGGCTCCAGTTGCAATCAAGGCAACGAAGGGAGAGTAACCTGCAGCATCATTCGTCGAGGACATGAAAGGTCCAATAGATGCAATGCCCAAGGAGACCTCTTGGATGGATCCGCCAGCACCTAGCAGTCAGGGCTAAACTGAAGAGTTTACACGGAGGGTTCCACCGTCGAACCAAGTTACATTGCAAAATGAGGGTGGGTCCCCCTGTAGAATATCGCATTGAGAGGCCAGAGCTGTCAGCTTACGGGTTAATTCGCCCTCGTCCGCTTCTCCAATCATGATCGTTTCGAATGGCAGATAGCCATCCAAGGTTGCTCGCACGGTGAGCTGGACAGCATATACGCTTCCATCAAAAAGGCAGACGAACAGGATGGAGCCATGACCGAGCTCGTCCTGCTCTGTGGCGACTTTCAGGTGAGTTCGGAGCTGGCGAATTAAAAGAGATTCTTATCCACACTGAAAGTTGTCCCACCCTTCCCCTTCCTGACTCCCAGGCGATCCGAAATCCAGCCGATCTGCACTGTCTAGCGGTGCCGGAAAAATACAAACGAATGGGCGATTTCCATCGGTATTACTCTGGGCAGAATACAGCACCGTATCTGACCATTGTCATCGGTGGTAATCACGAAGCAAGCAATTATTTCTGGGAGCTGTGAGCAGTCCTTTGAACTACTTTTAATTTGAGGAGCATGCTCACATATCACATTTCTCCACAGCTTCATGGGCGGCTGGCTAGCCCCGAATATCTACTACCTCGGCGCAGCAGGCTGTGTCTCGTTCAAGGGCCTCGTCATCGCTGGCATCAGCGGAATATACAAGAGTGGGGACTACCATCGTGGTCGCTTTGAGCGCATGCCGTACAGCCCGTCCGATGTCAGGAGCATCTATCACACACGTAAATTTGACGTACAGCGATTGGCTTTGGTTTGTCCCGGCTCCGAAGTAGCGTGGGCTTTTTTAAACGCATGTCACACTAACGCAATACAACTCCACCATCCTGCCTTCTGTGGTACCAGTTGCCGGCACTTTCAATCAACCCGGACATTTTTCTCTCGCATGACTGGCCGAATACGATTGAAGCCCATGGTGACGTTGGCGCGCTGATTCGACGCAAGCCATACTTCAAGGACGAGATTCACTCTCGCACGCTCGGTAGCCCGCCATTGATGCAGCTTCTGAGAAACATCAGGCCGCGCTATTGGTTCTCGGCGCATTTGCATGTCAAATTCGCGGCAACATACACGCACACTGAGGACGGCAAGCTAGGAAACAAGCAGGAAGGAGGGCAGGAACAAGGAAATCATAGCACGGAAGCATCATTATGGGCTGGCGCAAAAAGTCAGTTGCTCGCTAGGTCAGCGGCCGCCATAGAGTTGACACATGGTCCACGAGAGACGGCAGCAGAAACGACCTCGGAGGAACCTCCTACCACGCGCTTCCTTGCTTTAGGAAAGTGCGTCCCTAATCAGGAATTTTTGCAAGTGCGTCATTTCCATTCGTGCGCAGCTCTGTGGGGCAAACCCGCTAAATGATTATCCTCTCCCTCAATCAGATCCTCAATATCGAACCTCAGAGTCACACATTACCTGATGTAGCAAGTTCAGGCGGCCTTGAATTCGTGCCAGGGTGGCTTGCCATTCTGAACGCCACACAAGCCCAACTGAGCTTCGAGCACTCACAACGCGACATCGTCGTGCCACCCACGGACGCCCTGCAGGCTCAATTGCCCAAGCTAGCAACGGCCCCCGTAGCGTCAGAGGGAAGCGCAGGCGGAGCGAATGGAAATGGCAAGATCAAGTCAATCAGTGACGTCCAACAATTCGTTCCTACCGCAAATACTCTGCTCGGCTCATTGCAGCAGCCATCTGATGGGCCGCCACCGTGGTACACGAATCCACAGACTATTGCGCTTTGCAATCATCTCGGAATCGAGAACAATATTAACGCGCCGCCTCGATTCCCGCCTGCTCCTACGCCTTCCATGCCTCGGACGCTGCCGCCTGCATTGATGCCAGCAGGAGCGACGGCAACAGCATCCGCCCCGATTGAGCAGTCAGCACAGGGAGCGCCCAGAGCGGAAGGGGCGAATGCACCAACGCCCGCAGATGCTGCAGACGAGATCAAGCGCATTAAAGACGCAGCAGCCGCTCGTAAGCGCAAGAGGGCCGAGATGGCGGCGGTGGCGACGGATGGAGCTAAAGGTTCAGCCGGTTAAGATAGTCTGGATGTGGTTTTCTGGACGTGTGCACTTAGTGAGCATTTTACAGGGGGTTCGAGTAGTCCAACTGATACATTGCAAATGACAACCTTGACTATCTTAAAACAGCAATGTGTATGTAGTTGGCAAGACCCAAATGTGATGCTGTTGAATACGATGCCAACGTGTCCGATGATGCGGTGATGCTTCCAAACGTCTGCACTCCGCGTTGGTGAAAATATGCATACAGGGGCAACTTTGGTACACCACTAAGTGGTCGTAGGTGTAGGGATGGAAGTGGTTTTGCGCTTGGACATTGCGCTGCCAGAACAAGGCCACGACCCTGGAATGCCTGAAACAGAGTACTGATCTAGCTGATAGCTGCAGCCTTTCACTTTGACGTACATTGGTGCATTGTCGCTTTTCTGGGCCCAATTCGAGATGGTCGGATTTGGTTTCCGCGATTGCGACTCCGTCCATGCGGGCGGTGGTGCTTTAGAGATTGATCCAGTGCGAGTGTACGATGGCATGTTGGTAACGGCCACCCCTGCGCCAGAGATGGAAGAAGGTGGCCAAGGATATGCGCTTGGATTTGCGGTGTACGGAGCTGCCGTATCGCCTGTCTTCCATCCTTCAAAAGTGCTTGACCAGCTCGTGGTAGCTGCGATGCTTGCAGAATATGAACTTGCAGCCGAAGAGCATGCATTGCTGCCGGCATGGTACGGGTCGGTTGGTAGCCAGCCTTGCTGAAGGCCAAGCTGATAAGACCATGTGGGCGCCTCGACTCGGCCAGATTGGGAAGAGTTGCCGATCTTCCAACTCCAGAAGAAAGTGTTCTTTAATGAATCCATTGAGACTTCCGCGAATTGTCGAATGCTTGACTAAAGAGAAATTTGAGCAGTATGCAGTCAATATCAAAAATCCATTTTATCCTGGCGAGATCATACCACTGACCTTCATAGTTTCATCCCACTTTGTCCAATCTGTCCACTTGGTACAGTTACCGTAGACATTACCATTACCCTGATAGGTATTTTCATATCGCGTGCCAAGCCCGACTCCATTGAGATATCTGCACCGTGTGGAGACCGCGTCAATGTTCGTTCAATTGAGAGATAATTCGTGAAAAACACTCACAATCCACAGTCATTGACAGCGGGTGACCATTCCCCCGCGAAAGATAGGCCGTTGTTCGCCAGAGCTCGGTCTATCTGAGGCCCATACGCGTTGCAAAAGCCCGGGACAATTTTGGAGAAGTCATCAGTATCTGTAAGATCGAAAGCCACAGGTGAGCGTCAGACTTGAAGCCAATGTATGTTGAGGAAGGGATCTCACATTTTGGTCCGAAAGCGATGTATGGATGCACGTCCCAGCCGATTCGGTCGGCCCTAATCCAGTAAGGCAGAGAAAGGGGATGAGTACTGCAACAAGGTCTAAGCAGACGCGTTCACTTACCCAGGCATGTAATTTTCCCACTGTCGAAGACCTAGGAAACCGTCGTGCATGCCAATGAACGGTCCATGACCTTTTCCTAGGCCAGTGATGTTATTGCGGATTTCTGAATATAGCTCGGCATACCAAGCAGACAGCGCAGGTACTCCAATGGCTGTTGGAAGATACGGCTCATTGATTACGGTGAACATGGGAACGACGGGCGCGATTTCGGGCTGTGAGATGAACTCAGTGATGATGCGAATGTAATTGAGGGCACGTTGGGCATTGACAAGGCCTGCAGGACCTTGTAGGAAATTAATGCCGACAGTACTAGGCGGCGTGGGTCCAAGCTTGCCCCCATGATTGAAAGAGTTGGCGCTGCCGGGTACAGCATGCAAATCCAGGTTGATGCGAAGGCCGTATTTGCGCGCCCATTGGATGGCCTTGAGGAAGTACTGCCAGCTGACACCCTCCAAAAACGGCTCGTCGTCAATCGTCTCGAGCGCCCAGAAGCCGATGGGCAAACGGACCCAGTTCAAGCCTGCGCAGGCGATATCCGCGAAATCGCGCTCGGTAATGAAGGTATCGTAATGCTGGGTCAGCTTTTGCTTCAGTCTGGCTAGGCCGCCTTCTTTCAGCCACTGTTGAGACAGAGTGAACTCATCTACCGCGGCATTCGGGCCATTTGCGTATGGTTCATAGAGTGCAGGAACGATAAATGGCTCCGTAACGAGCCACCCGCCGACATTGACGCCGATGATGCGACCAGAACTACCATTTTCCGAGCTACCTGATGCCCTGCTTCCCTGTCTCCGCCGGTTGCCTTGCTTGCCGCCAAAGTGAAATTCTTCTGACAGCGGCGGAGTGTACCATTGTGCTTGAGCTGAATTGTTCAGCAGACCGCTGTTCCACGTCCCGCCGAAAGGATTGATGTACGTGTATTTTGTCCCATCTTCGAGTATGATCACGCTGCCATTTCCCCCAGTCGTTGCGACCACATTTCCATCCTTGTCGACGATACCTCCCGGCTCGGAAGAAGTATCTGGTTTGTTAAGAAAGTGCTCAGTTACGGGCACGACGACTGCCACGCAGACGGCAGCAACGATCAATGCGACGATACCAACGATGACCGCCTTCTTTCGTTGGCTGTAGTGCACACGGTGATCTTCTTGGCGCCTATGCGCGTCCCCAAGTCCTGCATAACGCGCCACGCCAGGTGCACGGTCTGCTTCTGCATAATAGGACGATGATAAGGGGAGTTGCTTGTTGTTAAGTGGCGATGACTGCAAAACGGTATCGCGCCCAACGTGAATGTAGGAATCGCGTATAGATGGGTCCATCGTTAGCGATGACACCAGACCATATACACTACCGCTTTCTCGCGAGCTTGGGCGCCCAATGCTGCTTCCTCCGATCGACGTGTTGGACGGCATCGGGTCATGTCCATAGCCCCATGACCCTCTCCCGGGACCGCAGCCCATGCCAGCATCTGAGCCGTACTCGCCGGCAAGCGGCATCATCCCGGTCGGCGTAACTGGCCTTTTAGTTCGATACATCCCAAGAGCGCTAGTATGACATGTAGCATTTAAGGAGGGCGAGGAAACTCCGGTGAGCAGGACTGGATACGACCCTGTAGCAGGGAGATGTACCGTGTCTTCGACCTCGGGCGCTGTGGTCGGTACGGGTGCATATAGTCCTTGTTGCAGCGGCTGTTCTTGCCTCAATGGTGAAGAAGACAAGAGTTGGGGACTTCCTAGAGGTCCTTCGCTTGCTCCGTTACCCGAGCCAACGATAGCGAGCGGATGTCTCTCGCCAACGTCTACCGTCGGCGGAAGCGATTGCCGCGAATATGATGTCGGTGGGGAGCAGTAAACGTCCGCCGACGACACAGAGTGTTGTATATGTGTCGTGCTCGAGTCATCGCGTTGGGAAGCGCCAGCTGAGTAGTACCTTTTGCGGTCCGGCGACGGTCTCGGCAGGTTCGATTGCTCGTTTACAGGCAAAGCCCGAATGTCATCCTCATCGAAGCCCGCGAATATATCAGAATATCGGTAGGACAGTTGATTGACGTCTGCCGTGGAGGATGACTGGAGTGGCTGCAGCCGTGGTGAATGGGCAGCAGCACCATGACCGCTGCTATATGGAGCATCGCCCGGCGGTGACGTCGAGGACATGACGACCACTCAATGCTGCAAGGACCGCGGTGTCTTACGTCTAACAGTCACCAGCGGCCTCTACGTCATCGGCGAGCGCTGCGCTGAATTTACACCTCATGCAAACCTCTGCAGGGCCATCGAGATCCCAGCCCGGTGTGAGGAGCAAGGCAAACGGGGGCCAAGGCTCCTTTGGGTGTTTCCAAGCAGCGAGCTGATGACGCAAGGCAGCATATCTCATATACAATTGTGAAGCTGGTGGCATTTGACAAAGTTCCCGGTGATTTGCCCCTAAAATGCTGGTTGGCGAATCCTTCCTCCCCTACCGATATTCTGCCTTCTTTCCCAGATGTTCCAGGGATTCCTTGCACTCTAATTTCGGGCAGATGTAACCGAATGCGGATGAGATTTGCATGCACGCTTGCAACTTACCATATCGCCATTGCCCGCTCCTCGAGTGCGAGATAACAGGCGTGATCTGCTTGCTGGATTGCAAGCTTCACAGCCTTCAAACATTCTATGCTTTACGTTCTTGACGAAAAGCCCAAGCTCTTCAAGAATGCGCGCGAGTAGCTTGTCACCGCCATCCCACTGTTAGCGCCACGGTTCATGCTCTCAATGCGCATGTATTGAGGTCAGCTACTCACCTGTCACATTGCAGGTATGTCTCCTCGAAGCCGCTCGCGCCGCCCTGTGATGTTGGAAGGGTGAAACGAGCGCGTAAATGAAGGCTCTCACAGTAAGCCAGAGGCGGAAGGAGAGATATGCCTACATAGTAAGGGTCGTCGATATCTCGCCCATCGTCTCTGCCGAGTTATGAAAGGCAGGAGGGGTCAAGATGTCATTCGGCTCGATCAGGGGTATGCTTTGATTCCCCATCCTTACACGTCACCAAAGAGCATAATCCTGAGGAACAGAGCGAAATATATCAGTCAGGGTTGAGATGGGGATGTGGCCAACCTGGGATTCGCTCCCTCAAGAGCTCACTTTGCCTTGCTATTGCGTGGCTTGCGCGCCTTGAGATGGTTGACATGTCCCGAACTGGAACAAATGAGAGTTGCCGTTGAATGTAACTTCTGTCAGAACGTATTCTTTCGGTACGCGAAGCATTGCACCTCCTGAGTAGTAGACGTACTCCATGCCAAAGATGTAATCGAATTCTTCAAAGTCACGTTCTTTCAAGCGTCTCGCTCGAGAGACGCAGGGTATCCCCTTTCGATTACATACTGCCAGGGTCCTGCTTGCGGGACCCAGCAGTTGAAGATAAATGATCAATGGTCAAATCCCAGCTTTACAACACATGTCATGCAAATCCACCCACCGCTCGTCGGCCTCTTCGCCCACATGATACCCGATGGTCCCACAGCTATCTATCTTTCCGAAACTTGATTCGAGTCCGTTACGCTTAACCAAATCTGCGAAGACCGCCTCAGCCATGGGGGACCGGCAGATGTTGCCCGTGCAGGCAAAGAGCACGGAGACCGGCGCCATAATGGGTAAGGTGCGCGGAGAAGCTAAAAGGACACTCTAAGGCGGGTCGTATGTCGTGTAGATCGGGTGCCCAGATCTAGAGCAGCGCTGGATCGGCCGTGCAGTCTTGCGGATGCGTCCGGCAGAAAATGCGATCAGCGATGGGCGTTCGTGCGCGAGCCGTGCGCATGAACGTCGAGAATTACAGCGAAACGCTTCACACCTGCCAGTGTTGCTTACGTAATTGTTGGTCGAGAGAACGCCGCGAACGCCGGGAGTTTAGCTGTTTAGGGCGTGCAATGCAAGTTCCAGTGTGGTTGCCCATCGTTTCGAATGCCGCCATTCCCATATACCATGTCAGTAATTGTCGACACGTCCAAGAATGCAGACACTGGAGCTGTTGATCGGATTGCGGTATAACTCACACGGTACGACTTCCAAGGAGATCGAATCCAGGTGCCAGGCGGTGTGGTCGAACGATTTTCGGACATCTCTCCACGCATCGGAGCTTCCTCTACCAAGAGTTGCTATCACGTTTGATTGAACGCTCGATCCGCGCCTTCGAACGAATCCAGCACCAAGTACCGGTCAGGTTGATTATTCAATACAGCTTCCACAAGCTTAAAAGATATTTGCCTCAAGATGGCGCCCAAGCGCAATTCCGTCTCTCGAAATATTTCTGGCGCCAGCAATGTTGACGGTTGCGGTAATGGAGCAGGCGCGAGGGCGGTTCTGCCTCAAGACGACCCGACTTATGGGCTTGTGAGCAGGCTTTGTGGCCTAGTATTCTGTGTCACGCTGTTGAGGAACGCTTGGCTGAACCTGTCTGCCGAACGAATACGACTTCCTGCACTATCAACAACGCTCCAACGGCTGTGCAAAGACCAAGAGACTCTATGAGACGCTGCTTCGAGATGTGCTGCATGACTCAATCATGAGCTGGAAAGTCCAAGCGAAGCGTGACGGCCTGGAACGGTCCAAGGAAGCCGATTTCTGCCACATTTGTGGGCAAAAGTGAGTGTTCTTGTACTTGATTGCATTCACACAATCGAATCCAAGTGGTTGCACGAAATGCTTACATCACATTCAATTTGTGGCTTGCACTGATTCTTGGTCGCTTTGTCAGCTGTGCACCGCACTCAGGCTCAATCTTGGGCAATGCCAGCGGTCGTGGGTCTGCGTCCCTTCCAGGGTCGGCGTCCGGCACCCCTGTGCCTGTGGACTTGGGCACCGCGACCGGCACGCCAAGCAGGGTAGGAACACCTGGACCTACGAGCAACTCAGCTGGGAACCCTCTCAAGCCGGACATATACGCCCAAAATCCGCTCTTCGAATGCATCGTTTGCTCGCGACAGGTGTCATCAAATCGCTATGCTGTGCACCTTGCCAAATGCTTGGGTATCGGCGGCAAGGAAAAGTCCGTGCGCAAAGCTGGCAGTGGCCTGGCAAGTTCCACGGCCAGCGATGCAGGAGGTGTGCAAAATTCACTCCTGAATAATCCCAGGGTGATCGGTGTGCTGGAGCAACGGAAGCGGACCAAGGCTCCTGATGCAAAACTTCGGGCCGCAAGAGGGGAGAACATGGAAAAGGGAAAGGGAAAAAATAGTGAGCAAGCAAATACGCCGGTCTCAGACTTCCAGACAGGCTGCTGAGAACTCTTCCATCCTTTAGAAGTTCTCAATGCCAACGGAAAGCGAGCGCTCTCGCCTGGAGTTGCTATGGGTGCGCATTGGAAGAAGATGAAAACACATACGCGTGAGTTTCTTGAACTATGTTAAAAGTACTTCTGAATGCTCATCATCATTCCTGTGATTTTCAGCACCTCCGGGCAGTACAACCCCGCGCGAGGACACCGGCATGGTCAGAGTGAGCGTTAATACATTCCCATGTGCGATTGCCATTGAGTGGCCTGATGCTGATCAACACGACCGTGCAGAGCCAATCTGTTCAAGTCGTCTCGATGTCGCACTCCTCTACTGCACCGATGTTCGCTTCACCATTGAACCCCAACAAGCGCGCTAATATCACAGCTGATGACACGACAGGTGTGAGCGAGCGCGAAGTATCGCCGTCCATATCCGTCAGCACCACCGCAGGAGATATGTACGACGCATCATCATCGGCTGCGTGGAACCACAGTGGTAAAACAGGGACTGCAAAGGAAAGAGGCAATGCTGTTGGGACTGCAGCCAGAAACCGAGTGTCTGTTGCTTCAGGGGCCGCAGGTGGTCCCAAGAATTTCGTCCACAAGCCTGGAAATGCCGTCGCTTCGGGCTCAAGGGCGGCATCGGCCATGTCGGACGACTCGCCTTTAAAAAATAAGAAGTCGAAAGCGATGGGAGATGCGGAGAGTGATAGTGAAAGTGTGAGTCCACGTCATCTCCTTCGTCAGCAGTGCTGATGGCGAGACAGGAAAAAGCTAAGCATTGCACTCCGTTCATCCCAAAACAGTATCATGAAACAGACTCAGATGTGCTGAGTGGTGGAGATGTGGAAGAAGAGAGTGAGATGAGCGAGGAGAGCAGCCTTGATGATTGAGCAAAGCTTCAGCCATCGTGGATGGCGCGGTAACCACAGACATGAAATGTATACTCCTACGCAATTCGCCGCGCACCAGTGAGCCGTCCCGACGACGGCTCACCGAGGTTTCTCATTCAATCGCATTCGAATTTACGAGCACAAACGGCATCTTTCAATAACCTGCAACATAATCGATGCATCGGGCATAGCATTGTAGAATGGATGTACAGGGTATGCACCGTGAGCGGTATTGTTGAGCTTGGAGAATCAGAACTGTGTCGTGCACTGACAAGGTCGGAATGGGCAATCTACACCAAAAAGCTCTGCCGACTAGCGTATGAGATTCTGGTGTTACGTGTATGCTTGCTTCTAGCTGCGGCAGTGTCCCGGTGCATCATAACCAAGGTGCTGTCAATGCTCCCATCGTTCCGGCTGCGAATTTTGATAGGTTTGATGGCCTACGGAGAGACGGCACCAAAGAGGGGGATGTGTGACGTTTTGCCTGCCGGAAGCTGATCCGAGCTTCCGAGTGCGGAACCTTTGCTATCACTGTGCTGCTCAACGCTCCACAGGCTTTCACGCCCCACTATCCCACAATCCCATTAGGCGTACCGTCTGGTTGTGTGGTTATTTCATGTATCAGCGCTGAGGCTTGGACACATGCTGTGGAAGTCTGAGCTGTTTTGCAACTTTGTCGCTCGGGCTAGCGCTCCCAAGCGAACGGAGCCAACTTTCACGCAAGCCCGCACGGAGGGTGTACTGGTGATAACGAACCACTGACAACATGGCCGCATCACGACTCGATCACGGCACTCGAGACCTCGTTGGCTACGCCGACTTGCCCCCCCATCCGCACTGGCCCGGCAACGCTCGGATTGCGGTATCATTTGTCCTCAACTACGAGGAAGGCGGCGAGCACTCGCTACTCAACGGCGATGCTCACTCTGAAGCATTTTTGACCGAGGGCGGAGCCACAGCTGGTGGGCGACCAGCCCGCAACATCGGCACTGAATCAGGATACGAATATGGCTCGCACAGGGGATTTTGGCGCATCCTCGAACTTTTCAAGGAGGTAGGCTTCGTATTCACCTCGTGGGCAATCGGGAAAGCCGTCGAATTAAATCCGAAAGTCGTGCCCGCGATGCAAGAGGCCGGGTGTGAAGTCGCCAGCCACTCGTACCGTTGGATCGACTACTGTGACGTACCGGAAAGTACTGAGAAGGAACATATCGAAGGAGCAATATCTGCAATCACCAAAGCAAGCATGGATGGAAAGACTCCGCCAGTGGGGTGGTACACAGGGAGGCAGAGTCTACAGACTCGACGGTTGGTCTACGATGCATACAGAGAGAAGGGTCTCCTGGACAAACTTTATGATAGTGACGCATGTAAGTGCTTATGGCAACTACTAACAAGAGCTCAACTGACACTCTTAAAATGTGCAGATGATGAGGATCTGCCGTACTGGGTTCCAAGCCCATCGCCGAGCGGTTCCAAGCCCTCTCCACCATTGCTGGTCATCCCATACACGCTTGACAACAACGACATGAAGTTTGCGCAAGCGCCAGGCTTCAGCACCTCCTCTTCCTTTTTCGAGTACCTCAAAGATGCGTTTGATACATTGTATCATGAAGGAACACCCATTGAGCAAGGAGGTAAAGGGAAGCCGAAGATGATGTCCATCGGCCTGCATTGCCGGGTTGTAGGCCGGCCTGGCAGGTTTGTAGGCTTGAAGCGCTTCATTGAGTACATCAAGAACAAGGAAGATGTCTGGGTGGCAACGAGGGGCCAGATTGCAGAGCACTGGAGGAAGACCAACCCACCGCCCAAGCATATGCTGTAATGCGGGAGCATGATCTGCTTCCCAGGCATGTACTACATCGCCAGATCAGGGCAGGAAAATTAATCTGCAAGGTGCAAATGTGCTTTTTACCTTGATCCTTTTGATTGCGAAGGAAAATGAAATAAAGAGAGTTCAACAAAAAGGGAAATCGCTTTATTATGAATCATTCCATCCTTTTCTAAAACTCTTTGCTGTGATCAATTGTTAATCTAAGCCCCCTTGGCTTCTTCCAGCCGCCAGGAGGCTGTTCAATACATTCGGCGGCCCAGCGTTGCGATGAGTTGTTGGCGGCGCACTCACGCTGTGACGGTGACAGAGCTGAGGCCGATACACCCATGATGCTGCTTGTATCTTCTCCTGCGGGCTTTGTCTGATGACAAGTCAAAGCGCAACAGGTTGGAAGCGTCAAAGTGAAACCGCACAGTTGGCACACCGCTTATGCTTGGCATATGCCCGAATGAGGCCAGATTCGCTCTTGGAGATGCTTACAAAAGCGCATCAGAGTGCGCATGTATGCGCTATATGATATCACGAGTCAGAAAGGGCCAGAAGGATCTCGTGGTTGCAATGAGGATATGAATAAACAGCTTAAGATCACGAGAAGCTCCCGTGAACTTCCCTCAGCGACCTAATGCTCTTATGACTATACCTTGGCATCTGCCTGCGAAGCGGGAGTCCAGGCCACGTGCACGCTCGATGGCGTTCGCGTGTCTTTTACGTCATTGTTTCTCACCCGACACATCTTGGCACTTATCTGACATCCAGGTGCCAATGGAACCTTCTCTCTGTCGCTGGAGGCAATCCAATCACCTGTGCTGGGATTTGCAACCTGAGGTCCCATCGCTCCGATCTCAATATTTTCCCACGCAGGTGGTCGGGTCCCTATGATGTACCTCTTTTCTCAAGCTCTTCCCGCACGCGTGCAATTGAATGGGCGCAGTTGACATATGGCTTGCCTTTCAATGCCGCCCAACGGGGTGCCAGCATGCCAAATAAAAGGAGCGGAGGGGGAGGCGTGTGGAGAGGTAAACAGGGAGGATGAGTATGTGCGGATGATGATACGTCACTCAAAAGAAGTAGCTTATTAGGGTTGTTTCCTTGAAGTCTTCAAATTGGAACTTGGAACAGGGCACTGGAGAAGTTGTCCTCTGACCACTTCCCCCCAGCAAGCCAGCCACTGAGGAAGCCTGCCTGGCATTGGAAACAAGTAACGCTGTGGAGCGATGGACACGAGCCCGTCACCTCGATGCCTTTCGCTCAACTTGGATTCAATTTAGTTATCGATCAGTTTGCAGTCATCACGCACTGGCACACCGTTCGCTAGCTGCAGTAGCCATATTTCATCACTGTGCCTTCTCCAAGGTATCTATGTGCCGTAAAGAGGTGACGCAAACAGCTTCATTGAATCCGACCGACTTTCGCAGGCTGCTTTGCCTCGCCCCTGAAAGGTTATTTGGTTGAACAACAGTTGCGAATACAAATCGACACAGCCAAACACAATGTGAGTCGATGGCGAACGGCCCTTGGCGCATCCAGCAAGCTAACTGCTCTCTCTTATTCTTTCAAATCCGCATAGGAAGCTTTGTGAGATCCAATGCTGACTTCAGGACTTGCACCGCGGAGATCTGACATCAAGCATCATCACGCTACCTCACAGATGGTCTCCTCATTTTTGCCAACCCGCCCGGCGCACCTGCGGTCCCACTTGTCAGCGCTTGGGACCTTGGATCGTTCAGTTGGATGCAGCGTGGGACAGTGCAGGACATTATGGGCTTCATGAGCAAGGTGTGTTTAAAGGGTTAAACTGTGACGAGACGCAACTCGCAAGCGAAACAACTGAGCCCACCCCTGATTGCCCATTGCTTATGAACTTACGCCCATCTTCGTCTACGCCCAGACTGTCGCCGAGCGAACAGCTCCCACACAGCGGCAAAGCGTGCAGGAGAACAGCTACGTAGCCCACGTGCATTCTCGGCCAGCATCAGATGGAATCTGTGGCGTGCTCGTATCGGACGCAGAATACCCTACGCGCGTTGCTTTCTCTCTGCTCAACAACATGCTTGACGAATTCATCATTAAGGTGCCCAAGATGCGATATGAGAGCCACGTCAACCGTATCACTACGGGAAGCGCCCCACAGCCATCCAAGGGCGAGGGAGTGCTCACCACTACTTCCGACTTCCCACAAGCGCAGGAGTACCTCGCGAGGTATCAGGACCCTAGACAGGCGGATACCATCATGAAGGTTCAACAAGAGCTCGATGAAACAAAGATTGTCCTTGTAAGCCGAATTGAGCGGATTTTCGATGTTGGAGAAGCGTGTTGACGGCTCTACCATGGTCCTCGTGCAGCACCAAACGATCGAATCAGTTCTGCAGCGTGGTGAGGATCTTGACAAGCTCGTCGAGAAGAGTGGATCCCTCAATGCACAAAGCAAAATGTTTTACAAAACAGCCAAGAAACAAAGTGCGCATAGGAGATATTACTTAGGCCATTCGGACGTTGCGCTGACTCTTGTCTTTCCCACTCAGACTCTTGCTGCGTTGTGATGTGATGTTCTTTCTTCTTGTACACTACACCCATTTGCTGCTACGCCTGATAGACTGGACATTGCTTCGCTCGCCCCTGCGTGGTGGCCTTGCAATTGTGAAGTTCGGATCACCGCTGGACTTCGTTCCCATTGCGAACGATCCAGACGCGCTTCCGCACAACGGAACTACTGGAAGGAATGTCGATGAATAGGCGCTTAAACTGGAAGACCCCATTCTCGTCCTGGTTGGGGTGCAAGATGAATTAATCAGCAAACTGCTTGCTACAAAGGTGGATGATTGACTGACCTTGTGCAACTCGCCATGAACCTCACCGGAACTCCAAGTTCCAGGTTCATGCTTTGCCGAAGCTGCGGTGCGCACAGCGTCCCCTTGCCCCCTTGTCAACCCTACAAAGCTGCCAAGGAAGCCAGACAGAGCCCTACCTGTGCTTGCAACGATTCCGCCACTCGGCTTGTCGTTGGAGCTGAGTTTTGCATTCGCATAATTCAACGTGCCCTGCCCTTCCTTGTCCACGGTGCCGCTGAGAAGTGCCCAGCCTCCTCTCCTTGCAAGCTGTTCATCAGGCGTGTGACCGGCAGCGCCAGATTCGTTCCAGCGCTCTGCAAGATCTTCCCACAAGATCTCGGCCCTCTCACGGCACCAAAGAGTCCCGTCGATGACGCCTTGCCGTGTTTGCTGCCACAGCGACAGATCCTTGTCCTTATCCCGCGCACCAACAAAAAAACGGACAAGCATGAGATCATCTCCGGTGCGCGAGTCTCGCATGACTGCTGCTGACACGGTCCGGTTTCGGTGCCTGCGCGAAGGCAAAGGTGAAGTGATGGAATCAGAAGGTGCAAATGTTGCATAGCTCGTGTGAAATGTGAACGGAGGCAGCAGATGTTGTTTGACCTGCGCGTGAGGAGCGGGCATTTGTCAGCCCAGATGACAAATGGGATTGATGTTTCGTCGCCAATGAGTTTACCTCGGGATTGTTTTCGACTAGCTTGCATGCATCTCCGTAGACGACAGTAGGGCTGTTGCGAGCAAGCAGCTCCGTAGCCAGCGCGTAAGCGAGAACCAGGGTCAGAGCGACTCCCCCAGTGACGAAAACGAGTCTTCCTGAAAAGATTGTTGTTCGTGCGACTGTTAAGGCGGTGAAGTAAAGGTTATCAGTCCAAGTCGGTAAGCCTCTTCTGTCATACAGCTAGCGTCTGATTGAGGCCACCGAACCTTTTTGGCCGCCACTTAGGTCCTTCCATTCTTTCCCATCTCCGGTCCAAGTGTCCAGTCTGCTAGGTCTTCCGGGCATTGTACTTGCAGTGTCGCCCATCATTCCGAGGGAGATCGGACCGACACCAGACCGACTGCCTCTGAGTGCGGCTTCCGCTGCATCCCGAAGGTCATCTGCCTGCGTTCGTCCCGGTCTACCGGTAACGGAGCGAGGGCCAGCGTGTGACTCTGAATTGGAGTCTTCTCTGGTCGCTGCGCGGAGATCTGCCAGGATTTTTCGCTGTTCAGAAGCCAGCTTTGCTGATGCTTCTTGCTGGCTCTTTTGAGCGTCCTTCGTGCTGGATGACGATGTGGTGGAAGCGAGTCGGTGAGGTGGAGAGCTCACAAATTGTGCATCTGGGCGCTGAATGCCTCGGCATATCCGATACCAGGCACTTGCAGCTGCCTGCCCACTGCGCAAGGAAACACAGTGGAAAGCCATGCTGGCGCTTAGACGGCTGACACCAGCAATTAGCGCTATATGTCGAGAGACGGTCGACCGAGCAATGGGAGCTGCGTTCCAACTGGCGGCAACGATTCTTTGATGATTGAGGTGATCTCCCATTTGGTGGTTTGATGCCCAATCAACTGGTCGATCATGTGGCAGGGGTCGGTTTCGGTGCAACCCATTTGGTGCCCAGCAAGCAGTAACTTTTTGACTTGTTGGACACTCTGTCGTTACGAATAGATGTACGTCACGAGCCATATCCACAAACTTATTGCTCAACATAAAGCGAAATTACCAGCGCATTTTCGCTATCAGTTCAGGCGCCTCTCTCTGGCGATAGCTGGACTTGTATTCCGTTCCTTCAGCTCGCTCGAGCACCGCAGATATACTTGCTCCGTCGGGCAAATGGTCCTGCAGAACAAATACAAAGCACGGGCGTCTGCCAAGTATCAGTCTTCACGGGGCAACAGAGGGTGGCGCGGTGGAGCTCGTGGCCGTGGAAACGGTGTGCATAGAGGTACAGACATCTGGGATGCTGTTCCGGCTGCTGTTCCGGATGAAGAGGGAGACGTGCTGAATGACGATGAAGATGTGCACGGCGAAAGTGATGCAATTGACGAAGGCGAGAGTCCCTCGGAATTCCGTCCCCTGCAGGCGACAGCGAAAGCGAAGGAAAACTCGGCTGTGGAAGATGTTGACGAGGAAGTGCTAGACCGCCAACGCCAGCGACAGAAATATGGCCGTCGCAAGATCGAATCAAACATATGGAGGTTCCAGCAATGCGTCAAAGACCCACATATGGAAGATTCAGTTTCCGAGCCAGAGGTGGACATTTCAGGCCTTGTAGAGCGGGTGAAGCAACTCGATACAAGTCGTGCACACAAGAACACAGTCTCACTTGGTTTTGCGGAGCAAGAGGAGGCAGAAGACATCGAAGAGGATATTGATCACAGCCTTGCGTACCTCAAAGGCAGAGAACAGCAACGACGGAAAGGCAAGGGTCATGGTGTAGAGGATGATTGGATTGCATCTGCCGCTGGAAAGGGTGGCGTCGATGACCGGCAGATCACCCACGAGGAACGCCAGAGACTAGCCGAGGAAACGGAGGAGATGCTCAAAGAAAAGGAGAAGGCCGAGGCACTGAGAGGTGCGTATCATGACGGGTGCGCGAGCGACGTACTTCTAGGCACTGACTTCCTACTTCGGTTTGCTGCAGCTTTGAAAGAGCGTTTCTTGGGTCGTGCAATTGGTGAGCGCGAGAGTAAAGCCCGTACAGCCATCTTGGATCCGGGAGCGCGCGTCGCCGTGTCAAGCAAGCCTGTCTTCAAGATACCCTCATCCAAGGGGGCGAATGAAGACCGGCAAATATACCGCAACGATCACACGACCAGCAAGGAAAGACCAAAGCCGCAGGTCGAGAGCGATCAAGATTTCCTCGATGCCATGCTCGGCTGAAGCACGTCGCACTCACATGTAGTATAGCATTCACCGTCTCAATTGTAGAACATGTAGCCCCAAGAATGCGATCTTAACGTTCTAAGAAAAAAGGAAGGATTTTGCTCGTACCTAGAGAATAGGGAAGGTCTTGCGCCAGCCCTTACGTTTAGGGATCACTATTTAGGAAATCTTCTTGCATTCAACGATCCACGGCTTGATTGGTATTCCTTCCAGAGACACACATCGCGTCCTGTTCACCAGCTTCCATCCGTAAAAAAGATCAATATTCAGATCCCGGCTTGCATAGTTCGAGAACATGTCCTCAACACTGACATGGCTTGGAATGGAGGTTGTGAACCTGCCGGCGAACAGGATGAAAATTGATCACCCAATCTGTAAAATCCTAGATACGGCTGTAGCAGGCATGTATGAAAAAAAAACCAGCCTCCGTTCTCTGCAATCTGCCACATGTACCCACCTGAAGTGGTAATTTCCAACGCATCACTATTCTAGAGAGAGCATTCGACAGCCGAGATAGCAAACAGAATGTATTAAGAAAGGCTAATCATTACATTCGATACCCTGTTTCTTCATCCTGTGGTAGAACCGCAGATTGTTGGAGAAGATGGTAATCCATTGCCATAGCATGCTTGCTGCAGGGATCGATTGAAAGTACCCGAAGACCTCTGTCGCTATAAGTCTTGAAACACTTGTAGCTTAGCGGGAGGAATGTACAGACAGCACAGAAGGACTACCCAAGGCACACCATAGCGATGCGCGCGTTGTCGCTTGGGCGCGAGCTTGACGGGGAGTCTGAGTCTCTGCCGCAACCACCGAACACACACAAGACGAGATATGAGATGGAGGAGGGCTAAAGATTTTGAGAAGTTCTTTCTGAGGTAGCTCAACCTCTTCCACTTCAAAACTTGCTCGCTAGCGACTCGACGCTCGCAAAGCTAAAAGCCCTACTGACGAGAGTGGACCAAAAGCCGTACCAGCGCTATGGAGACAGTTGAGCCAGAAAGCGAACCTGAGTCAGCAATTTGGGCAATGAGCAGTGTTCAGAGCAGTTTTGGGCTCACTTCAACAGCACCAGGCGTAATATACGCCGTAAATACTCCAAGATGCTACCAGTGTCTAAACCCGATGCGATCGTCGTTCGCGCCAGCACGCAAGTTGATACAGAGACCAAAGCTGACCTGTCAATGATGAGCGTAACCTTGAAGATGGCAAACCCGTATTTTGGATCTCCGTAAGGGCGAATCACTGAGATGAAAGGGCGGTTGTATTTGATTAAAATTGCCCACCCATAGCTGATGCGGGGCGTTGCACTCCCTGAACAGGTTCGAGGCGACAATGGTTAAAGAAAAAATGATCACAAAGGCCGTCGGGCTGATAGTGTCGTTGCAATACTTTTGGAACCGGTCCACTCTCTGCATGCATCTCCTGTACACCGGAAACCACATATCACCTGAACGGGGGATTAGCAGCTGAACACTTGACATGGCGCAATGATAGCACTTCCGTACGCTAGATTTTAGCTGAAGTTGAATCCAAACGTGTCGTTGACGAACATTCTGGCGTGATAGATGCACGATGACGTTACTGGCGCCAGAATATCTTCTTCGTACAGGAAGAACATTATCAATAAAACGATCGTGCCTACCGCACCATAGCCGAGAAAAATAAATAGGTGCCTGCGCGGCCAAGTGCCTTTCCTCTGCCAAGATAAATCCCAGTGCCAAGTGTTGTTTAAAGAGTGGTGGTAGCCGTCAACAGCGGCTACATATGTGGGAATACCGCTCTTGTTCACCTCCAGCAAGAGCAAGCACTGAGGTTTGCGTGAAGAGGGGGAAAGCTCAAAAGCTTAGTCAGCCGTCACGGGGTTTGCGACTTGCGTTTGGTAATATACTTTGGGTACTGCATTGCTATAAGAAAATATGACTCGGTTTGCCGAAGCATGTATCCGGAATGTCACACACCCTGCCTCTCTTCAGCCATGATCTTACAGCTTCCTCCTTGAGCAACTTTGCCTTGATCTCCTCATCTACTCCTAGAATGCATCTATAGCTCTTTTTCTTTCAAGCAAATTCCTCCATCGCGATCTCCGTCGTCCCCAAAAGAGATTTCGTGCCGTGCTTCGCCACTCAGCTCCTCGCCCCTCGATAGCTCTGCAAGCGAGTTTGCGGAATATTTTGTATAGTCCGATGTGAGCTTTCCGGTTTCCAGTTCGATGCTGTCCGATAGCATGTCTGAGGTGGGTTCAACTGTAGCACCGAGTCGCGCCGTCGCCGTGTCTTTTCCTTTCGAGGTAAGGTGGAAGCGAGATTACAATGATGAGCCACTTTTTGACACGTCAAAAGTGCTTATCCAGGAACGGGGCTAGCCAGCCCGGGCACCTGAACACTGAAACAGATAGAAACAAAGCTGAACATTCACGGTGGAACAAGATGACGATCCTGAGTTTAATGTAATCGTCAAGATATATTCAGTCTTAGTTTTTTTGCTTCGTAATTTGACTGAATTGGCACTTGCTCGCTTGTATTCTATTGGCCCATTTCAACAATGCGTCCCTGTTCTCACAGACCTCCCCCTTCCAATCACACGCCATACTAGGCGCATGCTTCACCCAGCCTAATCGTGCTTCCAAGCTTCATGCTTGGCCATCCGCGCATTGCTGCGCAGCGGTCTCCTGGTTGCTTGCCATTAGGATGCTTCCCTCAACACGTTTGCTTTGTTTTCAGCACACGGTTTGGATGCGCGCTAAGCGCATCCTCGGAAAAAATTGGTGGCGCCACTTCTGGCAGTGGCGCCTCCAACATCCTTCACATCGTTAAATTTGGCTGCATACGGAAAGGGCATTCGTGACGCAGCAAAAGGAACGCGTGGCAGCCATCTATAAGGTCGGAGCATGACTTCCGGCGTGATGGGCTTGATATCGATTGTGGGATATATAAGCCGCCCGGCGGGATCGACTGTATTCGTTGCTGAGTTTCCCCACACCGATATTGTGACTTAAAGGAGCATTGCAGGCGGTAAGCTTGGACATGTTCTGCGTCACAGACGCGCCTCAGGCTGGCGTCGATACTACAGCTGTGTTCTTTCTACGCACGCCACACGCAACTATCTCTCTACGAATTTATCGTAGCACAAAAACCGCCTGGGTTAAAATTCAGATGTATGGTCACGACCAGAGTGATATTCAAACCAGCTTCGACAGAGTAGCACACCTTGAAGGGACGCGTAATAATCATCATGCCCAGAGAATCGTGACAATCCTCCTCCACCCTCCATCTGGCTTAAGCGGTGTTTCAGGGTTTTGTTGGAATTGCATAAGCCAAGGCATGACCGGCACATCTTGCAGCCGGAGCCATCGCGTTTTCTTGACCACTTTCCAGATGATGAACAGGCTGAGGTTGATGAAAAGGGTTAGGTATGACGAAAGAAAGGATTGAACGTCGAAATTTTTGCTTGGCTGCACAAAGTTTTTGAAACCAGACGTGATGAGGATAAATAAACAGCCACAAAGGCTCCACCAGGTCAGGTATGGTTGCAGCGGCGATTTGTAAGGGAGGGCTGGATGTCAAAGTGAACATCGTCAGTCTGCCATCGTATTATGAGATTTATACAGAAGGACTCACAGTCTCTGGAAATGCCTTGCTTCTTCATGCCATAGTAAACTTGCAGATACGCCACGGATATCGCAGTCCAGCTCCATAGAGTGCCACTTGCGCTGAGATATGTCAAATAGAAGAAAACTGACGTAGCTTCGCTGCTGACCACGGTGTATGCAAGAGGGATGAGTGAGCAAACAGTTAAGACGGCGATCCATGGCGTGCCAAATCGATTCGTTCGTCGGAAAAATTTGGGCACCAGGCCGTCGAGCGAAAGACCGAGCAAGGCACGAGAGCCTGACAGGACGGCTTGATTGCCAGAGCTGAATGCGCTAGTAAGGACAATGGCGTCTGAGGTACAGCAGGGATGGGTTAGCTACATCAGCAATTCGATGAGATCCTGCGAGTGAGCGATCGCGAGGTAGCTCACTGGTGAAGGAAGGCAACACGCTGATGCCAGCCCGCTGAAAGGCAATCACGAAAGGACTCTGACTTGCAGTCCCACTGTCAGTATTGAGGCGTTCGTCGTCGCTTCTGTAATGAAGAGGACACATGGGGTCAACAGCGAAAAAATATACGCGCATTTGCCTCAAAATTGACGCACGGAACAATGAGCGTGACGATGAACAGAGATAGAATGTAAAGGAAGAATACCCTAAAGAAGACACGTTTCGCCGCCTTGCGAATGTTTTGGCGTGGAGATTTGGTTTCGGCAGCGGCCATCGCTACGCTTTCGACTCCAGCGTAGGAAAATGCAGCATTGATTAAGCAGCTCCAAAAGCCATACCTGCAGGGCAAGAGCCTTGTAAGTGGACTAAAGATCGACACTAAGCGTGATTGAGGATCGCTTACCAGTATCCAGCTCCGCTTTGAACAAGGTACTTCTGCCAGGGTCCCGGGTTGTGCCAATAAGCCACACCTATTACTTGGCCGTTTGGCCCGCCTCCAGCATCGATGACAATGCCGGTGATAACCAGAATAACGACGAGGAGGATTTTGAGCATGGCAAAAAATGCTTCGAGTTCCCCGTACCATCGCACGAAGGTCAGATTCGTCAAAATGAGGGGAATAGCGAATACCGTGACAAACAACGCTGGCGCAAAGTAGGTCCAATATTGTACCAGGACAACACATGCAACGATTTCGGCTGAAACAAAGGTTATTTTGTCAGGTAATGGCTTGTGACAGTTCGACCAAAAAAGTGAAGGGGGCTCACTGGGAAGCGTGATAGCACACCCAAAGACTAAACATAGTCCCGTTGCAAAACCGAGTGCCTTGTCCGCAAACATGCTTGTGAAGCGGATATAGGAGCCTGACGTAGGCGCCAAGCAGGCCATTTCGCTGAGGCATAGGACTATACCGATGACAAAGGTGCCGACAAGGATGAAAGAGAGCAACAGACCGAGGGGGCCAGATTGTTGTAGAGAAAAGCCGGTGGAAAGGAAGAGACCAGTGCCCTGGCGTGTGTAAAAATAAAGGGAGAGAAGATGATGCTTAGAGCCCATCTCTGCACAATGACTTTCGCCGACTTACGATCGCCCCAGCCAATGCAATAAGCTGGAGATGCCTTTGGTTCAAGCCTTGCCTAACGCCTTCATCTTTGATTAACGTCCTGACCAAATCTGGGTCGAGCCCTTCGAAGTCGAGGTGCCCATAATCCTTCCGCTCTCCCGCAATAGCTGCAACGCGGGTCTCATTTTCGGGATGGTGCGGCAGATATGGGGATGAGAGATCGACGCCGTCCTGCTGCGACTCCGGGTCCGTGCCGATCTTATCGGACGAAGAGCTGGCGTCGGCTGTTGCACTTCTTGTTTTGTCTTGCCTCTCTTCCGCAGCAGCTAGTACCGGTTCACTTATGCCTGCTTTACCTGAAGGAGAGAGAATTGAAGGTGCCGTATCGTAGCCGCTGCGGTCGCTCAAGCTCGAACGCGAACGCGAACGCGCCGCCCCGTATTCTACGTCGTCGAACGAGAGGTCGAGGTCGACCGGTGCCATGTTCGTGAACGTTTCAGATCGCCCCTTTTAAAACGAGTAGTAAATGGACGAGCGTAGGTAGAGGGACAGGGGCGAGGAATGTTAGCAGTACCGAAAGAACTTGGCCACCATATCAACAAGTAGAAGGCAATTTTCCAAACGGCTCTTATCACCAACAACGCGGCAATGTGTTGTCCGACACAGTGGGCGAAAAGATAAAAAAGATTTGCCGGACAACGGAAGCCATTCCGGGGGCTGGCGGGTCACCAGTGCAGCAGTCCGAGGAAGCAAATCAAAATTCTTCCGAATTGCGCCATCGGGTTTAGCTTTGCACCGGCCGCAGCGGTGCTCACACTTTGTCGACATTCAACAAGCGCAATGCGATAGGGTACGTACATACGTGTGTACCATGATCAAATCAGCTGACAATACATTGCTAATTGCGTTTACTTTGTATTATGCTTGTGCAGGTGCATATTTCGTCTCTGGGTATGAGAATACAACAAACAGGGGCGAGTTCGTCAGAGAGCCTGTTCACGTTTGTACAGGCAGAAACATCTGTGCGGAGCAGCAAAAATCAGCCCACAAAGCCTCGGCAAAGATCGCGCAGATGAATGCACTCACCCTTCGTAACCACTCATGCTCTCGGGGGTAAACGTATCGCGCCACCGTCCAACAAGCTTGCCGCCTCCAAGCGCGTACCCTCGGTAGAGCCACCGGCCGCGGCCGTCGGGTGTATATTCCTTCTTCATGATCATCATGCCGTCCCAGCTCCTGATCCGACCTTGAAGGTTGAATCTCCCCCATGCGGAATGCCCCGACCCGGACAAACGAAGCTCAAATTTGTCTGGATCGTCGCCGTATTCAATCTCTTCCACAGTGCTTAGCTCATCGGCGCCAAAGGACGGAAATTCCTGGCTGTCGTCTCTTGTATGCCGCGAAGAGCGCTGCCAGCTCCAGGAAGAGTCGGATGGCGAGCGCATGTCATCTAGCGCTCGCCCTGTGGGCCTTTGAAATAGTTTGATGTTTTGGCCTCTCCGTCTAACAATGTCGTTTGGTGGCCTATTCTCATCGGCGCTAGCGCAGCCATATGCTTGCTCGTCTTCTGCTTCTTGTCGTGTGCCGAGGTAGCCCGCCGAAAGGATGCTACCTTCGCCTCCCTTGTGATCATGCTCGCCAAGTCTCACCATCCTCTCTTTTAATTTCCATACCTGCGGCTGTTCGCCGAAAGGGCCTTCATAAAGGCTACTCATCAGGCCCGCGAGCATGTCTCGGTAACTGTCAAAGTCGAAGAAGCTGAACCTCCCCTCCCACGCGCCTTCGAAATCACCTGCGTGAAAGCTCGGTCTCAAGCCGATGCCCGACCTTGGGTCGCAGCAGGCCATGAGGCGCGCAAAATCCTTGTCATGATGTATAGAGCGGAGCATGGTGGCCTCAGCAAGGTTTGCTCTCCGCCTATTGAAAGCACCAAAGCGCCTGTCGTGCCGTCCTTGAGAACTCTGCGCGGGTGCAGTGAAGTTCATCCCTTCGAAGACCTGTGCAAGCGCCCAGCCGCCAACACTGTCGCGTGATGCGGCCTGATCGTTTCCTGCGGCCGCTGCAGCTGCAGCTTCGGCAATGCTAGCTGCCTCCCCGGCTCCTTCGCGCAAATGAGCAAGGCCCATGGCCGCGGGATCACGCTCGACGCGCTGAAAGAACATCAGGCAAGCAGCGTGTGCCAGAACAGGAGCAGCTAGGTGGAGCTTCTGCGCGCAATGCTCGATCGTGCAAGTGCGTGTTTGAAACGAGTAATCCATCAGGAAAGGATCGTGTACTTCGCTCGCCATTTCGCCATTTTCGTCGATCATGCCAGGCTGTGTGACCGGCAGTTCCTTGTCGCCAGTCGGAAGATCCCAGACCATCCATGGCGCCAAGTAGGGGTTGAACTATGTCAGAGAATGGCCAGCTGTCAGCAAGCAACCAGACGACACATCATCTTGAGAAAACAGCACACCTTGTGGGCTGCAAAGACATATGGACGCAGTACAAACATCCGTTCCTCACTGTCCTGCGGAGTCTCTTGCGAGAGTTCCTTGTCCCCAAAGACAAGATAGTGCAAGTGCAGGGAGAGGGCGCGGTCGACTGAGTCTGGCGGGTAGCCAGGCTTGATGATACTGCCAAGCATTTCTTGCTCGTAGTGCATGTGTAAGTATCTGTCGATGGAGGCCCATCGTAACTGGTAACGATTCTTGCCATCTGTAGGGTGTGTGGCAAATAAGCAACTCGCCGTGGGATAGGCAAAGGGAAACCAGCTTACCATTCTCGAGCATCATCAGATACGCCAGCCAAAGATTCTCCTCCATCTCCTTTTGTGATTCCTCGTCGGACAGACCGGCCCTCCTGATTCTTCTGCCCATGACGGTCGCTTTGATTCGTTTGAGGCACCGGCACCTCTTCTTGAGTTCGATGGTAAGGCTTTTTGCGTCGACCGCATCTTGCCCAAAGCGCCTAGCGATGCTTTCATAATCGAATTTGGTCTTGAAGATGCGTGCATAGAGCCCTGGGCTTGCGGTCTCGTTCAACATGTTGTAGACATACTTGCACGACAATAAGAGTGAGATGAGCTGTGCTGGCGGTGTGGCATAGGCAGGCGGGCCTGACCCAAGCATGTCGCGTGCTTTATCGGCTTCGCGGCCCTTCGACCTTGTATAATGGTGGCGATGAGTTCCGTGATCGGGCGGGGCGTTAGTACCAACAGGATCGGATCGAGATCCGGGAGAAGAAATGGCAATATAGTAGCCTACGGTGTCCATCACCTCCGGAGGCAAGGTCGTGAAGAAGCACCGCCCTGGCCGCACGTCGACGTCCATCTCATTCGCTGTGCTTGCCATATTTGCGAGGGCCACACTGATAAAGTCCTCAGAAAATACGCCTGATGCAGATGCCAACGAGCCAACGGGGAAAAGGAGGGTCGCTGTGAGCGCTCTGTGAGCGCTTTAGGCGGCAAAGCGTATAGAGAGAGAGTCCCGAATGCTAGGCTCCTCGAATACCCAGCGGCAGGCAGCATCGGCTGAAATACCTGACGTTCAACGTTTGGCAGCGAGCCCCGGCAGTGCTCCTTTGATCCTCATCGCGTTGTTCGACATGTAAGCTAGGCATGGTTCCCAGACCCCGACACAGTCCAAACCTGCGGCGGCCATCGAGAGAAGGCAAAAAGATCTACAGGCGTGTTCGCCGCCGCACTCATCTTCTGTTGTTGGTCTCAGCTCTTAAAGCAAATGCCGTGCCGTCGGCCCCACAATCACAAGTTTCGGCCACATTCTAAACTTCAGCATCCCTTCGACGCAAGGCTTTTGCTGGCGGCTACTCATGGCTCGCAGGTCGGGTTCGCGTTCTTCAGCTCAAAAGCGAGGCGAAGTGCTCCAAGCACTCCTCCATTTGGTACATTGAGAGGAGCCGCCACGTCTCCTACAGGAAGCAGTTGTCACAAGAAATGCCATTGGCTGCTGGCCACGGCAACTCGAACAAGGCTAAGGGTTATCAAACTGCCAGGTCACTTGCATGCAATTCACACGCTCATCTTTCTCATTACGATCTCGTCCCCGAGAGGACCACATTCATCCGGAGATGCCTCAGCCGGTGTGGGCAATGATCTCCGTCTTGAATTTGCCGTCCTGCTGGAACGTGTGCTTCATCTGCTCTGGCAACGCATGCTCGATAAATTCGCCGTCCTCGCCACCTTGCAGCGGGACACTTATGTTGATAGCAGAGCACTTGGCCGTGATGATCTCAGCGTCGAGACTCTCCTTGGACAGGTACAACAGGCCGCTGTCGGTAGCGTCGATCAGGACAGTTGGAACCTTGCCAGTGACTTGAACGACAAAAGAGGGGGATGAAGTGACCGATAGCGAAGAGACGAGCGAGTCTACGAGAACAGATGTCTTTGAGCAGGATACTGCGCAACGAACAGGACTTTTCAGGCTTCTCTTAGACTTAGTGGCTACGTCACGCGCCACTCACCCATGGAGACCGCATTCACCTTGCCCTTGATCTGAATAATCGAGTTCTTGCAGTTGAAGATGTTGACTGTATGACTAATCTCAGTCTGTTCGATGACAATGCTCCGATTGTCTTCGTAGTTCTCGATCATCCACTTGGTACCATCAAGCTGAGTCTTCGCAGGCTTTTTTGTCCGAAGCGACTCCGGCTTGGATGGGATCTTTGGCGGTCCGCTCGACTTTGGCGATGTAGCTACCGGCTCATCCTTTGTGCGCAGTGATGGATTCTTGTGGGTCATTTGACTTGGATCAACCTTCTTCAGGGACTTGGTGATGCCTTCACCCTGGTTCAGTTGACCAAAGACAGCCTCCATCCCGCCGCCAGCTAACATGCTCGGCGGTGCGGGTGCCGGTGGCGCAGCTGGAGGGGCGGGAGGCGTACCTGGGGGTCTTCCTGCAAAGCTTGCAGCATCTCCTCCCTGCAAACCGAGAATGGGGGCTAGGGTTTCAATGCGAGGCCCTGGGTGCCAATGGAGCTTGACGCACCTTTGGATTCCACATTAGTCCGACGGTGTGCTTATCTTCGACATAGTCTTGCAGCGTCTGAAGTAGTTTTGAAACGCTGCGGCACCATTCCACATGGGTTTTGTCTTGATTCTTGAAGTCATTGATCACTCGATTGAGGTAGAATTGTGCGCTGTCCTTCATCTCACCGACGAAGGGCGCTGGTTTGGGCTCAATGGCAACCCATCCTGCAGCGGGAATACCTTCAGAGACGGCACTGAGGTGGTTGAATATTTTCTTTTGTGCCCTATTCTTTTCGCGAATCTCTGTCACAGCCATCAGCGCTTTTTGTAGGGGTTCGACGATCTTGGCAAAGGTCGGGCTCTGCAGGCCGCCATTGCCAGGCTTAGCTGATGATGCAGCAAGCAAAACAATGTGTCGTTGCGCTTCAAACGCTTCTTGTACGCTTTTTGCCTGGTCTGCGATGAGATCTCCAAGCTGGAAGCTGAGTGAGGTGTACGCAGAGAGCGCCGGGGTAATCTGTTCATCCCATGCCTCCACCGCCGGAGGCAGCTCCTCTGCTGTGGGCGCGGAGGGAGGAAAGGGAGGAGGCTGTGGCACTCCTCCAGCAACGGCTGTGCCTGCTACACCAAGGGCACAGAGCGCACCACCAAGTAGACGGTCTCCATGAATTTGCGCGAGGTCCTCAAGTCGGGATGTCGCTGCCTCGAGCCTTCACAAAGGACAGCACGGATATGTCAGTTTCATACTGGCTCGCTCGGCAGCTTCCGAGCTAAGTTCCACCCTTACGAGTGGTTTATCATACATAGAAATGGCCACTCACCTCTGGGTGAGAGTAGACAGATTTGCAATACCTGAAGTGGCCGCCATCTTGGCAACTGGCACGCTGATGGGACCAACAAGTGCAGTCGAACACTTCTGGCGGTATCGCAACGAACGCCGCGATGGCTACCACAACTTGTGCCAGCACCAAGCCCCGGACTTGAGCCAGGCTTCTAAGCCTTTTGTTTCTCAACTTGCTTGAACACCGGATCGGAAACAAAAGCCAGAAGGGTGTGAGGCAGGAAAACACATAAATGCACAACTTGAACGTCCGTGACACACCCTTACATCCATGTGGTTCTGGGGCCTGGCGGGAGCGTTCGCAATCTCTCGCGCTCCCCGAATTCGCGCGGCGCGCATTTCCACGCGCTATAACCGCATCCAGCACCCCTAAACGAAAGGGACCCAGCACAGCAAGCATTGGACACTCCTTACAACAGGCAACATAATTAACACAGACGTACGTCAAAGGCGATTCTCCACAACACAGGAGTGCGACCGTAGAAAGATCTAGCAATGTAAAGATGTCATGATGCAAAACAGGACATACAAATACAGTGTGAGTGGGATCTGGTTCAGCACACATCAAGCATGCCAGGGTCACCCGCCACGGCCACGCAATTTATCCTGCAGCTCTTTCATCTCCCGAGCCCATCGCTCTCTCTGTGAATCTCCATCCTGTGCTTGTTCACTTTCGGCATCCTTTGCCGCTGTGTGAGCCCTGACCCGTATTCGCGGAGTTTTTGTCGACGCCGCCACCTTGTGAGCGTTATGCACTGACGCAGGCTGAGACGACGGCGCCTGCTTGGGCAGGCTTGACCACGGGGATTTCCAGTCGTGCGGCTCCCCCGGGTCGTCGGGCCGCTTGACTGGATGCAAAAGAGTGAACACAATTTATGAGTCTTCGGTGCAAGAACAGCAAAGCGAGTCGGCCAGGGTGGCAGCTCAAGTGTACTGCGGGAGCCAGGTGAGAGCCGAGGGCCAGGAATCTAAAGCTCGCAGTGGGATAGGATAGGGTGAGCAGCGATCCGTCACTCACTTGCATCCCCCCATTCGCCCCTCTGCCTGGGGTCAAAGATCGGGGGCCCTTGGTATGGCGGTACACCCTTTCCCTCGATTCGAGCGGGTAGATGGTCAACAAAGTGAATTAAGCGATCCACAGCGTGGAGGAAAACCGGCGATCGTGACAGCTGAAAACGATGATAATGAGTCACGGCGATCCTCCGAACTGGATATACAGACAAATGTGGCATAGGTAATGTTGAGATACTCACCCTTCGCGTGAGCGCCTGTGTGAGGTAAGCGCTAACCAGACGCACCAAAAAGGGGGGGAGTGGTGCCATACCGAGTTCCAAATATCACATGTTTAGCAAGATGCGAGCGAGGAGTGCGTACTAAGTGTACAAATGAGGCTGCTTAAGACATGGGCTGAATGCTGGTGGAAGCGTCCAGATGAGAGTTCAGTTCGTGACGACGGGGTCTATCTCGAAAAGTGGTGATCGATGGCCAGTTTAATTACGTAATCTGGACGTTGAGTTGTTGCGTAGCGTTTTGCAGCAATCCACAGTTTCTGTCACTGCGGCAGTCTCCCACTGTCGTAATGAATCAAACATTCGGGAATCGCAAGCCACCGACCAAACAACAACAACAACAACAACAACGGACGAAGCCACCACCCTCCCTTCCTTATTCTTGTCTCCAGAAGGGGCATAAAGTCGAGGGCTTCATCATCGACACCTGCAAAATTCTCGTGCAAGCAGACTGCACAGTGTGCTCTCAGGTCCATTGAATCGTGCGTTTGAGTACGGCGCGCTACGCTGAATCGTCAGTCGAGTTGGGGTTCGAGCTTCTGGAGCCCCTTCGTCTTCAGGACGGGTCAATTGCACTCCATTCGGGGTTGCCCTTTCGCCATATTCGCTCAACGCTCTCCACTTGCAGATAAAAGTGAAAAAGAGCATCACTTCTAGCTCGCCATGTCGTCCGATCACTCTCGACCAGTTTTCGACCCGCCACTCAATTCACATCATCACCTCCGTGTCTCGAGTGCCCATAAATCTGAAAGCACGTTGGCGAGCAATAAGGATGACTCGCTGGAGATTTTCTTTGTCGCTCATGAACATAATTCATGTTCACCTTTTTCGGATCTCAAACCCGGGTCACTACAAATATGGACGGACCTTCCAGCAATATCAACACGCGATGTTGCGGATGACGGCACTATTGAAGGCTGGACCGCTTTCGACTTCCTACCGTCAACTTCATCAGCTCTCAAAGGGCTTCATGTCTGCGCGCTTAAAGTACCTCGATCTTCTCTTTCAATTCGAGACTACCATTTCACCTACCGCCGCATTCATCCGGATGACCGAATCGAGTGGTTCGGCAACGGCGCAAACGACGGTACCGTAACTGTACTTGGTCGGGATGATGGCCCCTCTGACAGCACATTTTCCGTCCTGGGCCTTTCGAACGAGGACAACGCCGCAATACCGGAGCTGAATGCAAACATTTCTACCGACCATGATGGAAATGAAGACCCCATTCAAGTCAGGCTGTTATCGTTCGCGCTTGCTTCTACTGAGGATGAGGACAGCTACTATCATGTCTGCACCCCATGCACAACTATTACCGGTGGGGTCTCCCTCGAACGTACAAAGTGAGTGCCCTGCAACAGAAGTGACGGTAACGGCAGTACTAATGGAGTTTTTACTCTTCTGCAGGACGGCATGGCTCACTTCGCGCACATTGACGTCCTTTGCAGACATGTCCACCCAGTACGGAGCAAGCTTGCTAGTTTTGCGCTTCCTAAAAATGGGCTCCTGCATCGCGGTATTCTTTCCCATATCCACCTCAACATTCTCGACTTCGCTCCTACGCTCGCATGATGCCAAGTCTCTCTACCTTAGGGTTTCTGCTTTCGATCCACTTCAAACGCCACCCGAGCGAGCGCACGTTGTGGTGGCCACAGGGACCGAGTCACAGCTGCACAACGTCATCGAGGCAGCCATTTGTAAAGCTCGACAGACTCTAGGCTCCGCCCTGTCGTCCGCTCCTGGCTTTTTTGACCGCATGCCAGACCACATTGTCGATGGGATCCAAGATACGGACGTTGGTGCGAACACACATCGGAAGGCATCTTTTGTTTCTGCGGCAGGTTATGGGTCGGATGCAGATACATCTAGTGTGGGCACTGTTGTCGAGTACGACGATGTCGACATCGGGGATGACACCATGCTCACCGAAGCCGACCCAATCGGAAATTTCCGGGTGAATGGCAAGAATGAACATGACTTCAACCCGACGCCTCAAAAGCTCCGTACATGTGTTTCAAGCCTGGCTAACAGATCTCATCCGCTCGATCCTAGCACGGGACTTGGCTTCTGCACCTGGGAAGCTCTTGGGCCAGGCGTTCGGCCCAAACTATCACTAGTTCTAAAAGCGCTGCAGCAGGCGAGCGAACGCTATGGGGATGCCGCAATCACGTCTGTCTTGATTGACGATGGATGGGCCGAGGTATCCTTGGAAGAGGGGTCCAGTAGGGGAATGCTGCACTCGTTTGACCTAGCGGGCGACTTACTCGATGTTGATGTTGAGCCCGAGTCCGCGGCAAGCCCGGCACTAGCTCGTTACGTACGCGCCATCAAGTCTAGGTTCCCCTTTGTCCAGCATGTTGGCGTGTGGGCGACGCTGGCAGGATACTGGGATGGCTTGAGCGCAGCAAGTCCTGCGTGGGAACGTTATGGTACTCTTGAGCGTCTCCGTGATTGCTCTCACGAGCTGCATGGAGGGCGACCGTTACTTGCTCAGACGCAACACGAAATTCTTGTTCCAGCTTCTGCGGATGCTTTGGCAAGATTTTGGAGTGATGCTTTCGAGCATCTCGTGGCGTGCGGCGTCGAATTCGTCAAGATCGACAATCAAGCAGAATGGGACTTTTTGCGTCACCAGAACGGCAGAAGCGCTGCCGCCCTTGGCGCACAAAGCTGGGAAGGCATGATGAAAGCGGCAGACGCTTGGCTTCCGACTGGGCGGGGAGGCATATTGCACTGCATGTCCCTTAGTCCGAGCTTTACGAACAGCCTTCGAGTTTTCACAGCCACAGACAAGTCCTTCACAGTCAGGTGAGTGATTGCTTGTGGATACCGCATTGATAGTGGCATTGAATGATAAAGCGTTTTCTTTCAGGAACACGGACGATTTTTTTCCGCATGAGCACGATGCACACCGCTGGCACATTTTGCACAATGCCTACAACGCGCTGCTCACTGGCCACATCCCGAGCATCCGCATGGACATGGACATGTTTGGCGCCAGCGACGCATCTGTTTGGACGCAAAGCCACGCAGCGCTACGAGCCTTTTCCACTGCTCGCCTCTGGATCTCCGAGTCGATTCAGCAGCAGCCGAGCCACGCCGCTGACGCCCTTCTTGCTCCAGCCTGCAATCAACCCGGTGCTGCCCAGAGAATTGTGCAAGCATCACAACCAACTCGCTTGATCTCCGCTTCAGTGTTCGATCGTCTGGTGCACAACCCCGTCGGCTCAGCACTCAAGATGGCGGTCCATCATGGATCGAACAGGGGCGCGACCATCGGCCTCTGGAATATTCGCCACGGCCATGCAGTAGATACACTGCGCATTTGCCACATCGCTGAAGCTTTGGGGAACAGCACGCAGCGCGTCGCAATCTTCTCAAAGGCGTCGCATGCTTTGGTTGTCGTACCCAATTCCAATGCCCATCAAGCGATGCCAGATGGGACGCTCAGCTCTGAACCTATACTTGCCTTGCGGCTTGAGGAGGGGCAATCTGACTGCATCTTTGTGGCTCCGCTGCAGCCGAGCGATGCGAGTGCAAGTGTTCAAGTCGCATGCTTCGGTATAATTGACAAATATGTCGGACTTGAAGCGCTCGCTGAAGATGGCTTCGCATGCTCGTCATCAGCATTGTCGACTCCACCACTTGCCGAGCCTCCTACGGCAGCAGGGCCCTCAAAAGTTGAACCGTCGTTACAAGAGCTGATGATCGTGTACGGGCCATTGATCGCCCTTCGAGTCATCCTGGTCCTTGTCATCAGTGCCATCATCAGCTCGTTGATCTCAAGCTCGCCAGCACGTGGCCTGCCGTCGCTTCTTCAGCGTCCGATCCGAGGTGCAACCATAACCTGCTTGAACTGGATTTCCCCCACCGAGCTTGATGGCACGACACTGGGAAATCTTCTGCGAAACGCTCAGCGCCTTCAGATCCACCCAATGGCAAAGGGAACATCAATTCTTCCTTGGACAAGTGACTCGAAACTGCACCTGCAGCCCGAAAAAATGCATTGCCCTAGTGCACCTGATGCTCACAACCTTGTGGGCTTCAGCTTACGCGTGGGGTTCCACGTGCGCTATGCTGGCGAGCTCGGCCTTGCCATCACTCATCCCCAAAGCAGCTCTCTGTCTGGTCTAATAGTGCAAATCGACGGTCAGGAAATTAAGAGGGAATTTTGGAGCGCCCACTCAGATAATGCAGGGGATGTCACGCTGGTGCGAATCCAAGCAGAAAGTTACTTGAAACACTTGTCTGCTCTTGACCCTGCCCACCCTCATGAACCACGCGAAGCTTGGCATGTTAGCCTCAAAGCAACCATCATTGAAGGCGACACGCGCGCATGACATGAAGAACTTTCAACATTGTCCATGTAATGCAGACCAAAAGCATAGAATGCAACAGCTACTCTCTTCCACTGCTCTTGCCGCCGCGCACGCGCGAAGGCATGCGACATGTCAGTTGTGTGCCAAACAGTACGTACGGACGCTTGGACTGTGGGTCAGCAGCTTGTCACATGTGAATGTCTCTTGTCGCCTGAAAGCGCATGCGTGAGGTCGACAGGGCAAAATTTGATCCTGGTAGATATTCAACGCAGCTGTAAGCGAATGGAAAATAAAAAGAATCATAGACGGAGGTCAGCAATCAGCACGATGTAATCAGTGACCCTGCTTTTGATTCGTGATAACTTTCAGACTTTGCTAGCGATTCTCCAATAACGCACCGCGGATAGAATGTCCACAACGTACGAACAGATACTGTTTACCCCCAAGCTCGCACACAATTTCATTGCGGTAACCCTAATAGCTTGCTGAGTACCTACAACGAAACGACCCAAAGAACGCGTCGCGCGAAATGACTGACAAGGCCCTTCCGCTCCTGCGCTCCTACTCTACCTTTTCTCTGCTCATTCGTAACCTGGGCGGCTGAAAGCGATGGGTCGCGACCAGTCATCGGGGGCGTTGCCTTGGAAAACGGTAGCATCGCGTTTTGGATCAGTTTCTTCACGTTGGGTCCCTTGGTTAATCTCGTCGTTGTGATCTCGCGACATGGCTTTCTCCATCGCAGGCATCTTACTCAGCGCAGTAGCAACTGCACTCGCGATCTTTGTTTGAGAATCAGCGGGTTACTGGAACGCAGGATGTTCGTAGGAAGCCGTGTCATGCGTGTAAAATACGCGCTAGATCGCAGGGTGTGAGCATGGCAGTTCTGTTGGCATTTATGTCCCCTGTTGCTCATTCCGTTTGCCTGATAGATCCAGGCTGCATTATTAAGGAGCTGCCGAGTCATTAGGGCTTTCAAGTGTGACCCTACGCGGCATCAAGGCTACAGTGTGGCTACCAGCTCACCTTGGCATAAAGAGAGTATTGAGATTGTCAACCAAAATACTGCGATTCTGGCCAGCTTTTCATCCCTGAAGGTTCTGTTCTCAATGCGTCTGCAAAATCGGTTAGGGTTAGGGTTAGGGTTAGGGTTAGGGTTAGGGTTAGGGTTAGGGTTAGGGTTAGGGTTAGGGTT